GACGAAAAGCTTAAAAGGGGTCTGTTACGAAAAGGGATAAGCTGATAGAGACCAGCCCTTTCCTTGTGGATGTACTAACGCCCGTATTCACAAACGATGCTTGCTTAAGCGAAGAAGCAAATCGAACGCAAAGCGTTGAATAGTGCTCTGTGATTGGTTCGTGTGTCACCCTATGCGTCCACTCGCACTGTGAGACCTCATAGTAATGTTTGTGAATACGGGCGTTAGTCTGCTTATGACCACGGCTAAGAAACAACCGAAGAGTCTACCGTAAGTACGTAGTCTCAAAATACCTCTGTAGTAGATAGGTACTCGTACATGACTACATAATATTTTGAGACCCTTTTCTTTCAGTTTTAAAAGTCTGTCATTCATCCATGACCATGGCTGTTAGGACCTGAATGATAGGACCGTCTTTTAACCTATCGGGGCCCTGAGCATAACAAAGGGCATTTCATAAAAAAAAGGAAATGTAAATTATAGTCGGTCCAATGCAGTTTACACCTGTTAGTTGAGCTCCCAAATTCCCGAGTGGGAAGAGGCTAGATACGGGATGCTGGATGTGGAAGGAAAACCTTGGGGAAGGCCTTTGTCCAGCAGTGGACGGCATTTGGCTGAAACGAACAAACGAACGACGAATCCCAAACTAAGCAAATCTTGCATTATGGGTAAGTAATAGAACTTCAGACATTAAAAAAATACTTTCTTAATACTTATTATACATAACACTTCCTGACTGAGCACAATATTATTTAAGAACCGAAACTCAGCTGGTAGAGAATGGCACAATCCACATGGCATTAAGTTCGCCTTTATGTAGGTACCGCTTTTTTTTGTGTGTGCAATAAAGTTTTAGTATGTAAATTAAACTTCTTCCCGTGTATTGTAATCAATAAAGTTTTGATAGAGTTTACAATGGAATTGATAGCAACTGGCGCTACTTAATAGAGTCTCCGCTTTTTTACCGGACAAAAATGCCTAGTAAATTAACGTGATACGAATGTTGTAACTTTGTTTCTTTGGAGGATAATTAAATTAATGCCCTTAACAATCGTTGTTTACGAGCTCAAATTCATGTGAAAATCGATCATAGTTATAATTGGGAGCAAAATTAAGCTGAAGTAAGTTGTTTTAACAATGTTATAGAAGCAAAATTGTTATTCTTCGTTGAGTTAGGTAATTCGTTTAATTTAAAATTTATTAGTGCATTGTTATTGTGGAAAGTTCCTATTAAGTACGAGTATGTACCTACCTCCGTCTGTTAATTAATTCATATCAAATCTTATAAGCATTTTTCAGAAATATTTCCCGTCATAAGAACCTACTTAAGCAAGAAGCCTTCTATAGACTCAAGATGCTCTGGTAAGATGACATCAAAAAGTCAAAATTGGCTGCTGAATGAAGTACCTACCCATCGATATCCACTAACTACTTCATTAAGAAACTCATTCTGAATCTCACAAACTGCCACGAGATAGAATCTAGTCGAAAATGAAACTTCAAGGCACTCCAAATTCGTGGTATTGTATTTAGTCCAGCATTTTATGTTAGTCTTTTAGCCGAATATAGCACGCCACACGAAACTACATAATAATGATAGCCAGTTACTTCAGTTCTTTAAACTTCTGTTAGATTTTCTAAAAATGGGGAGATTTTTATGTAAGTATAACAGTAACATTAGACTCAGAATCAGAAATAAGGAGATCCGTAAACGAACTAAAGTCGCTGTCATAGCCCGACGGATTAGCAAGCTGAAGTAGCAATGGCACAAATTATGCAGAACTGACGACCGAAGGGGCGCTGCTAGGATAAATTAAGGAAATCATTGGGGTAGGCCTATGTTCAGCAGTGGACGTCCTATGGCTGAAATGATGACGATGATGATGGTGACGATGATAATGATGACGCATGAACATTAGGAAGTGTGTTTCCGACAGAGTGGAATGGAACCACCCCACGCTTCTCGTGGATATCGTAAGAGGCGACCCTATAACTAGGTAAAATTTAACTTTATGGAATCGACTTAGGAACAAATTATGCGAACATCAGGACTCTCTAATCCATCTGACCATGGAAAGTGTAGACCAAATCTTCAATAATTTTCCTTTTTAAAAGGGCACTGCAGTAGAAATGACCATAATAATGATACCTACACGTAACGTTCTCCCCAAATTGAAAAATAAATAAAATAAAGACAATTGAAACGGGTTTTGGCGGTCTTATCGCTGCAAAACCGTCTCTTCAACGTAAAATAATGGAAAGTGTGTTTCACAGGTGATCAGGTGTTGTAAGTATTTAGCTAAAAACAAAGTGTAGTAAAAAGTGCTTTTCACATTACAATGATTTACTTATTAAAATAATGAGAGCATTCAGTGCTACAATCATAGTGAAAATGATCTTTTTCCAAACAAAAGAAAACTGCGTTTCAGACCTTTTCTCAGAACAATGTCTTTTTGCAGCCTGCGTAGCTGTAATGGCCGATTGTTTTTGAATCTGTGCTGCGTGGAAGCACAGAGAGATTGCTATTAAAAATAGGTAATGTTTCCTAAGGAGAAGTTTAAAATGTTATGGAATAACTATACGGGAGATATTTCTTAAGTATTATGAAAACTACTAAGTATTACCTTACTTACCGCCTAACTAAATCATTAAGGTTACCACATTTTTATGTCTTTGTCAGTCAAGGACTGAGATCTCTGTACCGATACCTTAAAAAATAAAGTTTGGATAGGGCATGTCACCATCTCACCATCGGAGTAAAGGTGAGCTTTTAATAAAATATTGTTGCAACAAAACCTCAATTAACTATTTTTTTCACTAGTTTTCAAAATATTTTTACGAAATACGATCTAATCCTAACCATCCAGTCCTTGGGGTTGTAACATGGTTATCCTTCATTTCTGTAGTCGGATAATATTTTTGTTGTGTGTAGCTAACGCCATCTAGCGTGTCATATTTGTACTAACAGTACAAAACAACTTCGAAATTTGACACTAGATGTCACTAGGATAGTTAAGTTGTATATAAAAATTTGAAAAATGTATTAATTAAAATATTATTATTATTAAGATTTTTATGACAAAATTTATTAATTTCAGTTTATATTTTATCAACTAGTTTTTGAATAGTTAACTAGATAAAAAAATAATTGCTTGAACGCACCTTCATCTTCAACATTAATGTCATCTAAGGGTTGCAAGTTTTAAAATTCTACCATCGATTACAGGGTTAAAATTCATTTAGTTTTCGTATTTTCCATTGGAACATTTTTATTTTTTTCATATTGTTTTTTCATCATAATACGTTTTTTTTAACAGACACAGACACTTATTAGTTTATAAGTTGATTCCCATACAATATTTCTTTCGATATTGAAACATTAGTAAACTGAAATTGTATTATTATCGTGAAAATTTTTTCGAAAGTTTATTTTTGTCTTTAATACTTTATGTAATTTTATTAAGCACGTCACAAATCATGGTTGTAACATACGAAATCTTATACCTACCATACTGAATTTTGTTACTTACTTCATTAAGTGAATTTTGTAATTTGGTACTGTCTCTCTTTATTTACTTAGACTCATAAGTTATTTTATTAATAATACCTACGTGGGTATTTCGCCAAAAATGGTCAATTTTGCCTAATTTCCTTGGTACGAAATATTTTTTTGTTTTTAACTATTTTTAGTTTCCTATTGCATTAAGTAGCAAAAACTAAGCTAATATATCTAAAAGGGGTGTCATAATTCGTTTTAGTAACAAAGTTATAAGGTCATGAACTTTTGGTAGCCAAGGAAATTATTATAAATATTTTTTTCTCTAAGTTTTCTTCTGTGATTTGCTTTTTTTTGTTCGACCCATTTTTGTGTACATTCGCAAGCCAACATAGCAATAAATATTGTATCATTACGACCTTTTTACACAAATAAGGAAGATAAATGCAGTAGATTGAGTTTAGAGTTAAAAACAAGTTGTTCTATATCTATTATGATACCCATTTATTAAAATGTCAATTTTAAACTTATTCCAATAAAGAAATACCCAAAATTTTACTTTACGCCGAATTAAAAATGGTCTTTTATAATTTCCTAGGCCATTTTATGCCACGGAAAACAAGGAAATTAGAGCCAAAGAAATTAGATTTATGCCTAAAAGACACCACAGACAAAAACCTATTTACCCTATGCATTTACTATTTAAATCATGGGTTTACCCCTACAGACACTACATCTGTGTAAATAAACAATAAAATTAATCCATTGTTTAGTTGCAAAAAGCCGTCCAAAGAAATTGACTTTTTAGTAAACAAAAACCCAAGGAGGACCTACTTATGCGATTTGTGGCGAAACTGGTCAACGTAGTACTGCCCTGCCTCGATGGCCTTTTGGGACGAAATGGCCGAGTGTAACGGTGCAGTGCATTACATTCTAAGTTCTTTCGTTTCGTTACTACAATGGTCGAAATGAAGACCCAGGGAAATTATACTTTTGACTCGGACAAGAACTTAACTTCACTTTATTTCCTTCCTTTAAGTATTTGACATTTAATCTTTGTATTTTCCGATAGCCAAACGTTTCTCAAATATAAACAGAGTGCTATTAGAATGAAATTACGCTTCAATTTGTTATAGTGTGCCTTCATTTTGGCAAACAACAGTAATGGACATAACAAGGAAATTAGAAAAACGACTTTTGATTAAGTTTTTCTACGCTATTATTTGTAGTATCTGCTATTGTAATAGCAAAAACAAATAAAACTTTTGATGAACTTTCCCATAAAAATAGTTTTATACGTATAGATATAAAAAAACATGTGTTCGCCTGCCTGGACACAGAAAATTTACTGTTTCGGCGAAATACCCACGTATGAAACAAAAATTTGAATTTTACGAAACTTAACAATATTGGATTGACTTTTGAGATGATTTAATTTGTCGGAATATTTTAGGGAATATTTTTTTCAAATGTGGCAGCCCCAAAATTTAGTACCGTACGAAAACTACGCGACGTTGAACCGCTTCACGTCCGCGCTAACAAAACTCGTTGAAAATGCACACAGCAAAATGGTAGAATCGCTACAAATGTTCTTATTTCTGTTCAAATCAAAATACAGACGAAAATTCTCATGGTTTTCACCATTCCTATGTTCAGTCCTCATAGTGTTATTGTTTTGTGATGGTGTACTTTCTAGGTGTAGTGACCATAACTGTATAAATGGTGTGTGTAAAAATGATACATGCGTGTGCTACGAGGGTTGGCAGGGTCCTGAGTGTCAATACTGCGGCGGGAAAGTCAAGTGAGTGCAATTTGTTGTGTGGTTTTCTCAAAAATTGTATGCGAAATTGCCAGTTCAGTGTCAGTGACCTATTTGACAGACGCGCCTTCGTGACATGTTGAAAACAAGTGTGATTTTGCAAGAGAAAGCCAGCGTAGGATTATCCAATTATCTTATTTGGCTTCTTCACTTCTTCCTGAGCTATTACGAAGGCCGTGGCCGTCTGCGACTAATTTAAAGTCTGTAATTTGTCGAGTGACTTGGTTGTCGCGAATGTCTCGGCTAAGACCCGTATGATTTCTGTTTTGGTAAATTAAGAACCTTCTTTCTATTATTTATGTCCCTATACCTGGTTTAGAAGACAACTTACTTTGCAGGTTATTTACAGGATTAACCCTAACAAGTCAATTGGAAATACTAGTGGATTGCTCATCCACTAAGTGCTCACAATTGTTAACAAACTTGTAGGAATGGTTAACAGATGTAATGTAAATTTTAACATGAAAGAAAACTGCTTGACCTGGTCTATTATTGTTATAATTGATGATGATGACTTACCTATTCTATCAATCATTCTAAACAATATGATTTGCTGCCAGCAACTATATCAAAAATAAGCGTACATGGCTTTTTAATAGTGACCACGGCTGTAGAACCACAGCCGACATCAAGCTTTATCGTACTACTGTACGACATAATAAATATCATGGTTGAGAACCATAATTAATTCCCTATTATTATGTATTAGAAAAAATCATACTCTTAAAATTACATAAACTGGTCACAAAGATTTTAAATGTATTTTTTTTGTTATAACATTATCTGGTACCCAGAGAAGAGCCTTGTTCATTGGGACTTAATATTTGAGTGTATAAAATTAATATTTATTAACTGAGGTAAACAAAATTCAAATCCATCAAAAAATCCGTTCATTATACACCATTATAATGACGTAAAACAAAAAATAACAAGTTTTACGATTAGATAATCATTTCATACTCATTTACCTACATCAGTTTCTTACCTTCATAATAATTTTCCACCATAATCTTAATAGACGTTGCTGTTACCTTTTTCCTCAATGCATTAACACAACTTATTGCTGTGTTATTTGTAAAACTACCTATTTGTTATTGAGTAAAATATCTGCAATAAAACTGAAATATTGGTCTCTGGGNGCCGCGCAACGGCACGCCCACGCCGCCCGCGCCCGCGTCGCCGCCCGCGCCGCCCGCCGCGCCGCCCGCGCCCCCCGACCGCGCCTAGGGCCCGAGGCCCGCCCCTCCCGGCCGCCGTCGGTCGCCGATTCCGAAACGCGCCGAGACGCTCCGATCTCCTCAGTCTTGTGATAATATTATGTAAAGTACATTCCGTTGGGAGAGGCGCGAGTCCTGCCCTGAGCGCCGCCGGGGCGCGAGCCCCGCGCCCGGGGCCAGCCGCTGTGCCTGGGCGTCGGTCGCGGGTACGCGCGGTCCCCGGGGGCCTATTGCGCCCGGCCGGACCGGCCCCGTACCGGCGAGGCGACGCGACACTTCATTGACGACTTTTTAGTGTGCAATAGAACATTTAAGGATTCTTCGTACGAAACTCACGCATTATTTGTGTATACTGTTGTAGTGACAATAACGTTAGCTGCAGGCTTTTATCCGTACCCAGGACCGCGCCGCTCGCGCCGGTCGTTTCACACTTGCATATGGTTTGGGTTTAGCTTCCCTCTGTCGGCCCAGACTCTCTTCACTCTACATATACGTGGACACCTTAATCACCAAATAACACAATAGTTACCTAAAAGTCACAACCAGTTCAACGTAACACAGCTTTACTATGCAAAATCACAAGTAGTCTTAGATACCGACGTTCGGATCCTTTTGGCGTCATCCGTTGAGGCTCCAGTGTTGTTCTGACCATTATGACATTTCATTTCGTTACGAAGACATTTTGACTTGTCAAATCCAGATTCGTGAGTGGCACCTACTTGTAAAACAAATTAATATTTACATTTTAAAATTATCATTGATACGTTTTTAAAGTCGTTCAAAAATTCTTCACCGAGATGATTTCGTAAAAATGTAACCGAGTACAGAATGACACTGCGCGTTCCACAGATGTCAGGGTTGTACAAAATTTCCGCGAAACTGAAAAGCCTCGATTTTTGACCTTGTTTTAAGTAAAAGACAACCAAAAGTTAAAGTTAAAAATTAACTATTTAAATAATTTTAAGTAAAAAAAACAATGTAACAAATTAATTATAAAGCTAGCTATGAGTGTAAATGTTATCGATTTTTAAGTGAACTATTGCAGATTTTGTGCGGTGTTTTTATAATTAGATAGGTAATATATTGAATGAAATTATTAGCGCTATTCGGCGGGTAGTGCGGTTGTCGTGCCGTCTTTTTCTATCGCGAGATTATCGAAAGAGAGAGCAGTAGGGTTGTCTCCGACGCTCGGCCGTACGACGCGAGTTCGAACTTATGTGCAATTATTATTTTGTATAAAATAGTAATTTAACTGTGTCTAAGCTAACACGTGGATTTCCATATTACTGAATGTGATATTTAGGTATTACGAGTGCGGTTTGTTCGACGACCGGGGACTCACCCCACATATATACATACACGTACATACTTTAATACATCTAGCGAACTTATATATATTTTATGTACTATTATTGTATCTTAAGAAGATATATTCTTATTTTTCATGGTCCAAGTTTTAAATGTTTTATCGACTATACAAAAGTGTGGATAATCATTATTATATTCTTGTCAACTTTAAAAAATAAATTAGCCCAAAAATCCTCAAAAAAAATGATATCTTCAAATTTGTGAAATTTTTTGGTGTTCAATCAAAAGTATATTAATGAAGTACGAGATGAAAAATTGTATACGCTCTCCCAGAATAAATTTAGGTAAAAACTATTTGGATATAAATTATCATACGATACTTATTGTAAGTTATGTGTACATGTGCGCCTCAAGGAAATTAAGAAGTCTTTGTATTGTGTATGTAATTAAAATATACATATATTATATACAAGTTAAAAATTAATGTCATACTTTTTCTTGAAAGACCACGAGTGATGTGCAAAATAGGGGTACTAGAGAGATAGCCTCGACATTTCGACATACACTTAGTACCTGCCTGCCGCGGTCTCTCATAGTTGGTGTTGTTGGCTATATCTGAATCATAATACATATCCGGATGGCGAGATGTCGAAAGCATTCTCTGAGAGAAAAAAAATAAACAAAAATTTTTATATTCGAAATTTTAAACTAGTCGATAGCATGTCTTCACCTTTGTTTCACTGTGCATAATTTTCGACGTCTTTTTAGCATTTAATCCTAAAGAATTATCTATATTATATTAAACGTTATGTGCATTTATCTAAGTGATGTCAACTTTTTCTACATTGGACATTAAGTATGGAGAAATCTATTTTATTCTTCGTGTTACATAATAAGCCCCCACCAGACCGCATTTCGAGTTGCGTTTGAAAATTTGAAAATCGAACAACATTTTTTTTAAATACGTACACGAATCTGTGTGTTATGCCTGACATTTGTTGATAGCTTAAATAAAAAGGTTATTTTTGTGTAAGTTTGTACAGAAATAGGATGGGACAATTTGCAAAAAGAACTTAGATATTAATAAACATTCCGTTTAGAATGTTATTAGTTTTTTTATTATTATTATTATAATATAAAAAAATATTTTTTGCATCGGGAACAAATAATTATGTTGTTTAATCTTATTTTGTAACGTTAGTTAATTTTAAGTGGCTTTATTTTTTAAATAACCCAATATATGATTATAATATTATATTGAGATGTTATACGTCATTGTTTTTGTGCAAAGTGTTTGGGGTTCATTCCCGGTTAATGAGAGTTGCGACTGATATGTAGTAGAAAATGCCGAGTGCGCTGCACTGGGCCGGTCTGTACAAAGGTATACGCCGCCTTTACACTTAACATGTTATTGACAATGGTCCCGAGCGCTTAAAATAATCAACTCAGCCCTGGAAATAGTTTACTAGAATACACGCTGACTAACGCTGAGCCCAAAGCAATTTTCTACGCAGTTGGTTATTTTAAAAACAACGCCGAGAAAGACGCTCCGTGTCAAAGTCACAAAATTAAAGACAAAAGAATGTTAAAATATAATAAATTTCGTGTTTGTAAACTGCCTCTGTCGAAATACCTCATTATAATAGTAAAAAAATAAAAGAATGGCAAAAAAGTTTTTACAACACTTTGGCGTTGAGCGTCTTTGTCTGCCGAAGGGATCACTGGTTTATTAGTGAATCATTTTTATTGTATATTGTTCAATCATTTTTCCACATAGTTTAAGCATTTTAGTTGTATTGTAGTGTAATTTTGAATTAATAGGTAGCAGGTAGTAATTCTTTAATATTTTGTTAATTTTTTTCGTAAAAATAAATTCTGCGTAAGGGTTAGGTTAGTCTTGAACGGTCCTCGACTGGTCCAGGAACAAAAAGACAATGAAGGGAAGTTGCATTTTTAATTAAAAATATAAACTAGATTTCAGCGAGAATGTGAGTGCAATCGTACCTCCTAACGCGTTTCCGAAACTCGAAACTGTTGCGTGATGGTTATAAAAAAAAATATTCAGTTTTCGAATGGTCTAACTCGAATTTTGAATTTGAATCGCGCATAGCTTTCGTCGGACGGGATTTGTAAAAGACAATGCCAGATCTTATTTCTAAGCATGTGAACACAAGTTACTTGTTTGTGTAACTGTACCTATTTCTATAATTCAAGTTGTTTTTCAAACACAGAATTAGACATTATGTACTTTGAATAGCACCTAAAGAAACATATTTATGTCCCAAATTGTACTTTTGTGTTTGAAAAACGACCAAACGCGTTTCTAAATGTAAGTTCCATCTTTATTGTCACTTTTTTTTCCTTTACAACTGTATGTATTTCTAGATGATTAATTTTAAACAATAATTATTGTACTATTATTACAATAATTGACTTATTATTATTGACATTTAGAATTATCGTGGAAGGGTATATGATACAGACAGTAAATTAATGTTGCTGATGCGACATAGAATGTTCAACATTCGTTTCTTTTTAAAAATATGTACAAGAAGAAGCATTTAATTTTAGACATATTAATAATGTTATCTTAACTGAAGTGGATAGTGTACATTCAACTTATTTCACGATATATTTATTGAAAAGTGACGCTTAACGACAAAACACATCACATTGCTGAGGAACATTCCTTCTTTTTAAGAATGTTTCTTTGCGAAAACGTTAAAAATTACTAATTTTCGTTTGTGATTGGAAAAAATCAGGTAATGGACCAATACATAAGATTCACAGTGTTATCTCCTATAATTGAATGGCTCATGTTTTTTTATAATATATAATTCGCTAAAGAAGCTAACAAGATCAAATTATTATATTGTTATTTAATTATTGAGTACAAGTTTTAATGAAATATTTTTTTCAATATACCTTACTCGCCTCTATATTTTTGTTATTTTGTTCCTTTAGTTTTTATTATTATTGTTTAATTATAATAAAAGATAAATGATTTTTCGTTAACATTAGCGACTCATTAATATTATTTTTATTGATAAATTAATTATGAATATTATATATTTTTTTCACTTCCTCAGTAAGAAAAGTGATGTTTATAGTTTTTATTATTGTTCTTTACTCACACACTCGAGTGGAAAATAAGGTGAAATTGGCAAAAACGTGATTGGCAAAGCATATTGTATTAAATCTAGTCAAATTTTGAGTGGGAAAAATTGAAAGAGCTAAGCTTACGGCGATTCGACTGACTTTTTGATAAAAAGTTAAATAACGTCCAAAAAAAAGTCGCTAGGCGACATAAAAAGTTGATTTGAAATTGTGGAATTGTAGACAATGTTTGTAAAAACTGTTTCTTACGTATACTGTAACTTTAGCATCATTTGAGGTGATTTTTTTTTCATATGTAATGTTCTTTATCTGTAAGATCTTTATAACTTACGTTAATATCTTAATGACGTGGCTGGTTAGGCAGGTGTAAGAACGTGCGAGGATATTTAAAACCTGTATACAATAAATTTCTTTCATTTGTTGAAAATGCATTGTTTCATTTAATGAACGGCACACCCCTAGCTCCGGAGGAAGTGCGATTCTGCAATTACTACTTACTATAATTATTATTTCGAATGGAATAATTAATTATGTGGGTTCGTTTCGAGTCTGCCAAGGTGCACACAGACGGAAGTCTGGCCAGACCCCTCACAAAACCTCATAAGTTTGATTCGAATCAGTTTTGAGCAAATCGTGATCATTGAATTAATTTTAAAGCTAATTAATCTACACACTCAATTAATGGTTTCATAATTACTTAATACATATTATACCGGTTTAGTTAAGATTATCCATAATTAATGAACATGTCAATATTGATTTTGAGATACGAGCATTCGGAAATAAAAATTAATCTTTTAAAATTTCTTAAAATTTCAAGAGGTAATTAAGGGGAAGCATGTTCTCTTAGATTTTGGTGAAGTTAATTACCTGTCTGTCTACCTACCTAAAATATAGAGGTTTAATAACATCAATTTTAAATTACTACTATAATAATAATATAATAATTATCACTGATTAGACATGACTTTTATGATAGATTTATGAGAAATTATNGACCCCTCTCTATTAGTCTTTTTAGCATGTTACCTATCTAGTTAGTGCAATGTCTTTCCTTGTCTTTTTAGTTAGCTTAAAAACTTAATTAATGGGACTGTAAAAACTTCATCATTATTAAGCAACTATTTAGGATTTTTGCCAGCAAAGCAGCAAGATGGACTTTAGTAACCATCAACATAAAATTTTTGGTTCAAAGTTTAAATACAATATCAAAAAAGTATTCGTAAATGACCAATTTTTTAAATGTTTTTGTGTGTAAAAATTTCCTGCTAATTGTTTAATAATGTTTTTGGTGATTTTCCAACGCAATCAGATATAAACTGGTCGCTTTCCTGATAATGTGGAAGTTATTTATATTTATGCAAATGAACAGCAATGGCAAACGTTATCTACATCTGTTTTGTGTGTATGATCATTGCATTTATTGTTCTACTGGCACTGACGTTGAAATCCTTTGTATTGTTTTTTGATAGAACGTGAATAAACCTGAAATAACTGGTCTAGACCAGTGGTTCCCAAAGTTGTCTCGGCTATGACTCATCTAATACAAGTTCCCAAACTCGAGACCCACCTATAGGAAATTTAACCGTTACCAATATATCTAAATAAAGGACTTGGATCGGTAAGGTGGTGTGTCGTTCTACAGGCAGGGCCCACTCAATGTTCGCTCGCGACCCAGTGGTGGGTCATAGTCATTAGGAAACACTGGTCTAGACAATATGACGCTCAAATTATGTGATATTTTTTAGGTTTTACTGATTATGAGACTGACTACTAAGGGAAAATTTACTACCTATTAATAATACCTAATTAATTACCAACATTGACCTTGCTTTCATATTTGTTTACAACTTAGCATTTTAATACTTTTGATGATGTTATTATGCTGTAATGAATTTTATTTATGTAATGAATGAATGTGTTTACCAATCATTTTTGTGTAGAAAATGTTGATAAAACTTTATGCAGTTTGATTTAAGAAATAATAAATGGACAAATGCATTTTTGTATATAAGCTATTACTGGCTTCTTTTATTTTCTGCTTGTCCTAAATCTCATATCCAATCCCTTTTTGTCATCCAATTTTGAGTCCATTTGGGTGAGTGGTTTAATTAAAATTCAACCAATAAAAGCCTCCATCTATGTTTGAAATGGAATCTAGTTACGAATGCGTCCAGAGTGTTTTTTGAGTTGTGTTCTGTAATATGGACCTCTTTTATAGGCTGAGTTGCATCACCTTAACTTTAACCGTAACTATAACTTAAGTTTTTGTTTGTCATTTTTTATAACTAATTAAAGTAAGATGATGCAACCCAAGGTTAGTGTTTTTTGTTGAGCAGCTGTTCTAATCCAATGGAGTCCTAGTATCACTGCTATCGATATCAATCTATTCTTCTTCATTTACAGTGTACTTATCTCAAATTCTATCATTCCAGGCTGACATCCCCTACTGGGGTCATAACCGACGGCCCCGGTAACTATAGCGTGAGCACCCAATGCTCGTGGCTGCTAGCGCCGCCGTGGCTGGGCCCAGGGCCACCGGCGCTGCGGGTGCGGTTAGAGAGCTTCGCTACGGAGTGCGGGTGGGACCACCTCTATGTGTATGATGGGGACAGCGTGCGAGCGGAGCGATTGCTCGCTGTGTTCAGGTGATTATGGTTCTTTTGTGGACTGTGTTACGGGCGATAGTCCCTCCAACACAGGTCTCTCTGACTCCTAATGTTAGCAGCACCCAATGTTCGTGGCTGCTAGCGCCACCGTGGCTGGGTCCAGGGCCACCGGCGCTGCGGGTGCGGTTAGAGAGCTTCGCTACGGAGTGCGGGTGGGACCACCTGTATGTGTATGACGGGGACAGCGTGCGAGCGGAGCGATTGCTCGCTGTGTTCAGGTGATTATGGTTCTTTTGTGGACGTAATACGGGTGATAGTCCCACTAAACAGGGTCGCTCTAAGTCCTAGCTGCTGGCGGTGCCGTGCCTGGTAGGTTCAGATGATAGTGTTTCTTCTTTGGACTGTGTTACGGCACAGAATAAGTAATAGTACAGGTACAGAAGGATTACTCCGCAAGACCATTTAAATAAATGCGAGTCTTGCTACGACGCGATACAGTGGAATTCAGCTCGCACAGCACTACGTACCTACAATTTTATTCACCTACAAGTTTTGTCTCTTTCTATCGCGTGCCTCTGAACTCTTCTTACGANAATCGTAGAGGAGCAGGCAACTCTAGAGGCGCATTTCGCTCCCGTCCCGGGCGACAATACAGACCTGGTGACCAATACCGTGGAAATCGGAGGTTCGCAGCCACAGCCACGAACACGAAATCCGAAACTACAAATAAAAACAAAAAATCATGACTCGCCGAATGCTACAGCGTTCAGAGCAGGGCAATTGACCAAATTCATTGCCCAGTGGGAGGAGATGGGAGCTCCAAAGTACATTCTCCAAATCATAAAGGGTTATCGTATTCCATTTGCACAAAGGCCACCTCTTGCTTTACCAAATCTGGAGAAGAGTGCTTTGAATATCCCACCCTCCCCCGCCATGACAAAAATAATAAATCAAATGAAAAAAGAGGGAGTTTTGGAGGTGGTAAAACCTCCAACTCCAAGCTTTCTGTCAACAATATTCTTAATCCAAAAAGACGCCCATTCCTACCGTCCCATTTTCAACCTAAAAACTCTGAACAAATATGTTATAACAGAGCATTTCAAACTAATAAATGTGTGCCGAGTGCCGGACTTTCTACAACCGCACGACTGGCTATGCAAAATCGACATTTCGCAGGCCTATTTTCATGTCGCCATAACCCAAGCCCAAAGACGGTTTCTACGGCTAATTTACAACGGGGAACTGTTACAGATGACATGTCTTCCGTTTGGCCTAAGCACAGCCCCGAAGATTTTCGCATCAGTAACGAACTGGATTGCCCAAATATTAAGAGAACAGGGAATTCGCATAATAGTTTTTATAGACGATTTTTTATTGGCACACCAGGATGCCACAGTGCTAAAAAATCAAGTGTGCAAAGTAGTACAAATTCTAAGTCACCTGGGGTGGCAAATAAACATCAAAAAGAGTCAGCTTGTACCCCAAAAACAAATTGTTTATCTGGGTATTCAATGGGATCCTTGGCTGAATCGCAAATGCCTTCCACGAGAGAAACATCAAGGCTGCGCCAACAAAATCGTCCGAGTTCTTCAGAAAGGCACAGTTACCCTAAAAGAGCTTCAGAGCATCATAGGCTTGTTCAATTTTGCGAGTTTTGTAATTCCGATGGGCAGGTTAAACTACCGCCATCTTCTCAAGTTTCTAAACTCCATTCCCAAAAACTCCACGCAAGAGTCTTTTGTTCTGCCAGTAGAGTGCCTAGTAAATCTAAAGTGGTGGCTTCAGAACTACAAAATGGTGTCTCCGATTCACTATCCCACACCAACTCACTATCTAACAACAGATGCGTCAGACGTAGCATGGGGTGCCAAACTGAACAATCATTCTCTCTCAGGAATGTGGAGCGCTCTCGAACAGGGTTTGCACAGCAATCAAAAGGAATTGCTAGCTGTCCTGAAAGTCTTGCAAACCAATTGTCAGTTGCTAATAAATGCAACAATACTACTTCAATGCGACAACAAGACAACTGTGGCATACCTTCGCAATCAGGGCGGAACCAAATCCCCCTATCTGATGGACTTGACATACAGGGTGTACGAGATTCTAGATCAGTACCAAATACACTTAATTCCCCATTACCTACCAGGCAGATTCAATTGTCACGCCGATTCTCTTTCCCGCCATCGCCAGACCGCAGAATGGCACCTCTTGCCTTGTTGCACGCAAAAGATTTTCGACCGGTTCGGCATTCCAGTGATCGATCTGTTTGCCTCAAGAACGGCTCATGTCGTTGCGAATTATGTCTCGCTCGACCTAACCGACAACCAGGCAATATATCACGATGCTTTTTCCCAAATATGGAATTATCATCTCGCTTGGATCTTTCCCCCTCCTTACCTCATACCAAGGATTCTCACCCACTTGAATCTAGCGAAAGGGTGTTACATTCTGGTTGTCCCCCGGTGGGAACGGGTTTTTTGGCGGGCGGATCTCAAGCAGAGAGCAATCGCTCCCCCGTTCACGATAAGGAACCTCTCGAGCTGTCTAATAGACACGGTAACCCAACTTCCTCCTCCCAAAGTGGAAGAAATGACATTAGAGGTATGGAAATGTGGGGCTGGGCGAGAAACCTAGAGGGCTGGAGTCCACAGCAGGTTGATCTACTACAGTCAGCCTGGCGTTCGTCCACGCAAAAGACCTACAAAGCTCCCTGGACTCGTTGGTTAAAATGGGCAAACTCTCAGGGTATTGACCCCCTGTCTCCTGAAGCTTGTAATGTTGCAAGATTCTTAGCCGATCTTTTCCTAGTTGAGAACCTGTCCTATAATACGATCTTACTGCACAAATCTGTGATATCAACTTTATGCAATGCTAATGACGCAGGTAAAATTAGTAATCACCCTTTGATTAAACACATATTAAAATCAATTGCTCTCAAACAACCGGTAGCAAGAAAACCAAATGTATGGAATATTGATGATCTTCTATTGTATTTAGCAAATAGTTCAATTGATTGTAATAACGTTTTTGAAACTTCTAGGCATACTGCTATATTACTATTGCTCTGTTCGGGTAGAAGAATACACGATCTAACACTTTTGAATGTTGATCCGCAACATATGATCCAATCTAATGATAATATTATATTATGGCCAAGGTTTGGCTCAAAAACCGATTCGGCTACGTACCAGCAATCTGGCTGGAAAATTCTACGTAATTCTGTCAATAAAAATTTAGATCCTGTATTTTGGGTAAATCGTACAAAAGACTTGTTAAATGATAGACGGGTTGAAGCAAAATGTAATAATTTATTTATTAATCTTAGAGGCACACCTAAGCCTGCTTCACGGACGCTCATAGCAGGTTGGGTGAAATCTCTTCTTGTTAAAGCTGGTATAATAGCAGCTCCAGGTAGTTGTAGATCTGCTGTTGCCTCAAAAAGCTGGGCAAATAATTTACCTATTGATGATATACTTGCGAAGGGAAATTGGAGATCTGAGAACACTTTTAAAAAATTTTACAGAAAAGAAATTATATCAACTAATTGTAGCAGAAGTATTGTAAATCTATTTGAACCAGTGAATTAATATTACTTGTTTTTAAATATAATTTGAAAAACCTTTTTCCAAATAGGTAGGTACATAATGTACCGCTGAGCAATGTACCTTTATTTACTGTTTATAAATTGTAATTATTATTGTTAGAGGACTTATTATGTTATAATTAATATGGGTAAATATATTTATTATCACACAGCTTTGGTTTTATTTTATACTCACCTGCGATTCATTTCCTTTGTCCTAATTGAATAGGTACTTTTTTTATTAAATACTGTATTAACTCACATTGGCGTTTCTTCCACCACCAGGCGATAACAGACATGTCTCATTATTATTAAGCTTTGAATAAGGTCAAGCTATTTAATAGAAGCGTTTTACCTTACAATAAAACGCATATTAAATACTTACCTTATTCAAAGCTTAAATTTTAATCCTGCCTGCTGGTATAAAATCGTGCAATGACGCTAGAAGTTCGCAATCGCGAACACTGCCTGGTGGGGGGAAACGCCAGATGGCGCTAGTAGCTGTGTAAAACGGAAGTAAAGGAGAAGAAAAAGGTAGGAAATAGCACGAAAAATGGAAAGCCTATCTCATTATTATTAAGCTTTGAATAAGGTAAGTATTTAATATGCGTTTTATTGTAAGGTAAAACGCTTCTACTATCACCGAAGAAAGAATGACATCATACCTATACCTACTTACTACGCAAACACGAAACGGCTACATCCTAGAACGAGAGGCATCACCCGAAAATCATATGTGTATTTGGCTTTGCACAAACTTAATCTAATGTTACTCGCTGTACTTTTATTGGCAACAATTTATTTTTTACTGAATATTGTTGGGGTAGGTAGGACCTCGCGCGTGACACTCGACTGATATAATACCCGCCGGCGGGGCGCTTCGCTGTAGGTAATTATCGAATGTACCGCGCGGAGTGAGCCAGGCCTGGTTACGGGCTATAGTCCCTCCAACATAGGTCTCTTACTCCGAGCCACCGGCGCTGCGGGTGGGACCACCTATATGTGTATGACGGGGACAGCGTGCGAGCGGAGCGATTGCTCGCTGTTTTCAGGTGATAATCTTTCTTAAATAGAGTATAGTAAGGGCGATAGTCCCTCCAACATAGGTCTCTTACTCTTGGCCACCGGCGCTGCGGGTGCGGTTAGAGAGCTTCGCTACGGAGTGCGGGTGGGACCACCTCTATGTGTATGATGGGGACAGCGTGCGAGCGGAGCGATTGCTCGCTGTGTTCAGGTGATTATGTTTCTTTTGTGGACTGTAATACGGGTGATAATCCCACTAACATGGGTCGCACTGAGTCCTAGCTGCTAGCGGTGCCGTGGCTGACAGGTTCAAGTAATTGTGCTCCTTCAGTGCACTGTATTACGGTCTATAGTCCGTCCAACATAGGTCTCTTACTCCTGGCCGCCGGCGCTGCGGGTGCGGTTAGAGAGCTTCGCTACGGAGTGCGGGTGGGACCACCTGTATGTGTATGATGGGGACAGCGTGCGAGCGGAGCGACTACTCGCTGTGTTCAGGTGATTATGGTTCTTTTGTGGACTGTAATACGGGCGATAGTCCCAGTAACATGGGTCGCTCTGGTTGCCAGCATGGTGTAGATAACTGTACGTGCACGATTCAGGTGATTATGGTCCTTTAGCGGATTGTATTATGAGCGATAGTCCCACTAACTACAGTGTCAGCACCCAATGCTCGTGGCTGCTAGTGCCGCCGTGGCTTGGTCCAGGGCCACCGGCGCTGCGGGTGCGGTTAGAGAGCTTCGCTACGGAGTGCGGGTGGGACCACCTATATGTGTATGATGGGGACAGCGTGCGAGCGGAGCGATTGCTCGCTGTGTTCAGGTGATTATGTTTCTTTTGTGGACGTAATAAGGGCGATAGTCCCTCCAACACAGGTCTCTCTGACTCCTAATGTTAGCAGCACCCAATGTTCGTGGCTGCTAGCGCCACCGTGCCTGGGTCCAATGAGGGCTATCGTTTTTATACCTAACAGTTGGCACCCCTGGCGATTGACAGGACCTTACTCTACAGTGGCGCCATCTTGATGAGTGCAAATGCGATAGTCCTCCTACCACTTTAGCGCTCACCAGTTGGCGCCACTGTCTTCGCTACTAGCAAGTGACAGGACCTTACTCTACAGTGGCGCCAACTGGTGAGCGCTAAAACGATAGCCCTCATTGGATGTATCACGTCAGAACGACAGTACCTATTAAGTTAGTTCTCAAAGTGCAAAAGCTAAGGAGGCATGTGACATTTTTAGAATTATTGACGTTCATAAGTACCAAATCCTGGTCAAAATGTAATATAGATATTTCAATTCTACTCCAAATAATTCTCAACTCTCCCTTTCTAATTCCAGCGGAGTCCTGGAACCAGGCGAGTCGGGCTGGACGAGACAAGTCATAGCGCGCTCCGGCAGCGCACTATTACACTTCTTTTCCGATGATGCCTACGCAATGGAGGGCTTCAACGTGACGTATGCTGCGTACTCTTGCCCTTCGGACGACCATCGGACTAATTGTTCCAGTGAGTTAATGCTATAACAGATTAAATACACATAAGTGGACTGTAGATCCATAGGTCGCTGGTTCATATCCGGCTCGAAGGACCATGAATAAACCACGGATACTCTCGGCGCACTTAAGGGACTCTTATCTAGGTATAAATAAGACGTCAATATGTAGGTGACAATTTAATGCTTGACACAGGTTATCAATGGTTCTCAATGGTTCAAAATCCTCCAGGTATTTAAAGCCGGGAAAAAAAATCTCGACACCGCGGTACAGCTTTACGCGTCTCAAAATACAGTGACATCTATTGGCCACTAATACAAACAAGTTTCATGGAAGGTTTATACAGTCATCTTCGTAGAAACGCCCGAGCGCGGTTTGTATGCGAGCGCGCCAATACGTATGCGGCGCGCACGCACACACTGACAAAATTTAGCGTTGATTAGCGGTGAGTTGCCCCGAATTTTGTCAGTGTGTGCGTGCGAGCCGCATACATATTGGCGCGCGCTCACATACAAACCGCGCTCGGTGCGTTTCTATGAAGATGACCTACTCATTTGTATTTACTCTGGTTATAATTTCGTTTCGTTTCAGACATGACGTCCACTGCTATGCTAGATAAAGGCCTCCCCCAAGGATTTCCATAACGATCGGTCCACGCTAGAAAACGTAGTGTAGGCAAGACCGGTCGTTATGGAAATATACTATAGTCCGGTCGCCGAGAATACACACGCACATTCACTGCGGCCGGCCGTCGTATAGTCGCGAGAGCAATATAATTACGCGCGAGCGATAAGGATGGGCTGCTTGGGGTCATTGGACGAAATTCTACGTGCTCGGCGACCGGACTTTGTAATGATTATTATCTTATCCTATTTGCTATCTGAATAGATTAGAAAGTATATTCTACAATCATGGAGTCTACCTGTTGGAAAGTGCATATCTTCAAAAAATGTGGGCCCTACTCTACCATATTTGCGCTCATTAGTAGACGCTATTGGAGAGTGACAGGACCTTACAGGCGCCAAATGGTGATCGCAAATATGGTAGCTCTAAAAATTATTGCTTTTAGAATCTGAAGAAAATAAACTTGTTAAATAAGTTAGTTACGAAACGTAAATAGCATACTAATATTAAATAGCTATTGATAGATAAATTATTGTGCGTAAAACGGTCGATGGTATTGCTGTTATCAATAATATCTTGCTCATAAACTTTAATATAGGTTCTGTATTAAAAATAGTTAGTAAATTATCGCATAAAAACGTATAATATAACTTTATGGGTGCACTGCACGAATAAAAGTGGACTGTAATGTTTTATTTGAATTTTTTAATATGTTATAGGCATGGTACTTAGCCTATATTATTATGTGATGGTACACTTACACCCGTGTTCACAAACGATGCTTACTTAAGTGAAGCAGCAACTCGTGCGAAGTGGAACACACAGCGTTGAATAGAGCTCTGTGATTGGTTCATGTGTGTCAATCCGCCACTCAAGTATTGTTTATGAATAGGTTTTGTGACCCTGTGCGTCTACGCGCACTGTGAGACCTCATAGTAATGTTTGTGAATAGCACTGCACTGCAATATGTGCAGTTCGTTCGTTCGTTCGTTCGTTTCAGCCAAACGACGTCCACTGCTGGACAAAGGCCTCCCCCAAGGTTTTCCAAAATACCTATGTGCAGTACAAAAAATAATTTATTTATGCAATTACGTTAACCCAGTACAAAAAGTTCCTACCACCAAGGTCACTCCATTTCGATAAGAAATATGTTTTCAAATATTGAACATGCACTTCAATAGTGTCATAATATAAACGTTTGCTAACCATTAAACATTGCATTTTTCAGATCACGGTGAATGCGAAGATGGGACGTGTAGGTGTGAATCTGATTGGTACGGAGTGGCCTGCGATCAACCTGTGTGTCCAGGTAATGTTTTGTTATCCTACTAATACCATGTGAAATGGATAAACGGGACTATTCCCACCTCTCGTTCCCACCACTGCAACTCCTGTGTAGCCAGGATCTACAGCTTGACCGCCATAAAAACCCAACCAATGAAGGTCAAGTTTGTCCCGGGGGAAAGTTAAACTGTCATTGGACCCGCAACGAAATTAATCAGAAGAACATAGATAAGTGAAATGGATAAGCAAAAACGTTTAGTTTTTGCTTTACAATATATTTTTATCCATCAGAATAACATAAAACCTTTAATTTATAACTATACTAACTTTTTCCAGCGACTTCGCCCACGTGAATTTTCGTCTAGAAAGTTTATCGCGTGCGCATCCTTCTTCCAACTAATCGAACAAAAAGGATGATTTATGTCATTTCCTTTCCTTTTCCTAATACTTTCACATTTCATCTAAATCACTTCAGTGATTTAAGCACATTCTTTCGCAATTATAATAGTAGTATGGATATTGAGTTAATTAATCAAATTACAATGATAAATGTCAGTAAGTTGGTCTTTCAATGTGACATAATGAATTTCACGCGCGTGTCATCATCATCACCATCTCAGCCATAGGACGTCCACTGCTGAACATACAGATAAGGACTATATTTGCGAGCGTGCGTGTTGACTCGGCCGAGAAACCGGTCGCTGCGTTGAGCATGATGACGTGAACTAGCGATATACAGTACTAATATTATAAAGAGGAAAGATTTGTACCTATTTTTGTATGTTTGTAATGAATAGGCTCAAAAAGCACTGAACGGATTTTGATGAAACTTTACAGTATTATTGTTCATAATCCAGAATAACATATAGGCTATAATTTATGACGATCTGTGACAAAGGAAATTTCACGCGTGCGAAGCCGCGGGCGGAAAGCTAGTACAGTATACGCGGGAAATACAGATACATTTTATTTCACTATTTATGTCATAATCTGTATTAACACCCAGACCCATCACAGAATTCATCATTTCAATTTCGGCCTGGCCGGGAATCGAACCCGGGACATAGTAGTCCGTTCCAAACCACTACACCAAGCGCCCGAATTTTATTTTTATTTATTTTTATGCATAACAAGGCAGTTATTTGACCACAATCGCACCTGATGTTAAGTGGGATGCAGTCTAGGATGGTACATATCTGCCCTGTAAGTGCCTATTCACTCTCGCCTTGAAAATGCCCGGATTATAGTGATCGGGAAAGACAGCAGCAGGCAACGAATTCCAGTTCCAGTTCAACCGGTCCAAACCGGTTTCAAACTGGTCGCGTCATGTGTGGTCTCTCAACGGAATCTATGGCAGAAACTTAGATGCAACTCAAAAGTAACTAGAAGTTGCAGTGCCGTTGCAATTGCGTTTCACCGTGTGTTCTGGGCCTACTACATTAAAATTTCTTCTGCATCTTCAGACGATTGCAACGCAGCCTACGGCGCCGGATCGTGCACCGCCGCCGGCTGCGCTTGCACGCCGTCCCGCGCCGGGTCCGACTGCAGCCGGGACGCCGCCGCCGCCGGCTGGGGCTGGGCGTGGCGGGAGGCGGGCGACTCGCCGCCGGATCAGCCGCCGCCGGAAAACACGCCGGTTGCCGCCGCCGGACATGTGTTGCTGAATTATGGGGAGGATTTATTGAGAGTTGGTGGCGAGACGTTTGCGCCGGCACCATTTTTGTACAGGTTAGTAATTAAATATACAAAAGACAGTACACACTGCATTAGTTGGACGAAGATGGCACACACTGTGCCATCTTCTGGAGATGGTAATAAGGGTTATTTTGCAACAATAAAGTGAGCTGAATTCTGTCGACTACATGTTGTGTCTTGGGAATAAAACTGATAGTCCAGTCAATAAAGCATTATAGATGGAAAACTGTAGAACACAATTTCTGACTTCAGGACTTTATTGAGACTAGTTAGGAGGTGAACATAGCAAAAGTCCCCGCCCTTAGCCCTTGAGCCGGCGGGGTGAGGGGGGTTTAAAGATGCCACTTTTCGGTTTTTCGCTTAATCCTCGGAAACTATGCGTCCTAGTGACATGACTACTTTGAACCAAAAAAAGCATATTCAATTTGCTACAGATGAGATAGACAAGTTTTTCTATAAATTGTATAGTCTCACCTGTAGCAAATTGAATAAGCTTTTTTTGGTTCATAGTAGTCATGTCACTAGGACGCATAGTTTCCGAGGATTAAGCGAAAAACCGAAAAGTGGTACCTTTAAACCCCCCTCTCCCCGCCGGCTCAAGGGCTAAGGGCGGGGACTTTTGCTATGTTCACCACCTAACTAGGCTAAATAAAGTCCCGAGGTCAGAAATTGTGTTCCATGGATTTCTCTCTACACCGTCGTTAAGGCATTCATTGACTGGACTATGAGGTCACTGAGTTCGTCGGCTGGGGCTGGGCGTGGCCGGATCAGCCGCCGCCGGAAAACACGCCGGTTGCCGCCGCCGGACATGTGTTGCTGAACTATGGGGAAGATTTACTGAGGGTTGGTGGCGAGACTTTTGCGCCGGCGCCGTTTTTATACAGGTTAGTTAATAAAGAAGATAGCATAAACTGTGTCGTCTTATGTAGCTTGTAATAGGAGCTATTTTCCAACAACAAAGTGTCGACTGCACATAGTATTGTCTCTTGGGAATCTAATTGTTGGCGCGAACTGTTGACGCGAATTTTTTGATAAGTTAACTGACGGACTAATTCAAACTCTTGCTTCTTTACCCAGGAAACATCCATATAACAGACGACGACACATACTGTATCGTCCTATGTAGTTGAAAAAGATGCTGTATTGCAACAATAATGTCTGATGTGTTGTTGACTGCACATTTTTGTCTTGGGAATGGTACTGATGTCCCAGCCCTAACCGTTTCGGCAATCTTAGAACTTTTTTGTATTTTACTTAATGTTTTTATACTTTTTTCAGATACAAAGTAGCCGACAACGCGTGGGAGACCATAGAGACGCGAGGCGTGGCGCCGGCGCCTCGTTTCGCGCACGCGGCTGTCATGTATGACCACGAGCTGATTGTCTATGGCGGGGTGGTGGCTTCGGACGAACCAGAGAGAGGGTAAGGACGAACTACTAGCGTATAACTCTGTCAGTGCCTGAGGTATGATCGGCACGGGAGGGGTGACATGACATATTATGACGTCACAAAGCATTTATAAACTCTCACTGACGTTTAACGTCACAGAAACTCCCTACTTCAGGCACTGACTGATTTGAGCTCTAGACGTAGTTTACGTAGACCTTCTATACTGTTAATTTTATTTTTCGTGAATATCATCATCATTATCATTTCAGCCATAAGACGTCCACTGCTGAACATAGGCCTCCCCCAATGCTTTCCACGTTGATCGATTGGTAGCAGCCTGCATCCAGCGCTTCCCTGCTACCTTTACGATGTCGTCAGTCCACCTTGTAGGTGGACGTCCCACGCTGCGTTTTCCGGTACGCGGCCTCCATTCCACAACCTTGCTGCCCCATCGGCCGTCAGTTCTGCGTACTATATGCCCTGCCCATTGCCACTTCAGCTTGCTAATCCGTGAATATACTGAGTTTATTATTTTTTACGAGGGCGGATTTCTGTGTCTGAGATGCTACGCTACGTTATGGGACCCTCAGCAAAAGACCGAAAAGAAATGCGCCAATGATGATGATGACAAATTCACTCCATGTTTAATTTCCAGTGGAGGCCTAGCAGGCTTAGAAGGCAGAGCGGGCGAGGTCACGAATGAACTGTGGCGTATAGCGTTAAATACGCCTCGACCACAGTGGAGGAACGCTACTCCGGTTAACTGTTCGCCGCATAGGCCGGCGCCTTTGAAACACTGTGGTGAGTAGACTCAATATGGTACTTAAGTCAAGACAATACTAAGGCTCAAAGTGCAATGGCAACTTCGACAGAGTAAAGTTGGAAATGCTTTAGCAATGGTTATGGCAGGTAATTATATGATACGTCTATAGTAGAGGAATGCTACGCCCGTCAATTGTTCTCCGCATAGGCCGGCGTCTTTGTTGAATTCAGTCATTATCGCGAGTTAATTGAGAACAACGCCATCTATGAGTGAAAATTGAAACTAATCTGCCTTAAGGTGTGATTAGGTAGCCAAATTCATGTAGCAGCGTTTCTTTTTATTTCTGTGAAATAATCTGCGTTGCTAGCAACATGACTGCTGCGTGTAGTCGGCTCAAAACTTGTACCTTTCGGCGTGACACCAGTATCAGTCAGTATGCAAAGTTCAAGGTATTTTTACCTTACTTATCGTGCAGTATTTTATTTGGTTTTTTAACACAGTACTTACTTTAAAACAAATTGTCATTTTCAGGCGGTCTACACGTGTCAGGTCATTCGGCTGTAGTGGTGAGATTGGGTCCCACGAGGAAGCCAGTCATGCTGGTGTTCTTCGGACACTCACCGCACTACGGATACTTACACACAGTACAGGTATGTTCTTTGCAAAATTGAATGGGCAATACTCAGTATGTTGCATCCCATTAAAAATATAAAATAGTAATTTAATACCTAACGCCTAAAATGTGCCGTGGAGTGAAGCTCGAAAGGTTTCAAATGCTTTCCATATTTAGCTTAGTACAAAAGGCTAACGAGAGTACTAGTAATCTTAAAAAAAAATGTGACAGTGTCGTGGCCATCATGCCATCTTAAGCCAATAAATTGGCGGTGTTTGGTGTCGCCGTATTAAGCTAGCTCTGAGCTACCAACGTGCTAACTAATGATCTACCAATAATGTTAGTTCCGTAATATGCCACTGATGTGTCGTCGGTTTAACCACTGGGCAACCACGTCATAACCAATGAGCTATTAACGTGTTAACCACTGAGCTATCCACATATAACTACTGATTTACTAACATCTAGTCATAGTCGGCCGTTTGGTGTAGTGGTTTCGATACGGACTACTATGCCGAGAGGTCCCGGGTTCGATTCCCGGCCGGGCAGAAATTGAAATGATGAATTTTAATTTCTGTGATGGGTCTGGGTGTTACTATGTATAATATGTATGTATTTACAAAAAAAAAGTATTTAAGTATGTTTATATCCGTTGTCTAGTAGGGTAAACCACCCAATCATTGGCACTCTACCAATTTATTGGCATGCTCCAGTTTTTTAAGAAAATTAAGGTTTTTTGTAGCCGAACCTTATATTTTTTAGTAGAAATTGTACAGTAATATCATTTATTACTCAACTGGCTACACACGTTTTTTATTTTTTCAAACACCGCGGCGCATCAACCATTTGTTTGACAAACCGGGACCTGTGCGAAAAAAACAATCGAAATATTCGTTTTTTACTAAGGTAAGAGCTATCATAATCTTTTAAAAAAATGCAAATCTATTTTGTTTTCCCTATACATAATCATTTTGTCTTATTATTGAATATANTTACCCTACCCATAGTACAAGATTTGCTTAGTTTGGAACTAGAAGCGTAGTGTAAAAAGTCCAAGGATATTTATTTATTTATCTTAACCACTGAGCTACCAACATTAAATCACTGAGCTACCATCCCTTTTATTCCCAGGAGTACTACATAGAAGAAGGGGTGTGGGCAGCGGCCGAGACCCACGGCTGGGCGGCGCGCGCCGGCTTCGGCCACTCGGCGGCGTGGGACCCGCTCTCGGGACGAGTCTACGTGCACGGCGGCCTTGTGTCCGAGTCCGAAGCTACACAGGTGAGAGAGAGATGTACTGTATACACCTAAAGCCTGGTCCGTGAGCACGTAGAATTTTGTCCAATGACCCCAAGCTACCCATCCTTATCGCTCGCGCGTAATTATATTGCTGTCGCGACTGTGCGACGGGCGCCCGCAGTGAGTGTGTGGGCAACAGCAGAGATCCACCCAGGTATGTACAAGAGAGAGAGAGGCTACACAGGTACACACGAGAGAGAGAGAGAGATGGAGATACACTGTGTCCCTTTAAACATGGATCAAACAAAAATATTGATTCCACTGCTCAAATGCGACTTTCATATCGAAACAATGTCCAAAAATCGCACTATCATCATCATTATTTCAGTCATAGGACGTCCACTGCTGAGTTTTGGCTTCCCTCAGTGATTTCTACAATAGCTGGTTGGTGGCGGCCTGCATCCAGCGCCTTCCGCTACCTTTATGAGGTCGTCGGTCCACCTTGTGGGTGGTAAAATCGCACTAACTCGCTGATTATTGATAATTTTTTGGAAGATTTTAACTTCTTTCTCTTGAGAAAAGTGGTTGTATTTGAGCCGTAGAATCTATCCATTTTATTTGATCCATGTTTGAAGAAGGCGTGGGAAGTAGAGACCCACGGCTGGGCGGCGCGCGCCGGCTTCGGGCACTCGGCGGCGTGGGACCCGCTCTCGGGACGAGTCTACGTGCACGGCGGGCTTGTGTCCGAATCAGAGGCCACCCAGGTACAAGAGAGAGAGAGAGAAACATTATTCATAGGAACCCTGAGCTAAAAAAAAATATGACAATTTTAGTTCTTGAAAGTTTCCGCTAGGGGCGCTGTACATGTTTGAAGAAGGCGTGTGGGTAACAGCAGAGACACCCACCCAGTCTGAGGCCACCCAGGTATGTACAAGAGAGAGAGAGGCTACCCAGGTACAGTGAGAAAGAGAGATGGGGATATAATACAGTGTCCTTTTAATCATGGATCAAACAAAAATATTGATTCCACTGCTCAAATGCGACTTTCATTCAGAAACAATATCCAAAAAGCGCACTATTATCATCATCATTTCAGTCATAGGACGTCCACTGCTGAGCTCTGGCCTCCCCCCAATGATTTCTACAATAGCTGGTTGGTGGTGGCCTGCATCCAGCGCCTTCCGCTACCTTTATGAGGTCGTCGGTCCACCTTGTGGGTGGTAAAATCGCACTAACTCGCTGATTATTGATAATTTTTTGGAAGATTTTAACTTCTTTCTCTTGAGAAAAGTGGTTGTATTTGAGCCGTAGAATCTATCCATTTTGTTTGATCCATGTTTGAAGAAGGCGTGGGCAGTAGAGACCCACGGCTGGGCGGCGCGCGCCGGCTTCGGACACTCGGCGGCGTGGGACCCGCTCTCGGGACGAGTCTACGTGCACGGCGGGCTCGTGTCCGAATCCGAAGCTACACAGGTACATACCAGAGAGAGATGTACTTATACTAGAGCAGTCTTTCCCAAAGTGGGCGATAACGCCCCCTTGTGGGCGCTGTAGGCTTAAAGGGGGGCGGTAAGAGACCCAGAAAAAAAAATCGGGACGTTGTGTAAAGGCCTGGGAGGCATCATCTACTAGGAGGACTCTTAGACACCGACTGAGCTCGACTCTTGACTACAAAAATGGGGGCGCTAAAAAATATTTTATTCTCAAAGTGGGCACTAGACTAAATAAGTTTGGGAACCGCTGGTAGCTTGTTTCAGAGTCCGAAGCAACCCAGGTACACATGAGAAAGAGAGAGAGATGGAGATAGATGTACATTAAAGGGACGTGTATCAAACAAAAGGATTGATTCCATTGCTCATTATACAACTTTCAAACCGAAACAATATCCAAAAACGCACTAACTGGCTGATTATTGATGACTTTTTTTTTGGAAGATTTTTACTTCCTTCTCTTGAGGAAAGTGGTTGCATTTTGTTTGATCCATGTTTGAAGAAGAAGGCGCGTGGGAAACAGCAGAGACCCACCTAGTCTGAGGCCATGCAGGTAGGGGTGAGAGAGAGAGAAACACTTTATTCGTAGGATCATGCCACTCGGCGGCGTGGGACCCGCTCTCGGGACGAGTCTACGTGCACGGCGGGCTTGTGTCCGAATCTGAGGCCACCCAGGTACAAGAGAGAGAGAGAGAGAAACACTATTCATAGGAGGCCCGAGCTAAAAAAATATATGTCAATTTTAGTTCTTGAAAGTTTAAAGGGCGCTGTACATGTTTGAAGAAGGCGTGTGGATAACAGCAGAGACACCCACCCAGTCTGAGGCCACCCAGGTATGTACAAGAGAGAGAGAGGCTACCCAGGTACAGTGAGAAAGAGAGATGGGGATATAATACAGTGTCCTTTTAATCATGGATCAAACAAAAATATTGATTCCACTGCTCAAATGCGACTTTCATTCAGAAACAATATCCAAAAAGCGCACTATTATCATCATCATTTCAGCCATAGGACGTCCACTGCTGAGTTTTGGCTTCCCTCAGTGATTTCTACAATAGCTGGTTGGTGGCGGCCTGCATCCAGCGCCTTCCGCTACCTTTATGAGGTCGTCGGTCCACCTTGTGGGTGGGAAAATCGCACTAACTCGCTAATAATTTTTTGGAAGATTTTAACTTCCTTCTCTTGAGGAAAGTTGTTGCATTTGAGCCGTAGAATCTGTCCATATTGTTTGATCCATGTTTGAAGAAGGCGTGGGCAGTAGAGACCCACGGCTGGGCGGCGCGCGCCGGCTTCGGTCACTCAGCGGCGTGGGACCCGCTCTCGGGACGAGTCTACGTGCACGGCGGGCTTGTATCCGAGTCCGAAGCTACACAGGTACATACCAGAGAGAGATGTACTTATACTAGAGCAGTCTTTCCCAAAGTGGGCGATAACGCCCCCTTGTGGGCGCTGCAGGCTTAAAGGGGGGCGGTAAGAGACCCAGAAAAAAATATCGGGACGTTGTGTAAAGGCCTGGGAGGCGTCATCTACTAGGAGGACTCTTAGACACCGACTGAGCTCGACTCTTGACTACAAAAATGGGGGGCGCTAAAAAATATTTTATTCTCAAAGTGGGCACTAGACTAAATAAGTTTGGGAACCGCTGGCAGCTTGTTTTAGAGTCCGAAGCAACCCAGGTACACATGAGAAAGAGAGAGAGATGGAGATAGATGTACATTAAAGGGACGTGGTTCAAACAAAAGGATTGATTCCATTGCTCATTATACAACTTTCAAACCGAAACAATATCCAAAAACGCACTAACTGGCTGATTATTGATGACTTTTTTTTGGAAGATTTTTACTTCCTTCTCTTGAGGAAAGTGGTTGCATTTTGTTTCATCTATGTTTGAAGAAGAAGGCGTGTGGGCAACAGCAGAGACCCACCTAGTCTGAAGCCACGCAGGTAGGGGTGAGAGAGAGAGAGAAACACTTTATTCATAGAATCATGTCACTCGGCGGCGTGGGACCCGCTCTCGGGACGAGTCTACGTGCACGGCGGGCTTGTGTCCGAATCCGAAGCTACACAGGTACAAGAGAGAAAGAGAGATATGAGGCTACACAGGTACACACGAGAGAGAGAGATGGAGATACACTGTGTCCCTTTAAACATGGGTCAAACAAAAATATTGATGCCACTGCTCAAATGCGACTTTCATTCAGAAACAATATCCAAAAAACGCACTACTATCATCATCATTTCAGCCATAGGACGTCCTCTGCTGAGCTCTGGTCTCCCCCCAATGATTTCTACAATGGCCGGTTGGTGGCGGCCTGCATCCAGCGCCTTCCCGCTACCTTTGTGAGGTCGTCGGTCCACCTTGTGGATGGGAAAATCGCACTAACTCGCTAATAATTTTTTGGAAGATTTTAACTTCCTTCTCTTGAGGAAAGTTGTTGCATTTGAGCCGTAGAATCTGTCCATATTGTTTGATCCATGTTTGAAGAAGGCGTGGGCAATAGAGACCCACGGCTGGGCGGCGCGCGCCGGCTTCGGGCACTCGGCGGCGTGGGACCCGCTCTCGGGACGAGTCTACGTGCACGGCGGCCTTGTGTCCGAGTCCGAAGCAACACAGGTAAGAGAGAGATGTACTGTATACACCTAAAGCCTGGTCCGTGAGCACGTAGAATTTTGTCCAATGACCCCAAGCTACCCATCCTTATCGCTCGCGCGTAATTATATTGCTGTCGCGACTGTACGACGCGCGCCCGCAGTGAGTGTGTGGGCAACAGCAGAGATCCACCCAGGTATGTACAAGAGAGAGAGAGGCTACACAGGTACACACGAGAGAGAGAGATGAAGATACACTGTGTCCCTTTAAACATAGATCAAACAAAAGAATTGAGTCCACTGCTCAAATGCGACTTTCATATCGAAACAATGTCCAAAAATCGCACTATCATCATCATCATTTCAGCCATAGGACGTCCTCTGCTGAGCTCTTCGTAGTAGGGTAGGGTTAATACTGGGACGTGTAAAAGTGCTTTTTTTAAGCCTATTTACAGAAATAAATGAGTTTTAATGAGTTTTTTTTAGTTTTCTGGTCTCCCCCCAATGATTTCTACAATGGCTGGTTGGTGGCGGCCTGCATCCAGCGCCTTCCGCTACCTTTATGAGGTCGTCGGTCCACCTTGTGGGTGGTAAAATCGCACTAACTCGCTAATAATTTTTTGGAAGATTTTAACTTCCTTCTCTTGAGGAAAGTTGTTGCATTTGAGCCGTAGAATCTGTCCATATTGTTTGATCCATGTTTGAAGAAGAAGGCGCATGGGCAACAGCAGAGACCCACATGGTATGAGGCCACGCAGGTAGGGGCAAGAGAGACAGAAACACTTTATTCATAGGATCATGTCACTCGGCGGCGTGGGACCCGCTCTCGGGACGAGTCTACGTGCACGGCGGCCTTGTGTCCGAGTCCGAAGCTACACAGGTAAGAGAGAGATGTACTGTATACACCTAAAGCCTGGTCCGTGAGCACGTAGAATTTTGTCCAATGACCCCAAGCTACCCATCCTTATCGCTCTCGCGTAATTATATTGCTGTCGCGACTGTGCGACGCGCGCCCGCAGTGAGTGTGCGAGCGCGACAGCAACATAATTACGCGCGAGCGATAAGGATGGGTAGCTTGGAGTCATTGGACAAAATTCTACGTGCTCACGGACCAGGCTTTAGTCTGAGGCCACGCAGGCAGGGGTGAGAGGAAGGAAGGGCTGAAGGAACACAGGTACAAGAGAGAGAGAAACACTATTCATAGGAGGCCTGAGCTAAAAAAAAAATATATGTCAATTTTAGTTCTTTAAAGTTTCCGCTGGGGGCGCTGTACATGTTTGAAGCAGGCGTGTGGGTAACAACAGAGACCCACCCAGTCTTAGGACACCCAGGTATGTACAAGAGAGAGAGGCTACCCAGGTATAATGAGAAAGAGAGATGGGGATATACAGTGTCCCTTTAAACATGGGTCAAACAAAAATATTGATTCCACTGCTCAAATGCGACTTTCATATCGAAACAATGTCCAAAAGCGCACTGACTGATTTAGGTATTAATGACAGTGCGGAAAGGTTTTTTTTTTTTGAAGATTTTTACTTCCTTCTCTTGAGAAAAGTTGTTGCATTTGAACTGTAGAATCTATCCACATTGTTTGGTCCATGTTTGAAGAAGGCGCGTGGGCAGTAGAGACCCACGGCTGGGCGGCGGTGGTGTATGGTGTCAACTATCAAATTGTAAATGACACTTGCCCGTATTCACAAACGATACTTGCTTAAGTGAAGCAGCAAATCGAATGCACAGTGTAAAATAGAGCTCTGTGATTGGTGCGTCTACGCGCACTGTGAGACCTCATAGCAATGTTTGTAAATACGGGCGTTAAATACAAAATAATGGTTGCTTTCAGGGTCCGTCAGCGGCGCTGTACGAGTACGATGTGAACAAGAAGATATGGAAACCGCTTCCTTCAGCGCCGTCGCCCAGATACCTGCACACCGCTACTTTTGTATCGCCAGGTAACGACATTTATCTAAACATTCATCATAAAGTTTGCACCAGGGTTCGAAAGGTCTGTTATTATCATGATAATTATCTTGATAATAACAGATGGATAATTATCAGTTGATAATAACAAAAAAAAAATGCTCCGTAAAAGTTAACTGTATTCGAAGTTTTCAAACTCGTGTGACTGTGGTGGACGTTATTTAACATAGATAGTTCTAAAACCTATCTATTTAGCTCCATAACGATCACTCGTTAACTAGCGTCAAAATATTTATCTATTTTCCACAACGCTTTATGCGACTAGCGATGGATAACTTGACAACAATCAGTAACCAATAACATAAAGCAACATTCTCAATGTAACATCAGAATTTCTTATGAAACAATATGACAAATATGTATCTTACACTGTTGATAATTACGCTTCGTGATAATTATCTGATAATTATCCGATAATTATCTAATAATTATCACGAAGCGTAATTATCTTGATAATTTTGAACCCTGGTTTGCACTGCGACAGAGAGAATCCTATTTCTGTCTTTTAGGCCCAGAACAGACGGTGAAACGCAACTGCAACGAAATTGCAACTTTCTGATGATTCTGGTGAATGAAACTGAAACTGAAAGTTTCAAACTGGTCGCGTCATGTGTGGTCTCTCAACGGACGCTATGGCAGAAACTTAGATGCAACTCAAAAGTAACTAGCAGTTGCAGTTTCGTTGCAGTTGCGTTTCACCGTCTGTTCTGGGGCTTACTCGCTCGCGAAATGAAACCACCAAGCTATAGATCGTTTCATCCACGAAGACTAATGTTTGAGTGTTATCGGTACACGCTAAATTATCTATGAGTGCACAAGCACACTACAATAATGCCGCTCGGATTGCTCGGATCAAACTCCTCGCACCCCGCGCGTACGAGACCAAAAGGGTGGGGCGCGTCTTCGTTGATGAAACAATCTATATTTGTGTGATATCCCACTGCAATGAGGGCTATCGTTTTAGCGCTCACCAGTTAGCGCCACTGTAGAGTAAGGTCCTGTCACTTGCTAGTAGCGAAGACAGTGGCACCAACTGGTGAGCGCGAAAGTGGTAGGAGGACTATCGCATTTGCACTCGTCAAGATGGCGCCACTGTAGAGTAAGGTCCTGTCAATTGCTAGTAGCGAAGACAGTGGCACCAACTGGTGAGCGCGAAAGTGGTAGGAGGACTATCGCATTTGCACTCGTCAAGATGGCGCCACTGTAGAGTAAGGTCCTGTCAATTGCTAGTAGCGAAGACAGTGGCACCAACTGGTGAGCGCTAAAGTGGTAGGAGGACTATCGCATTTGCACTCGTCAAGATGGCGCCACTGTAGAGTAAGGTCCTGTCAATCGCCAGGGGTGCCAACTGTTAAATATAAAAACGATAGCCCTCATTATTCTTTCTTTCTATTGATTAACTAATTCAATTACATGTTGTGTTCTCGTTTCAGGTATAATGTTAGTTTTCGGTGGTAACGCACACAACGATAGCTTGTCAGTCGCGGCCGCGTCGCGTTGCTACTCCGCCGGCGCTTTACTCTACAACGTCAGGTAATATAAACAACACTTCTCTTTTCTAAATAAGGTAGCACAAGATAATTTATTCAGTACTTAGGACTTTTCCAGACCGCTTATACACATGCCAAATAGCTTGCACGTGGTGCCAAGTGGTGGTAGCACTTCGAGACATTTATTTATTTTACACGGCTGTGTGGGAACTTTGCTGATTTATGTATTAAAAATTAATAGTCTATCAAAATTGTTTATTTCCCTTATATTAATAAATAAATAATTACGTACGTATACGTGCTATGGAGAGGGCTATGCTCGCTGTTTCTTTACGGGATTGAATCAGAAATGAGAAGATCTGTATACGAACTAAAGTCGCTGACATACCCTGACGGATTAGCAAGTTGAAGTGGCAATGGGCAGGGCACATAGCACGCAGAACTGACGGCCGATAGGGCAGCAAGGTGGAGTGGAGGCCATCCAAGTTGGACCGACGACCTCATAAAGGTAGCAGGAATGCGCTGGATACAAGCCGCCACCATCCGGCCATTGTGGAAGTCATTGGGGGAGGCCTAGATTCAGCAGTGGACGTCCTATGGCTGAAATGTTGATGATGAAAATATTAAATTAAGTGACCTTTGGTGACCACTTTTTTCATTATTTCCAGGTGTAAGACCTGGATAACCAGTTCAAGTCCTACCGGGGCAGCGAGAGCGGCGCACGCGGCGGCGTCGTTGCCTCAGCTGCAGTCTTCGCAACAGAGGAGGCGCGCTGCTATTATACACGGAGGGTATGTTGATAATATACTGTAATACCTTCAATTTTTACGTGCCAACTGAAACTGACAATTACTGCAGTCCTTAGGGCCCTCGCCCACGGCGACTTTTTGTTGCGATGCAATCGCGCTTCTGTAGCGCATTAGTAGCGATGCTGTCGCGCGTTTCGTAAAAAGTCGCCATGGGCCCTTCGAGTGGCAGAGGAGGCGCACTGCTATTATACACGGATGGTATGCGGATACACTACACTACTGTATTTTTAGTGGCCAAACTATTTTAAAAGTTTAACTTCTTTCTTATGGGTTGAGACCTCAGTTGTCACACTCACAACTATCCACTAACGGTAAGGTATTTTGTTAAGGATAGTTGAAAGCATGATCGAAATGCTTTCCAGAGGTAAATGCCGGATTTGCCCTATATTCCCCACGCTGGCCAGATGGGTTAGGGAGGCCTGATGATAGCATATTATTATTAATCTTCGCCTCTCACAACATCCAGAGTAGAATAGGGCCATATTCTACTCTGCTGAAACTACACGACTATTCCATCCTACTTATATTATAAATGTGAAAGTCTGGATGTTTGTTAATCTTTCACGCAAAAAATACTGAACGGATTTTGTTGAAACTTTACAGTATTTTTGTTTGTAACCCAGATTAACATATAGGCTATAATTCATGCCGATCTGTGACACTCAGCTGAATCTTTCAGAGTTCAGTGAAGCCGCGGGCAAAAGCTAGTCCTTTATGATTCTATGTTGCTTGCTACAGGTTTAGTCGTTGTATATTTGTCGAAGCTTCGAAGGCCACCTGCGACCAGACGCACGTCTCTTATTGGCTCTGTGCACGATTACAGCGCCAACTAGCGTCCACAACTTTGTGGGCTCTGTCACATTGACATTTAGGTCGTATATTTGTGGAAAAATATCGAAATGAAAAAATAACAAATATTTTCGACTAATAAATTGTTGTGATACAACGATTTGGATGGAAAAAAGGTTTTGAAATCATTTTGGTCATTCAAATCAAATGAGGTAAGTCCAAAAAGTGTGTTTAATTTTGATTGTGTCAGGGTTTGTTTACTTCATTTATAGTTGTAGTTTTACAGTAAAACAAAAAGAAAAAGCTACTTTAACGGTTTCATTATATAACAGTAAATATATTTAAATGTTCCTGTATCGCTAGTAATAAATTAAATATCGTTTTCAGATCGAAATGAGGATTGTTTTGAAGACCGGGTTTGTGAGTATTACAATATCAAATTCCAACCACAAACCGTATTACAAGGAAAGTTGTTGGTATTGGCTGGACAAGTCCGAGATGTAGAAGAATTAAGAACAAAACAAGGGCAGAGTTAATAATTTCACGCTCTCATCTTAAGGCAAACATCTGTGCACAACAACTACTGTGACTCATTTTTGAACTACCACATTGTATAGTCTAGTTATTTCCAAATTGTAAACGGCTATTAAACCAGCCCTATCGAAATACAGTCCACTCTTTTATTTAAGTTCCCAGTAGGACCCTTTTCTAGCGATTAATTAATGATATTAAAATGTATTATGTAGAATAGCTTTGCCATTGACAGATACATCTGATGACAGAGCTTACATTATTTCTACTTTTGACCACCATGAGCGCTACGATAGATTATGTTACCCCCACCTAGTACTTCGCACCCAGCGAATAGACGCGTGATGGTATTCTAATCTGCTTTGAGTCTTATATTAATCGTACATTCGCTTATACGATATCTTAATTTCTGCTTTTAGTCTTATATCGGTTCTATATCCGCAGTTTCGACGGCCGCCTGCGATCCGACGCGCTTCTCTTCGAGACGGGTGACAAGTGTTCCTCCTACAATGATGAAGTAGCGTGCGTGGCGGCTGCGAATCACGCGGCGCGCGCGTGCGCATGGCACGTGCACAAAAGGATATGTATGCCGGTGAGTTTGTCAACCGTTAGCGAAGAACAGGGCAGGTACTATAGTCTGATCTGCGAGCACGTAGAATTTTGTCCAATGACCCCAAACTACCCATCCATATCGCTCGCGCGTAATTATGTTGCTGTCGCGCTCGCACACTCACTGCGGGCGTTTGCGCACAGTCGCGACAGCAATATAATTACGCGCGAGCGATAAGGATGGATAGCTTGGGGTCATTGGCTAAAATTCTATGTACTCGCAGACCGGGCTTTACTCCCCTGAAGCCATTTGTAGGGAGTCAAGAAGTGTGGCGCGGTGGAGTGCAATCTGCCCTAGGCAGCCGCATTTCCGCGCACAGCAGTATAAACGCGAGGTTGGTATGGCCATGGGTGGTGGTGGGATTTGTCCCTATATTCCCCTGAAGCCAGTCGTCGCTTGCTCAAACGGAGCAAGCCAGTCTGGGGCGGAAGAATGTCTAGGCCGTCTAGCTCGGACTAACTCGCAGTTCCGTCCCCAAGACTTTAACCCAACACTGACAAAATTTTGCGGGGATTAGCGGGGTGTTGTGTTATATAAAGATGACCTCATCTTCATATAACACAACACCCCGCTAATCCCCGCAAAATTTTGTCAGTGTGTGCGTGCGCGCCGCATACGTATTGGCACGCTCACATACAAACCGCGCTTGGTTCGTTTCTATGAAGATGACCTACTCATTTGTATTTACTCTGGTACTACTCCCCTGAAGCCATTTGTAGGGAGTCAAGAAGTGTGGCGCGGTGGAGTGCAATCTGCTCGGACAATAACTCGCAGTTCCGTCCTCAAGACTTTGGGAGGACACCGTCAGGTTTTAATGAGTAGGCCCTGCCCATCTGGCATGGAGAGCGTCACACTTGTTCCCTCGGTCCATTTCATGCTTTTCCTGACGAAAAAAAAAAGAAAAAAATACGCATGATTTTATTCTGCGCTCTGACGCGCTTCTCTTCGAAACGGGTGACAAGTGTTCCTCGTACAATGATGAAGTAGCATGTGTGGCTGCTGCGAATCACGCGGCGCGCGCACAAAAGGATATGTATGCCGGTGAGTTTATCAACCGTTAGCGAAGAACAGGGCAGGTACTATAGTCTGGTCTGCGATCACGTAGAATTTTGTCCAATGACCCCAAACTACCCATCCATATCGCTCGATATTCCTTCGGAATAGAGCAACAACCACGAGCTGTCATACGAAACGGATTTTGGTTGACACTGAATGTCATTTGTGTGTCAGTGTCAGGATTATTTTACTGTTTTGTACAATAAATCAATCACTTATCTAGTCACCACGTTTCTGAAGCACTATTTTTCATAAACATCCACGATTTCACTCACGTAAAATCTGAAAATATCTCAGAGTTCAAATTTTCAGCGTGCTACTAAGTGCTTCCGAACTGTCAAATAGTTGCAAAATTGTGAATAATTAGGCTAGAAGTCTTTTAAATGCAGAGCATGCAATCGAGTGACGAATGACAACCTTCCCAAATTGGATATCTAATAACAACGAAAACTGATCACCAAATTGTATTTTTCAGTTAGAAGAAGTTGGATGGAAGGAATCTTTCGAGGGTGACGTGAAAGCGTGCGTCGCAGAACCCACTTTTGGTAAGAAACGAGAGTTATTTTCAGCTTTATGTTAAGTTAATTAATTTAAGACATATAACTGTGAGATGATTTCGTTGTCTTAACTATGAAAATGACTAAGGCTAAGAACTCGCGCGGTTGCGGGCCCGCAGCTTCTGTAGAATGCAGAAACTTATGTCAAAACTAATGCACAACTCATGACGCGGTTTCCGCCCGCAGCGGGCGCGGTTGTAATCGGGTCCCGCTCGGCGGTTTTTGCCCGCGCGAAAACCGCCCTATCGGAAGGCGACCATTTTGTACCAGTGTCTTAACACGCGCAGAGAGTGAGTTCTTAGAATAACCGCGCAAATAACCGCTCCCGTGAGTTTTGAAATAAAACCGCAATTCCACAACCGCCGCGGGCGTGGTTGAAAATCGCGCCGTGAGTTCTTAGCCTAAAGGAGCCAGTTAGGAGTCTTATCTATGAAAATACTAAAGGAGCCAAAATACTAAAGGAGTCTGTGCCTTATGTAACACGTATTTGTGCTGTATTCTACAGACGAGCGACTATGCGCGTCGGCAGAAAGCTGCGGCGCTTGCACGGCGGCGGGCTGCGCGTGGTGCGGCGCCTGCCTCGCGTCTGCTCTGTACTGCACGCGACACACGCACCAGGTAACACGCTACACCCGTTAGGTAACGCGCTACACCCGTTAGGTAACGCTCTACACCCGCTAGGTAACGCGCTACACGCGCTAGGTAACAGACTGCACCCGCTAGGTAACACGCTACACCCGCTAGGTAACGCGCTACACCCGCTAGGTAACACGCTACACCCGCTAGGTAACGCGCTACACCCGTTAGGTAACACGCTACACGCGCTAGGTAACGCGCTACACCCGCTAGGTAACGCTCAAGTCAATGATTTATGATGTTTGCTGGATTGATTGAACATGAACCACAATGGGACTAGGGACATCCTCCATGGTACTAAAAGTTCTAAAAAGCTGTAAGACTTAACTCATCATCATCATCATTTCAGCCATAGGACGTCCACTGCTGAACATAGGCCTCTCCCAATGCTTTCCATGATGATCGATTGGTAGCGGTCTGCGTCCAGCGCTTCCCTGCTACCTTAACTATCTGAAAATAAAATTATTCGTAACTCGTAACTGAAGATAAATGAATGCACTTGTTTTCTTGCCAGAGATGGTTCGCTCCCCGTCGCAGAAGCCAAATCGTGAGTTATTTTTAAAGACAATCACAACAACAGCAGTGTGACAGAAATAAACGTATCTATAAAGATAAGCATTCATACTTGGCTAGTGATTGTTTAGCTGTTGTTATTTACACATATTTGTAAGTATAGAAAACCGGTAATCGTTTAGCTACTACATATTTTATAGCGAGAAAATCTCTAAATTCGATAAAATAAATGCACTTTATTGCGTAAAAAATTGGTAATTTATGCTTGTCGACCCAATTCATTACAGTGAAGTTATATTTCAGCCAAACATTGTCATAGTTCGTTTCATCCACGAAGACGCGCCCCACCATTCTTCCGGTAATGTTTGAGTGTTTCGGTACACGCTATTTATCCATGAGTACGCGTATTATCCACGCACACTACAATAATGACGCTTGGATTGCTCGGATCAAACTCCCCGCACCCCGCGCGACCGAGACCTAAAATTGGTGGGGCGCGTCTTCGTGGATGAACCGAACTATACCGTAGTGTGTCGTTTACAAAACTGTTACTAAAAACCATATTATGTAAATAAAACATCGCCCGTTTGGTGTAGTGGTCCGAAAGGACTACTATTCCGAAGGTTGCGAGTTCGATTCCCGCACAGTACAAACATTTGTGTGCATGAGCATATTTGTTTGTATTGGAATGGGTGTTTTCTATGTATAATATGTATGTTTTTACAAAAAAAAAAGTATTTAATTATGTTTATATCCGTTGTCTAGTACCCATAGTACAAGCTTTGCTTAGTTTGGGACTAGAAGCGCAGTGTAAAATGTCCAAGGATATTATTTTATATTTATTTATTTATATTAAAACAATCTTTCACAGATGGCGCTCTCGCTAGAAGAGTGCGGCGCCACGAGCGAGTCGCCGCGAGAAGCGTGCGGACGCTTCCACTCCTGCGCAGCTTGCTATGCGCACCAACATCACCATACACACGTAAGTTACATGTATACTTAAGTTATAGTTCCTGGAACTCACGAAGACGAGTGAGCTTTACTTGTGTGTGTACGTGTACGTACATGCACATAACGATAGTTTAATGTCTACCAAAACTTTTGAAAAACGAACAGTAGCGAGCCACCACACATGTAAAGCTCACTCGCCTTCGTGAATTGCAACAACTATACCTATCTACATACCTAAAGGAGGGTCTCCTGCTCAAAAAACTAACAAAACAACAAAAAAACATTGCATTCTTCTGCATACTTATCAAACAAAAAACTTATGCTTATAACACATTCGTAATGATTTAGAACAAAAAAGACGCAGGTACTCGATGTTCGCAAGGAACGATGAAATAAAAAAATACGATTGCGAACAAGACTGATACCTAAGTCAAATAACTGTCGCAGTCTCGTCTCGGTCGCTTGTCCCTGTTGCGGCGTAAACCGCCTCATAGTGAAAGCGTAATTTGCAGTCTTCTGGTAATAAAAAAAACGCCTAGTAGTGAAAGAATAAATAATGTTTCTTCTGATAAAAAAATCATTGTTATTAATTTTTTCCAGGGTTCAGAAGAATTAACACAACGGCTATGTTACTGGGACTACGACACGATAAAATGTAAACCTGCCAATTCTTCGGATGATATAAGGTAAATTATAATGCACTAATATTTATGCTTTTGCGACTGCGATCGGCGCCCGCAGTGAGTGTGCGACCACGACAGCAACTTAAGGCCGGGTAGCAGAGAAAATGGCGAAAATGAGGTTTTCATTTTTCATTTTTGAGGTACTAAACAGTAAAATTAAAGGCTAAGATTTTTATTGGGCATAGTTGAGGATATTTTCTAGGGCTATTAACGGATGGAAACACGATTTGATGAAGTTGACTCGATAGAATAAATTCCCAAAGTTACCTCTATTCGTTTTCTATTTATGGTTTTATTTTTAAAATAAGCGATTTGAGATTCTAAATCTTTTACTAAACTAAAGTTCAGAAATAACTTGAGGGCTTTTAACGGATGAAATTTTTATATTGCGTCTTATTTAGTTACTATGTTAAAAAATGTGGAAAAAATCGTCCATGACGGCTTGGACAATCTCAATCAGTCGCGCGGTGGCGCTTACGGAGGACGGACGCGTGTCAGTTTTTTGGCCGTGACAGTTCGCGATTTGTCAATATTTTTGACAATGATGACTTTGATGAGTCACAGTATAATAATATCAGTGTTACTGGAGAAAGCTTAAATTTTTGATAATTAAAAATTATAAATTTTGTCTACCTATTGAAATTTAAATCGTTCGCATCCTTTTAAACGAAGACTCTACTCATGATACATAGTACATTTCTCAAATATGAAACAAAACCAATGACTTAAAATTACATTTTAATAGTACCTACATACAATCGTCTTACCAGGCCTGTTCATCTCCGCGAGTTTGCATCGAAAACAAAACACGTACGATGGCCCACCTACAGGATACTATTCGACAAGGCCTCACATACGACTTACGAGCGAACATTGACTCACGCACGCGTATTCTTGTGTATGATGGAAGAAAATAAAGAAAATGGTGTACTAAATACTGTGCAGTATTTAACTGCCTAAATAATAATAAAAACACAAAATGTACTTTTTTAAGTTGCCTCAAGACACTGAGAGGTAAATAAGTAGTTAATAGTATTCATGATAATTCATGCTAAATCATGTATTTCCTCCGCCATTTTCCGCAGTTTGGCACCTCACGTCACATCATTTTACCTAAGTCAGCCCTATAGATTCGGCGCAGTGCCGATCACTGACGTTTGTCAACAAAATGGTGCTTGACTCTTGAGACAGGCTAAATTACACCATATTGTTAATGATATTGAGCATACATTTTTTTAAATACATTCGCGAAGTAAAACTTCTGTACGTAGTACTTATTAATATTCTGTTTTAGTCAAACCTCAATTAAGACTTTAAACTAAACTATACTTCATTCTGATCTCGAATTTATTACATAGGCGTTACGGTCGGTGAAGGTACGAGTAACTAAAATTATTTACTGCGGTTCTTTGTCAGTGTTTCTAGACCGATCTTGAAATTACTAATTTTTAGGGTTCTGTTACCTTAAACGATAAAGAGTTAAAACGGGACCCTATTACTATGACTTCGCTAAATGTTGTCTGTCACCAGCCTCGTATTTCATGAATCATTTTCAAAAGATTTAGTTTTTTAATTAGGTACTTTAAAAATAAANTTCCAATCGCTCAAACTCCCGAGCGAGTGACGTAATCTTGAAATTCTTTTAGCCGGCGCGGAACTTCCGGAAGGTCGGGTGACGCCACGCCTCTTTGAACCGTGTTTACTTTGGCAGTTATATTCTATATATATTCGATTCTAAAATATATTCCCAAAACTTTTGAAAGTTGTTTTAATTAGTATCACTTGGATATGATTTGTATTAGAAAGTGCTGTGAGTGTGACGCTTGAACGGAAGGAAGTCAACCTAACCTAACTAACTGAGTATTTCTATACTGTGTAGCCGCGAGAGCTCTTTGGCGCGCTGTCTTCGGCGAACTATTGCGCGCGCAGATTTTGACAGCGCGAAATACCTACTTTAGCAGAAATACCAAGCCTTAATTACACGCGAGCGATAAGGATGGGTAGCTTGGGGTCATTGGACAAAATTCTACTTGCTCACGGACCAGGCTTTATAAGATCACATGATAGTAAATAAATATGGTGCTAATTATAAAGACGACGGCGCATCGAGATAAACGCTATGGCATCTTATGATACTGCACCTGTTGCTTAATAACTTGTTATTATTACACACTGTAAAAACATTTTTCCTGAATAAATAAATAATAGAGATAGGCCGACTAGTCGCCGTCTAGTCGGGAAAGCCGACTATTCGGCATCATTTGTAGTCGGCCGACTAGTGACGACTATTCGGCAAAATATGCCGATTATAATCGGCGCATTACAAAATTAAATATGTGAATGAAATAAAACTCATAATCACCAAGATGATTTTTTTAATATCACGGCGCGCATCGTAGCCCAGCAGGAGGCGATCATATTGTCACCTCCCCTGACCCCTCCGCCGTCGAAAATTATGACATCTACCTCAGGTACTGTTAGTTAGGTGATTATAATATTGATTTTTATTTTTTGTCATATTCAAAAATCTCATTTCTTAAGACGTTTATATATTTATCTCTTTTTAGAAATCTAGATATTATTCTTCGGATAAGTAGGTATTAGAATGATCGGCATTGCCGATTAGTCGGCCGAACAGTCGGCAATTTGAAAACCGATTAGTCGGCTAGTCGGTTAGTCGGCAAAGACCATAGTCGGCCCATCACTAATAAATAGTAATAGGTGCTATTTTAAAACAAAAGTTAATAAGTTTTAATTAATTTCTCTTGTCATTCTTCAGGAGCGTAGCATCGGCTGGCCCGTGCAGCGCTCCGTGTTCCACCTTCCAGACTTGCGCAAACTGCACCGCTGAAGAGTGCATCTGGTGCGCGTCTGCTGGCAGATGCGTGGATAAGGTGCGAGAGACTAGTCTCAATAGTATCCAATTCAAAAGTACAAGAGCCCAAGTATACATACAGGGTGTGGCGTAAATAGTGGTGCAAAGCAGAATACTTAGTTAAAACATAAATGCCTTCAAATTAGAGGCATGAGGAAGCCCTACGCTAGTTTTCATGCAATTTTTAGAAACTTTATTGCAGCGCCACTACCCAAGTGACACCGTGACATCATTTCATTAGATTCTGGAGAAAACCGTCGGGTTTTAGTGGGTTGGCTAGGCACCGCCCTTCTGGCAGGGAGTGGCCATAACTTTCACAAATAAAACGTATTTGCCCTTGGTACCTTGGCTAAGTCTTCCATTTGCCTCTGATGAAAATTAGGGAGTGTCTCTAGCAGTGGAAACTCAATGAATTTAATGACGAATTCTAACCAAATTTTTCTCCTCAGAACGCATACGGCGCATCATTTCCCCTCGGCGGCTGTCGCCTATGGTCGACCAGCGGCGGCGCCAGTACTTGCGGCGACGCCCACGGCTGCGCCGCCCATGTATCCTGCAGCTCGTGCCGCGCTGAGCCCGCTTGCGGCTGGTGCGACGATGGCGCTGGCGGTGGCCGCGGGGTCTGCTTGCCGGGAGGAGCGAGGAGACCTCATGCGCCGAGAGTTTGCGCACAGCATCGGTGAGTATTTTCCACCCACAAGGTGGACCGACGACCTGATTAAGGTAGCAGGAAAGCGCTGGATGCAGGCCGCTGCCAACCGTGCGTTGTGGAAGTCATTGGGGAAGGCCTATGTACAGCAGTGGCTGAAATGATGATAATGATGATCGGTGAATATTTTGCAAACTTGCAGCAAAGCTACAACGAAAATAATGGTTCTGCTGAGTAGCTGGTAGTGTCTTCTATTAGTTGCTATGGTTAAATTATCAAAATGTCTGAGGATGACGCTGATGCAGCTGGATTTAAAACGAACGTGGGAGGAGCAAGGCGAACACATGCGCCGAGATTCTGCGATCAGCATCGGTGAGTTCGTAATGGAGTCCTTTGCAGATGCTACGTCGGGCTTGAAACAAAAATAAAGGTTCTGCTGAGTAGCTGGTATCGTCTTCTGTTTGTTACAATAATTAAATTGTCAAAATGTCTGCTGATGACGCTGATGCAGCTGGATTTAAAACGTGGGAGGAACGAGGCGACCTCATGCGCCGAGAGTCTGTGCTCAGCATCGGTGAGTTTGTAATGGAGTCCTTAGCAGCTGCTACGTCGGGCTTGAAACAAAAATAAAGGTTCTGCTGAGTAGCTGGTAGTGTCTTCTATTAGTTGCTATGATTAAATTGTCAATATGTCTGCGGATGACGCTGATGCAGCTGGATTTATTAATGGGGAGATGGAGTTGAACTTCCTTCGGCTCATACTATCATACGCATACGGCGCCTCATTTCCCCTCGGCGGCTGTCGTCTATGGTCAGTACTTGCGGCGACGCCCACGGCTGCGCCGCCCATGTGTCCTGCAGCTCGTGCCGCGCTGAGCCCGCTTGCGGCTGGTGCGACGATGGCGCTGGCGGTGGCCGCGGGGTCTGCTTGCCGGGAGGAGCGAGGAGGCCTCATGCGCCGAGAGTTTGCGCACAGCATCGGTGAGTTGATTTTACTGGTGATAGGGCAGCCCTGGAACAAAAATAAAGGGTCTGCTGAGTAGCTGGTAGTGTCTTCTGTCTCTTACAATGATTAAATTGTCAAAATATCTGCGGATGACGCCGATGCAGCTGGATTTAAAACGTGGGAGGAGCAAGGCGACTGCATGCGCTGAGAGTTTGTTCTCAGCGTCGGTGAGTTCGTAATGGAGTCCTTAGCAGATGCTGCGTCGGGCTTGAAACAAAAATAAAGGTTCTGCTGAGTAGCTGGTAGTGTCTTCTACTTGTTACAATGATTAAATGGTCAAAATGTTAGCTGATGACGCTGATGCAGCTGGATTTAATAATGGGAGATGGAGTTGAACTTCCTTCGGCTCATACTATCATACGCATACGGCGCCTCATTTCCCCTCGGCGGCTGTCGTCTATGGTCAGTACATGCGGCGACGCCCACGGCTGCGCCGCCCATGTATCCTGCAGCTCGTGCCGCGCTGAGCCCGCTTGCGGCTGGTGCGACGATGGCGCTGGCGGTGGCCGCGGGGTCTGCTTGCCGGGAGGAGCTAGGAGGCCTCATGCGCCGAGAGTTTGTGCACAGCATCGGTGAGTTAATATTACTGGATAATGGGGTCCTTTGCAGATGCTGTGTCGGGCTTGGAACAAAAATAAAGGTTCTGCTGAGTAGCTGGTAGTGTCTTCTGTTTGTTTCAATGATTAAATTGTCAAAATATCTGCGGATGACGCCGATGCAGCTGAATTTAGAAACGTGGTAAAATGGAGAGTTACTTTGACTCTGTTTGAGCCCGCTTGCAGCTAGTGAGACGATGGCGCTGACGGTGGCCGGGGTGTTTCCTTGCCAAGAGTGTGAGCTCCGCATTGGTGAGTTCGTAATGAAGTCCTTAGCAGATGCTGCGTCGGGCTTGAAACAAAAATAAAGGTTCTGCTTAGTAGCTGGTAGTGTCTTCTGTTTGTTACAATGATTAAATTGTCAAAATATCTGCGGATGACGCTGATGCAGCTGGATTTAATAATGGGGAGATGGAGTTGAACTTCCTTCGGCTCATACTATCATACGCATACGGCGCCTCATTTCCTCTCGGCGGCTGTCGTCTATGGCCAGTACATGCGGCGACGCGCACGGCTGCGCCGCCCATGTATCCTGCAGCTCGTGCCGCGCTGAGCCCGCTTGCGGCTGGTGCGACGATGGCGCTGGCGGTGGCCGCGGGGTCTGCTTGCCGGGAGGAGCGAGGAGGCCTCATGCACCGAGAGTTTGCGCACAGCATCGGTGAGTTGAAATTACTGGTGATAGGGCAGGCCTGGAACAAAAATAAAGGTTCTGCTGAGTAGCTGGTAGTGTCTTCTGTTAGTTGCTGTAATTAAATTGCAAATTGTGGAAAAAGCTCAAATCATATAAGGATCGCCTAAAATATTTCAGAATGGCATCGCTGGAGAGGCGCAGAGAAATGTTGGATTTAGTTTTTCTAAAAAAACTTACAGCTGGTATATTTAATTGTCCCGATTTACTTAGCAAAGTTTATTACCATGTGCCACGTGTTCTCCCCAGACAATTAAATAAAAAACTATTCAGCTTGCCGCAAGGCCGCACCAATTTGAGAAAGCACAGTTCGCTGTCCAGGATGTATACATTGTATATGGACCATGAAACCGACATAGATTTAAACTTTGCCTCAATACCTGGTATAAAGAAGGCCATACTTGCTTTGGAATAATCATGCACTTAAAATTAACTGAATTTATTTAAATACTGTATTGGTTATCTCTATTGTAACAAACATTTGCGAATATGTTCGATGCATCTGTATTATTGTATACTGTAGCAATAAAATTGTACTGTAGTGTAGGTAGCATTTGCATTTTTTTTTTTGCGTAGTTACACATTATTTAGCAGATGCAGTGCTTTTCTTTAAGTGATGGGGCACTTATACATGTAACTTTGGTTATGTATTTTAAATTTTAATAGTGTACTCATTGTTGAAAAGCCAAAATAAATAAATAAATAAATTATCAAAATGTTAGCTGATGACGCTGATGCAGCTGGATTTAAAACTTAGTGAAATTAAGCTGAACTTCCTCGTTTCTATTTGACAAAGCGCCGACCACTATGCGGCAGAAGGAACACCTCAGAACAATAGTGGATTCGAGCTTGTTAGGAGCTCACATAACCTGCTCCCCCCTGGCAGCAGGTATTAGACAGGCCATTTACCAGGGCAAAAAAAGCCTACAGCAGTGCTGCAACAAAAATACTGTGTCTGCTGAGTAGCTGGTAACCTCTTCTGTTAGTTGCCATCAATAAATTATCAATGTGTCTGCCGATCACACCGATGTTACCAGATTAAAAATATATTTTTTCATCGATCTTATTCCTTCCCCAGATGGCACTTCACCCGCTGCCCGGCGTGCCAGTGTAACGGACACGCGATATGCGACAGTTCCGCGCGATGCATCCAGCCATGCAGTGGCCGAGCCATTGGTGATCACTGCGATACGTGCGCGCCCGGCCATTGGGGTCACCCGTTGAACGGTGGCTCTTGTCAGCGTGAGTTTATAAAATTGACGATAAACTTATCTTAGAATAATAAAAGTCATATATAATTCTTTGCGTAACTCTAGCACTGATTCCCATTGGTCAAAGGGAACGGCGCAAGAAACTTGGCAAGTATTTTTTAGAGTTGCACCTATTTTTTAGAGTAGTTGAACCTAGGCAGTTATTCAATAAACCTAATCTCACCCGGTAGCTATAGCTTAACTTGTAACACCCACACACAATGCCACAAACGATTCTGTTTATAAATTGAAATCAATGAGAGTGAATAGGCACTTACAGGGCAGATAATTATGTACCATCCTAGACTGCATTAACATCAGGTGCGATTGCGGTCAAATAACTGTCTTGTATAAAAAAAAAGTCATCTACAAGTTATTAATTTAATGTTCACTCTAAACCATGACTTTTGTAATTCACTACTACCCTCATAATGCGTCATTTTTCCTTCCAGCGTGTGACTGCAACTCGCAAGCTGTGTCGTGCGCGCCCGACTCTGGCCGGTGTTACTGCACTACCAAGGGATTAGCGGGCGACCGCTGCGACAAGTGTGATAATACTAACCACTACCATGCGGATATCTACAACAAGGGCGCTTGCTACTGTGAGTACCTACCTTATACCCTTAGGATAGGAGCTAATTTGCGACAAACATGTACCAATACCAGGATGACATCTCAACAAGGGCGCTTGCTACTGAGTACCTTATGCCTTTGGGATAGGAGGTAGTTTGCAACAAACACTACTAAAGGGCTGGGGCAAGTGCTATATTTTTAACCGACTACTGTCTTCTTATATAGTGACAGTGGGCACGGCACATAGTACCCAGAACTGATGGCCGAATCGGCAGCAAGGTTCTGGAGGAAAGGCCACGTACGACGTCCTACAAGGTGGACTGACGACCTCATGGAGGTAGCAGGAAGGCTGTATGCAGGCCGCTACCAACCGCGCAATATGGAAATCATTGGGGGAGGCCTATGTTCAGCAGTGGACGTCCTTTAGCTGAAATGATGATGAAGTTATAGGAGCTATTTAGCAACAAAAACTTACTTCAAATCAATTTCTATGTTCACAGACGACCTAGCAGTAGACTACCAATTCACATTTAACCTGTCAAAGAAAGAAGACCGTCATTTGACTGCCATTAATTTCCGTAACGCGCCGGTCAAACCGGATGTGGACGCGGACTTCAGCATAACATGTTCGGCGCACGCGCGGATGAATCTCACAGTGCGCACGCGAGCCGAACCCGCCGAGCGAACGTTGTTCAGTGACGTCAACTGCACCAACTTCCGATACAAGTGAGCATTATTAATTAACCTAATTTTAATTGGCTAGTATCTTCTGGATTAAAGTATAGTGCTGAAAATAATACTTCAGGTCTGTAATATCAGTCTTCTTATACCACTTCTTCACGTAGATATTTAAAATATCTTGTCTCAAAATGAAGACTACAGAGCTGACGCTTCCATTATTGGTTGTAGTAGTATGTGTTATTAGTGAAGCCTGGTCCGTGAGCGTAATTATGTTGCTGTCGCGCTCGCACACTCACTGCGGGCGCGCGTCGCACAGTCGCGACAGCAATATAATTACGCGCGAGCGACAAGGATGGATAGCTTGGGGTCATTGGACAAAATTCTACGTGCTCACGGACCAGGCTTTAGCAAGTAAAATACATGAACGGTGACAGCTATCGTCCATTTATGTTTTTAGTTCAGCTTACTGACCGACTGATGAAAGAACGCTTAATATGTGGTTACCTAAAATAGATGGAAAATACCACTTTAGCTATCTGAAGTTTGAGTCGCAGAATCTTCCGCATAACTGATCCGGTGCCTGAGATAAGGGACCGGCACGGGTGTTTTTTGACGTCAAACGTCAGCGGCACTTCAGATGTGCGCCAGACTTGTATCCTCTGTCACGTCATACATACGTCGGCCGTTTGGTGTAGTGGTTCAGAACGGACTACTACGCCGAGAGGTCCCGGGTTCGATTCCCGGCCGGGCAGAAATTGAAATGATGAATTTTAATTTCTGTGACGGGTCTGGGTGTGACTATGTATAATATGTATGTATTTAAAAAAAAGTTTAAAGTAGTATATCCGCTAAGCTAGCACCCATAACACAAGCATATTAATTGCTTACTTTGGGGCTAGATGGCGCTGTGTGAGATTGTCCAAAGATATTTATTATTATACATCAGATACGCATACCTGTAATATAAAATGTTAAACTATAATTTCCTACATCAATATTTCCTTGTAATGAATCGCAGAACGTTCCACTACAGGTTCGCCAAGTCGGAGCACTCCTTCGGCGTGGAAGACAACGTCACTTTGACCACGTTCTTCGTCTACGTGTATGACTTTCGGCCACCGCTGTGGATACAGATTTCGTTCTCGCAGTACCCCAAACTGAACCTGCAACAGTTCTTCATAACGTTCTCTTCGTGTTTCCTGCTGCTGTTGCTTGTGGCGGCTGCGCTGTGGAAGATTAAGCAGGTGAGTGGTTGTTAAGAGTATTGTGGATTAAATTCTAACTGTAGATTAGTGTAATGTGACAGAATTATGTCAGAAAATAAAAATTAAGGTGATATTGACATATCCAAATCCAGACAGACAGTACAGTTTGGAGATTAATAAACAACCTATTGGTGTCCAACAAGTAACATTTTATCTTTCCTTAGGGCAAGCATCGGTTGGTGCTGGAAGAAACTCGATCCCTTTGTGATTACAATTGTGATGCGACTATTACAAAATGAATTAGAAAATGTTATTCAAACGTTATACCTATTTTTCGTACTCACCGATAAAATGTCACCGGCGCATGAGCTCGCGAGGCTTATGATATGAAGTCATGAGGCAAAGCGTACCTCATCCGGTGTGGATACACCTTAAGAATACTATTCTTTGTTTACTTCTTTTGTTTGATCGAAAGCTTTTATTTCCAGAAATACGACTTGTACAGAAGAAGACAGCGGTTGTTCGTGGAGATGGAACAGATGGCCTCTAGGCCGTTCAGCCAAGTCTGCGTCGAGTTAGAACGCGGTTGGGTTGGAGGAGGTAAGTTTATATTAATTCAACAGGTAGCAAGATAGTATTTCCCATTATGTCTTTGTAAATTTCACTAAGAGCAATCGCCCTGGGCTCGACGAATTTCTTACTCGAGACGTTTTTGTTGTGAAAGCGTGATATTGTAGTGGTTGTGATTTTTTTTAACGATCAGTTTTCTTCCCTCATGCAGCACAACTTATGTGTTACGATATCTTTTTTTTTCCATAATCTTGTCTCGGTGAATAAATGATCTTTTTGTTCTGTGCATTTTTATGTCATTTTGATATATTTTACTATTTGGTGCGAATACGAATTTTCGTAATGAAGTAAACTCACTCATGTATTATATTTTTTTCCACAACGAGGAAGTTGTTGGGCTCCATCTCACCTGATGGAAATTAATGATCAGGCTGAAGGTGGAAGCGAAATTCACTGGAAATCTTCAAACACTTCAAACACAAAGGATCAGAGGGCGTAGTGTGAGTTTACGTTAAACGCATTCGATGTCGACTGCGTAAGAAAGTGACATTAAATGTATAACGGATTGTACCTACAGCGCCCCTAGCGGAAGCTTTTTTTTTTTAAATCTTCGTGTATTTTTTTTCACACTAAGCCCTTTGGCTATTTTACCTCCAATTGTCAAAAATATCCTGTAATGCAACAGTTTAATAAACTATCGTCTTGTTCCCACCAGGCACAGGCGTGCCCGCGCCGGTCGCTCTGGAACCGTGTCGCGGCGGGCGCGCGGCGGTGCTGTCGCTGCTGGTGCGCCTGCCGACGGGCGGCAGCGGGCGCGCGCCGCCGCTGGGCGGGCTGGCCGTGGCCTCCGCGCTCGTCACGCTGGGCCACCACGCGCCGCCCGCGCCCGCCAAGCGCCCCGACCACCGCTGACAGGTAGGAGCTTCTCTAGGTGCCGCACTCCCAAGGCGAAAGGCTCAAGAGTACCACGCACCACCGCTGACAGGTAGCTGGAGAACTGTGCAGCTGTCTCTGAGAGCGCTCCTGAAGCAAGGCTAAAGACTACCAACCAGGTAACTTACAGGAAGCCCGAAAGCACCACGCTCTCTCCACAGCAAGCCCGTAAGCACCACGCTTTTAAAGCCCCGCCCCCTTGCCAAACCCCGCCCACATCTGTCTAAACAGATACCACCACTACAATCTAGCGCGGTTGCTTAGCAGTGACGCTCCTCACTCTATAGCAAGACTTCTGTGGTTCGCTTGCGCTCGCGCGCACGTAGCGTGTGCTAACATAGCCCCGCCCCCTGACGAGAGCCGCCCACAACCGACCACAATAGTATCTTGCTATAGCAAGATACCAAGCGCTTCCTTAATGAAGACTTTATAGACGGCCTAGCCTTGTGGCTCGCGTACTCTTCCCCTAGAAGGCCACCGCTGACATATAGGTACCTCTAAGGACGCCTGGCCATCTGACTCATAAACGCACGCCCTAGTAGCAAGCGACCATTTTAGACACTAAAAGTACCTCACTCTACAGCTTGGCCGTGTGCCTCTTATACGCAGTATCACGCCTTAGTAGCAAGCGGCTGGAGCATTTTAGACACTAAAGATACCTCACTTCACAGCCCATAACTCGTCTAGTTTTGGGACTCTTAAGCGCACGCCCTATTAACAAGCGGCCGGACCATTTTAGACACTAGGTCCCTCACTGTAAAGCACATAGTCACGCGCCGCCCCGGGCCGGTGCTGTCGCTGCTGGTGCGCCTGCCGACGGGCGGCAGCGGGCGCGCGCCGCCGCTGGGCGGGCTGGCCGTGGCCTCCGCGCTCGTCACGCTGGGCCACCACGCGCCGCCCGCGCCCGCCAAGCGCCCCGACCACCGCTGACAGGTAGGAGCTTCTCTAGGTGCCGCACTCCCAAGGTGAAAGGCTCGAGAATACCGCACACCACCGCTGACAGGTAGCTGGAGAACTGTGCAGGTCTCTAAGAGCGCTCCTGAGCTGCTAAACTACCAACCAGGTAACTTACAGGAAGCCTAAAAGCTCCACGCTCTCTCCACAGCAAGCCCGTAAGCACCACGCTCTTATAGCCCCGCCCCCTCGCCAAGCCCCGCCCACAACTGACTAAACGGAGACTACCACAATAACCTCGCGCGCCAGCGGTGATGCTCCTCGTCCTATAGCAAAATATTGTGGCTCGCTTACGCTCGCCCACATGCAACGCGTCTTAATATAGCCCCGCCCCCTTACTAAGGATCCTCCCACAACTGTCTACAAAGGTATTATGCTACAGCTCGGACTTTTAGACAGTATAGCCTTGCGGTTCACATACACACGCCCTAGAAAGCTAGACCATCGCAGACATTATTGGTACCTCTAAGGCTCTTCAGCGCAGCATATGGATGCCTCGCTCTGTCACTCATAAACGCACGCCCTATTAGCAAGCGACTTGACCATTTTAGACACTAAAAGTACCTCAATCTTCAGCCTGGCCTTGTGTCTCTTATACGCAGTATCGCGCCCTAGCAAGCGGCAGCACCATTTTAGACACTAGGCACCTCACTCTATAGCCCATAACTCGCCTGGCTTTGTGACTCGTAAGCGCACGCCCTAGTAGCAAGCGGCCGGACCATTTTAGACACTAAGGATACCTTACTTCATAGCCCATAACTCGCCTGGCTTTGTGACTCGTAAGCGCGCACGCCCTATTAACAAGCGGCCGGAGCATTTTAGACACTAGGTCCCTCACTTTAAAGCACATAGTCACGCGCCGCCCCGAGCCGGTGCTGTCGCTGCTGGTGCGCCTGCCGACGGGCGGCAGCGGGCGCGCGCCGCCGCTGGGCGGGCTGGCCGTGGCCTCCGCGCTCGTCACGCTGGGCCACCACGCGCCGCCCGCGCCCGCCAAGCGCCCCGACCACCGCTGACAGGTAGGAGCATCTCTAGGTGCCGCACTCCCAAGGCGAAAGGCTCAAGACTACCACGCAGACATCAAGACTACTATGCAGTCGCTATAGGATGTAAACCCCCCCCCCCCAGTAATATTTTCAGGTATTATAGATAATTATATCATGCATCAATATAAAGTAAGTCTAGCTGCCATTTTTCTAGGACAACAGAGAAAAAAATGTTTTCTGAAAATCATAAATTATTAAATAATTCCTAAATTACTGCAGCAATAACCATTTATTTTTACATAAAGGTAGACGTTATAGTGATAGGTAAATTTATTTACAAAATTCTGACTTAATGTAATTTTTTTAGAAAATATGCTTCTAAAACAGTTTTTTTTATAAAATCACAAAATCTAATATTTCTTCGAAACTAAACAAATACAACTACTAGTTCCTTCATCAATTGTATACATAATAGTAATATCTAACGATTGAATTAATAAAACAGGGATGTCCGCTTCTAAGCAAAAATAAAACACTGTGCACCACTACAATCTAGCGCGGTTGCTTAGCAGTGACGCTCCTCACTCTATAGCAAGACTTCTGAGGCTCGCTTGCGCTCGCACGCACGCAGTGCGTCTTAATATGATCCCGCCCCTTTTCTTTGGGTCCGCCCACAAAGGACTACGCTAGTATCTTGCTGTAGCAAGATACCAAGCCCTACCTTAATACAGACCATGTAGACAGTCGCTCTAAAAGACTCGACGGTCGCTAACTTAACAAGTACTTCTAAGGCTCTCCAGCACAGCATATGGACGCCTCGCCCTGTTACTCATAAACGCACGCTCTAGTAGCAAACGGCCAGCGACCATTTTAGACACTAAAGGTACCTCTCTACAGCCTGGCCTTGTGCCTCTTATACGCATCATCACGGCCTATTAGCAAGCGGCTGGAGCATTTTAGACACTAGGTCCCTCACTTTAAAAGCATATAGGTTTTTTGTCCGTGTGGCTATCACTAGCTAGACTATCTATACGGACGCCTGGCCTTGTGACTCGTAAGCGCACGGCCTAGTAGCAAGCAGCTGGACCATCTTAGATACTAGGTACCTCACATTCCCATTATTTCACTATGATTTTATTAACAAGATTTTTTTCTATTGTTACAGGATACAACACCAATGTATATATGTGTAATGTAAGTGATGTATATAGATATCTAGTGCGTTGCTCAATATAATACTCAACCTTATTGCGTTTGTACAGATGTAGGGGTGTGCGTTACAGCGGTTGTTGTGGGTAGTTATTTATTTTATTTTGTAGTTCAAATTCAGGACCGTACTCGGTATAAAAACTAACTTCAAACTTAAAGACAGACCCAGGATTATGATTGGTCTAAATGACCCTTTGAATCTAGCATTTTCTTAGTAATTTTATTTATTTTAAAAGAAAGTGCGTCTCTCTTTAAATATGTTTCTCGCAGCCATTACGTTTTTGGACGTCCCTTCTATAGCGTGTGGACTGGCTTCTACAATTTTCTTTAAATTCATGTATAATTGATGGTAGTAGATCCACAAAATAATGCATTAACCAATAGATTTTGAACTGTATGATATCAAATTAAGCTTCAAAATAGTAAAGAAAAAAACAAAATAATAGTAGTGCTTTTCAATTAATTTAACTGTAAATTCCCACAATAACCGCTGTACTATGAAGTGAACTGTGCCAGAGTAGCGACAGCAATATGTCTGCCATTATGATCCGTATATGTATATTTTGGTGGTGAGATGAAATATTTTTTTACAGTAGACTTTGATATGTATCTTCAATTCATGACTAGTACAAACCGAACGGATAATGGATTGAATTGGAAGTCGCGGCAGCTACACCCCTCTCGCTCTATCTTCATACTGTTAGAGCGAGAGGTGTGTATCGTAATTTTTAATTACTTTCTTGTCTTTGCGAATTTAATGAATGATCTGATGAATTTTTTGAAATTTTGTGCATTGTTAAAGTCAGGAATTTGATGATTTTGTAGAATAAAACTGTAGCCAATGTTCAGTTGGCAAGAAAAGACGCTTCAATTCAATTCATAATTTTATAAATGAAATTAATATTTGGAAACTTTTCTTGCTAACTATATTAAAACTGTTGAATCTCTAGATATGAACATCTTCAAAATAAGCCATCAACTGTTACTGTTAATTAATAATTAATAAAATAAATACGTTTAAACATCACATTTAGGGTGTACACATAAAAAAATCACTGACTTCCGCTTACAATGTTGCCAAATAATTATATTTATGTCACGTCGTGAGTGCACCTTTAGGCAGCTAGTACGTCGCAGCGAAATTAACTTTATGTACGTTATAATAAACATCAAAAAGTATTGTGTTCAAACAACCAACCAATACTTGCAAGAAATCTCTCTATTGAATTAATGTTAAAGTATAAATAAAACATAATTTATTTCGTTCAATTTAAGAGCGTAGTCGTCGACATAAGCTTGCGTTTTTCTACGTTTTATTGCTTGTAAAAATGAATTTTGCAAATAAATAAAAGTATAACTAAAAAAATTAAATTTAATGTATTTTCATACATTCTAGAATAGATTTTGTGGTTCATTGTAACTTGTAGAAAACGCAAAAGCACTGAACTCGTTATTAAGATTGTTAAAAATATTATTCTTAATTAATGAATTATGAAAAGTGATGAAATAGTCCGTTATTCGTATTAATTATAAATATACATTGCAATTTCCACTCGGCATCTTAATACTGACAACGACGTAGTCAAGTAGTATAATAACATCACAAATATAAAAATAACATAGTTAAAATATCATGTAATACGTAAAAATCACTATTACACTTAATATAGTTGTACATAAGCAGCTTTGACAAGACTATTATAATGATATTTATATTTTTCTTACGACTGACGTGTAAATGGTGTATAAAATTTTATTTTTGTTTTGTATGGTGGCATTTATTTGTATTATTACGGGTGTTGCGTCGAATTATTTACTTTATTTTTTATTTTCGAATGTATTTTGTAAATATTTAACCTCAGTTCTTTTGTGGAGTTAGAATAGTTAATAATCTTCTTAATTTGCTATTTTATTAGTCACCAGAGAAGTATATTGACTAGTTTTACACATATTCCTCGAATAGTTGCCAATTTGACGCACCACCCGCTAGTTTTAGATTAGTTGTAATAAATTGTACGATAGTCATCATAATAGTTATGAAATTCCCTATTATACATGTTGAGATTAGTTCCAGACCTAATCATTAAAAAAATTAAAGTGGCTACAAAAAAAAACTCACGAAAAAACATGAACGCTCTACCAAATTTAAAAGTACTTTTTTAAATCTTTTAGCTATAATGTAACCTCATACAAAAGTTTAGCACTGTTGCGTGTTAACTTTAAGTAGTCGTAATAGGTAGTATTTTGCAATAAAAATGTCTGATGTATAAAATATTTATGTTAAAATCTACTTAAACAACGACTTGACTGTCTCAGGCAATCACAAACCGGCTCACTCAAATTACTACAAGTTATAGCCATAGAGAGGTGCTTGACAAAGTAAATTGTCTATTGATTTGCAAGATTTCTATAGCATATAGTGCAGCTATAGCAGACTTTACGTTTCGCATAAAGTTGTGGTAAAACAATATAAACGAAAATTTTTAAAAAAATTGTTGTTTTTCCCTTCTGAAACTAATCTCAACATTTTTATTGTTTATTTATGAATAGCTTTATAAACCTTATAATATTTTTCTCCAATAATATAAAGTTCAAATCATAATAAATAGATTAAACTGCCAAAATTAACTACCTTATGCGTAAATGCATACGAGTCCCAATTTTTACATTTGTAGATTTTTATTTTGTATAATAACAATAAAAATTAGACGAAGAAATCTCTTAGATATGATATGGAAGAACATTTGTTAGAAAATTATTTACATTGCTATACCAGATCAATCCTCCACTTCCCTTCCACTTACGTTATTTCAAATCATCATAAAATAATGATCTCATCATTAAAAATCAACTCATTTAGCTTTTCAAAAAATCACTAAGGCACAGAACAGACGGTGAAACGCAACTGCAACGAAACTGCAACTTTCTGATGAATGAAACTGAAACTGAATGTTTCAAACTGGTCGCGTCATGTGTGGTCTCTCAACGGACGCTATGGCAGAAACTTAGATGCAACTCAAAAGTAACTAGCAGTTGCAGTTTCGTTGCAGTTGCGTTTCACCGTCTTTTCTGGGCCTAACATGTTTTTAATGTCATGCGTCAAGATATGAGTGTTTTGTAGTTTAGGCGAATCGAGCAATAAAATTTAAATAAAATAAATGTCTCGTAAGATTCGTTCTCATGTAACTCATTTTCAATTATAGTTTACCTTAATTAGACCCCATAAAGAGCTTGAAGTCTTCTCTTATTTGGAAAGTTTTTCCCCTAAACATCACAGATTTTCCCTTTAACATCCTCAGTAGAGGCTTATTAAGAACTTAGTGTCAAAGTTAATACAGTCTAAAATTGAAAGTTCATGCCAAATATAATTTATTTCAACTGTAAATCAATACAGTTTCAATAAAATTATGTAAGCCTCCTGAAATCCTTCTCATTTAGTCTTCCATTACAGAGCCTTTACAGCAGGGGTGGCCAACCGGTCGATCGCGATTATTAGTCCAGTCGATCGTGGCAAGGCAAAAAATACTAAATGATTGTGTACTAAATGATGCTGTTCCATTTAAGATTTCATGAAGTATGTAAGTGTAGATCGCCCAGAGTTTCGTTAGTAAACAGTAGATCTTATGTCTAATCAAGTTGGCCACCCCTGCTTTAGAGCAATATTCAAGGCGTACAAATGTCAGCATATTATCGAGCTAATAGGCATCTTAATTCCTGGCAATCGATTTTAATATCGCGACAAACGTGTGATGTCGACCGTACTAATAATATTAATATTCTCTTTACTGGCTGTTACTCATTTAAATTAACAAATTAGACAAACTCAATTCTTCGTACCCCGTTATTCCCAATTTGATTACCAACGTAAGCAATCGTTAGACAAAGGCAATATTGTATTATTAATAATGTAGTTAATTACAAAAGACATTTTTAATTGTTGATAATAATAAAACAACTGAATCGACAATTGTATTTTATTATAATCATTGTGTTTTCAAAAATATGAACAAATAGACAGTTTGATCGCAGTTATTTTTATTTTGTCCCGATGTTTTCATAATTTCACACGTGCCTTTTAAATAGTTAATTTATTTTTAATAATAATAGTATTATTATTACTTCTCAGTTGTATACATTGCTCATTTTTATTCACCTCATTAATGTTAAATATTATTATTTTCAATTAATTCCTGGAATAAAATTATTACTGATTGAATTATGTTACTGAAATATTATTATTCTATTCTGATTTACATAACGAACGATGTATGAAATGTCCTGTATTTTTTGTATAATAGCATTTATTTATAGTCAAAAAAGACTATAATATTTACAAATCATTATTTATTTACTAGTTTATAAGACAATAAACGTAGGTGGCTCATCGATTTGTATTCCCTTTTTAAAGATGGACTCCAAATGAATATTATTATTTATGTTAGACAAAATTATCTCATTTTGTATGTGTTGTTTTTTACAAAAATAATGCGAGTAAAGCTTGTCCGTTAGAATATTAGTAAGAATATACTACGAATTGTTTGCATGCCAAGCATCAAGTTGTGAACAATATTAAAAGTGCGAGTGACGTAATGTGAACTCTTAAATACTTATTTAGTACGTAAAATTTAAACAATAATTCTAAAAGGAACTTCTTTAAATTATATTTCAGTAGGTATGAAACCAATATTTAAATTGGTGACGTCATAGACTATCCCTTTATACACAATCTATGGGAGTCGCGTTTTGACAGCTTTTAAATAAATGAACTAGTGGTGGTACTCCAGATTATCATGCCTGTTTTCACCATGAATCCCTAATTTTTAAGTGACCCCTATGGTAACACATAACAAGATTTTTATTTTCATAGGGGTCACTTAAAAATAGGGATAAATGGTAAAAACGAGCATCAGTCTCGTAAACTATTACATAATTATGTTTTGTGATTTTGTATTATTATATGCCTAATATACCTACCTAAAATAATATTCGTATTTTTCCCAAGTGTGTTTCACGCATGTGTATGTGCTTTCAATGTGGTGCCAAGTTCTGTAATTTCCTCTCAGTTAGGAAATTTATTAATTCCCTATCAAATTAAAGTTAAATTACCAGATTAGGTTTGATGGAATAGTTCCTATTAAAGAGTTCAAACTTCCACAATTGCATCTTCCAAAGTTTATTTACAGTAGCCATTTTTATTTCTGTTAATTTGAATTTTTAGCCGTTAATTTATGAAATTCAGAGTTCCAATGACGTCACTCGCACTCAGTCACTCCTGTAACATATGCATAGTATAGCGTATTGTACTATTGTTGACATAGTATTAGTGTGTAAGCCTAAACGTTAATGCGTTGTAAATATCCTGTCACATAAATTATTGTATTTCATAATAAAATAATCGATTGAACTTTTGTGTATTATTGAGAAAATCTGCGGAACCCGTTATGCTTTTAAATTTCAAAACTCCGTCATTATATCTGTTTCGAATAACTACAGAAGCATTGGATGAGATTTAAAAAAAGTAGACTAGAAAGAAAAAATAATTATAACGAAAATTTTTGTTTTCACAAGGAAATGAGGCAGTACAGCTCACTTACGGTAGCTTGCATGCTTCTTATCATAAAATATGATACTAGAATAGATTACAATTGTAAGTTCAACTTGCATGCAATTTGCTCATGAATGTATCGTCGGGTTTGTATCCCCCGCATCCTCAGCCTCACTTAGCATGAAAATTTATGTCCGAAAAATCCGAAAATGTTTTGCGATATACCCTTTTGTGAGATACAGACGTGCTATTTATAGTTAGCGTATACAGTTGGTGGCATACTTATGCAAGGAACTAGTGTGCAAGTGAAGACACACTAGTTCCTTCTTCCAGTTATAAGGCACAAGTATTACATCCATAAAATAAATTATTGAATATTGTGCGTGTCTTACAAGTCAAAAGTCAATAACAATAAAAATATTAATTTGACCTCTTACCCCAAACTCTTTTCTTCTCTCTGCTTTACTTCACGTCCATCCCAATTCCCATGTCATATCGCGACATATTTTTGTAGGACATGACATTTGTGTATCGCCTACCACAAGTTTTGTATTAATTTAATTTTTTCAAGAAAGTTATGTGAAGTTGGAACCTTTTAGTTCTGCAATTTTGTACGCGTGTCGCACCTTTAGAAAATAAATCAAAAATGTTGAATAGTATTATTTGTTTCACATGAAAAAGCAAGATTCATTGTCATTTCAAACTCAACGGTTTTATTAAAGAAATAATTTGAAGAAGATCAACAGTTGCAGTTATTTTAATTCATTGATGTTAATAAGTAAGTAAATAACTTAGTTTAGGTACTAACAGAAAATCTAGAACATTGAATGCTGCAATAAATGTCTACTTTATAAACCAACGGAGCAGCAAGATGGAGGGAATGGTACGAAAATATGATGGTCATTGGGGCAGCAAGTTTCTGGAATGGATGGAGGTTACGTACCGGCAAGTACAGCGTGGGATATCCACCCATATGGTGGACAGAAAACCTCATAAAAGTAACTGGCGCTGGATACAGGTCTACAGCATAAAAACTAAAAATTATCATAAACTAACTGAATCAGTACTTACAAATCGTCAAATAATCAAGGAGCCTATACACGTCTCATTCTTTTTTACCCTACCAGCGCTTCGAGACATTGGCAAGTGCTGAGAAGCAGTGCCGGATTAGCCACGTAGCAAGAGTAGCAAATGCTACGGGCCCCGCGAATTTGGGGGCCCCGCGCTCCAACGTCTGTCTGACCGAAATAAAAAAAAGATTAATTTAGACAGGAGCGTAAAATATCTTGCATGCCTTAAACGCGAAGCGCTTAGGCTATGCTTTACTTTCACTTGAAAATCTAACGTCCCAGTATTAACCCTACCACTGCTTAAATGGGCCAGTGCTGAGAAGAAGCAGCACAAGAAACTCAGTCACTATTGTCTGCCTCTTTTTCAAAGGTTTACAGGCTTTAAAATGTACAAAGTTAACTATAAATATTTATGCGAGCTAGGCAGTAACGATCCCAAACATTTTTATCTTTGAAATAATCATCGACTTTATAGTAGCCCTTTTTCATTAAGGTACTTTTAATATGTGCTTTGAATTTATGAATGGTCAATGGGTAGTTCTACAACAGTTTGTGGTAATTTATTAAAGAATTTAATACATTTTCCCATAAATGAATTACCAATCTTATGCAGTCTGAATAGGCCAGTAGAATTAAACACAAAAATGAATTAAATCGGAAATAATTCCTACAAAAGATTTTATTGCTTTAATGGCTTCATTGGTTGCCCATAAAGACTCTCCTAGGTTTTCGACTTCGACGGAGTTGTGCTTAAGTGGTGGGGGCCTCCGAAAGGGGCGTTTTTTCGGTTTTCCGGTTATACTGCGTAAAGGACTTACCCTATCGAAAAGTGGTCTTCATGACGGTTGAAGGGTACTTAATCCTGCATTGAATAAGACCAAATTCATTATGTTTTGGACAAACCGTTCACGTGCTCATCTTCGACAAAGTAGAAAATTTACGTTTAGTTAATAACCCTCTCTACGTCCAATAGGTCGTCACCCGCAGGCTCCCAAACCTTATAAAGGGCCACCTTAACCAGCGTATCCCGGTCAGGGCTCGCGAGTTGGATTCGCCTATCCTTGTTCGTCCCAGCCGATCCTTTACTGCGGTTGCTGCACCTCTTCCTTACACTCTCCTGAACGACACTGTGTTATCTACTATGGTTCCCCCTCTTCCTTGTACCCTCCTGTACGACTGTATTGCTTAGCCGTATGCCTGGTCCAAGGTTCGATGCCTCAAAATCAACTTCATACGCGTGAAAATAGTTTAAATACTATTTCCCGTGCTTGCAACATTTTTCTTTACTGCTTCGCCTCTATTAGTCGTAGAGTGATTGTATGTATCCTATAAGCCTTTCTCAATTTATGAGCTATTCAACACAATAATAATTATTTAAATCAAACAACTAATTCCTGAGATTAGCGCGGTCAAACAAACAAACAAAAAACTCTTCAGCGTTTTAATATGAACTTGTTGTTGTTGATTTTTGGCGTCGAACCTTGGACCAGGCATACGGCTAAGCAATACAGTCGTACAGGAGGGTACAAGGAAGAGGGGCAGCCATAGTAGATAACACAGAGTCGTTCAGGAGAGTGCAAGGAAGAGGTGCAGCAACCGCAGTTAAGGATCGGCTGGGACGAACAAGGATAAGCGAATCCAACTCGCGAGCCTTGACAGGGATAAGCTGGTTAAGGCGGCCCTTTACAAGGCTTGGGAGCCTGCGGGTGACGAGCTATTGGACATAGAGAGGGTTATTAATTATACGTACATTTTCTACTTTGTCGAAGATAAGCACGAGAACGGTTTGTCCAAAACATATGAATTTGGTCTTATTCAATGCAGAATTAAGTGCCCTTTAACCGTCCTGAAGACCACTTTTCGATACGGTAAGTCCTTTACGCGGTATAACCGGAAAACCGAAAAAACGCCCCTTTCGGAGGCCCCCACCACTTAAGCACAACTCCGTCGAAGTCGAAAACCTAGTAGAGTCTTAATGGGCAACCAATGAAGCCATTAAAGCAATAAAATCTTTTGTAGGAATTATTTCCGATTCAAAATCTAATTCTACTGGCCTAGAAATTTGGAACGGCAAGTTTATTTTTGTTTCTTGTATTAAAGTTATGCAAATCGCTCCTTTTCGTGAATTGCTCTATATTTTTGCGAACATAATATAAAAGGTTTTCATAAATGAAATGTGAAACTACTGTCAGTATGTTAATTGATTTGGAGAACAGCTTATGTGTCGAATTACTTAGTGCAGTTTGCAGAGCTTCTGAAAACAGATTTCTTGACTTACTTGATCTTAAAACAGATGTGGCTACTCATATTGACAGCAAGAAACAGGAGCCTCTGGAGCAGCAATTTTATAAACTTTTAATAAATAATTCTTTAGAATCGTGTTTTCCAAACTTAGAAATTGCCTTGCGCATTTACATGTCTGTCATGATCACTAACTGCAGTGGCAAACGTTCTTTTTCAACATTAAAACGTATTAAAAATTAATTAAGGAACACGATGGGACAAGAACGTCTTAATCATCTTACTTTGTTGAATATACTCGTAGAGCATGATTTCCTTAAAGAAGTTGATATTAAAAGTGTTATCTCTAAATTTGCCCACATTAAATCAAGAAAAGTTCATTTGTAGATAAAAGTTTTGTTTCATTTAATACCTACCCTAAACTTGAGAACCTAAAGCAAACCAAGGGCCCCTTGATAGAAATTTGCTACAGGCCCCGCGCTGGCTTAATCCGGCACTGCTGAGAAGAAGCGCCGCAACAAACTGGAAATCATTGGGAGAGGCCTATGTTCAGCAGTGGACGTCCTTTGCTTCAAACGAAGTGCTATTAGAATCAAAGATTATCTTAACAAACGTTTAAACTTTCAGCAATGCCGATAGTCTCTTCCCTTCTGTTCTACCTTACGTTGTCAGCGTCATGGACCGCAGCGGGCTTGGTGGACGACCAGCCCTACTGCGCCGTGCGGTACCGAAGGCTGTGTCAAGGGAAAGGGAGGCATGTAGGCTGCCAGTTTCCTGACGTGCGTATAGATATAATATTAGCATGTTTTAAATGGGACAAAGTTACAAACGTGACAGTCGTAATTCAAAAATAGTCAGTTTTTGATACGTCGTCATTTAATTGCTTCGTCCCATGCAGCGGCGATATCACCATTGAAACTATCATAAATGTTACTTTGTCTAAGGAAATTTGTGTATGATCCCGATATTCATTACATTCTACCTGCCAGCACAAAGCGTTTTGAAAACTTACGGCGCGCGCGCACTAGTGACTTGTCACCGTGACAGTATGTACCTGGGTCAATTTCCCAAACACATTTTTTGAGCGGCGTAGCTGAAAATCATATGTTTTTTATGACATAGAAATTTGATTTTTTTTTACACGAAAATATACAGAGGTTCCATTTTGAGGACAACATTATTAATGAGTATTTTCTTTTACAAATTCGACAAAAAATAATTGAACTAAGCGTTTCTAATTTTGGTGCAGTGTCCACATCCTTAATTTCTTACAATATGTATTTTTTTTAGCCGAAGATCAAAACAGAACTTAGGGAAAAAGTATATTTTTGGATTATACAATCTATCTATTATCTAAGATTACCAAATTAAGCAAGTTTCCCAAATAACTGTGATTAAGTCACGTCCTTAAGTTTTGTCCGCGAAAAATTTATGATTTTGGTGTCAATAATGAAATAGCTCGTCAGTTTCTTTAAAGATCAAACAGGATTTAAACACTCCCATCATTCGTTAGGTTTAGTACCGCCCCCGCGAGCAGTGACGGCAGACGGGTGCAAGACCTCTGCGTCTTCCCGCCAAAAACGTAAATGTGTTGTTTTTTTTTAAACGGACAACAATTCTGCAATTTTGGTGTCTTTTTGTATAAGATTTCTAAGCTATTCTTTTTAGTTGAATTCCTCGTATAATGTAAAGGAACTGTTTTCATACCATGTGTTAAAATGTTATTGTTATATTTAAAACAGATTTCATATAATTTAGCTTTTTCAACGAGAATCTAATTTTGGTGAGTCAATTTTGGTGTTTTTGGTGGTGCACCAAAGCATTTTTAACCGACTTAACTCCGTCAATTGTGAACCGATTTTCAAAATTCTTTTTTTGTTCTATAGGGTACACTTATGTGGTGGTCCCATTGTCACCAAGTCAGGATCTGATGATGGGATCCTAGGGAAATCGAGAGTAAACCTCAAATTTTGTAGGAATGCAATACGTTTTCTAAAGTTATTCAAGTAGTCATCATCTAATGTTGATGAGGTGATGATGGAAGGTAAAACTCCTTAACGCTTAGGAGTTGGAGGATAATTCTTTAAATATTTTAGGTAGGTATGTACATACAGTTGTATTATTTCAGGTATTTAAGATGAGCTGATGATGAAAGGTCAAACAACATAAGTTAGGAGTTAGATGATACTCAATACTCATTTGTTGATACATACATTGACACATGATACATTGATACTTTTTAGTTGCCGATATTTAAAGTAGGGAGCCTGTATTTTGCTAGGAAGATTATTTACACTTGGATTGTGATTAAGACTATAATTTTCCATTACAAAATGGAAAATTATAGTCTTAATCACATTAAACATAGGTACTGTCCCTCTTCAGTGACAATAACAAGGACTAATCAACTAAAAAGCATGAAAAAAAATAATTTTAACAAAAAAATTAAAACCGACGCCAACAATCACTTAAAAGTAGAAAATAAGTACGTCGTTATTTATTTATTAGGACAATATACCATGATTAATATTTTTGGAGTCGGTGCTGGTAAATTTAAAACCATTTCTTGAGCTTGGCACTAAGATATGACCGACTGACAGCATATTTTCTAATTTTGGTGCTTTAATATAAATTTTGGTGTTCTCTTAATTTTGGTGTAAGGAAAATCTAAAAAACTACTGGACAAAATTTAATGTCTTAATCATTTTAGAAACAGTATAAGTTTCCAATAAATTTGATCTATAATTAAAGAATAAAAATACACAAATAACAATTTTCACCAAAATTAGGCAAAAATATGCACTTGTTGAAATTCACCCACCTATCTCTTTTTCGCTTTATTAGTAAAGGTGTAAAAGAAACAGATACCTATACTACCTAAACCACAACTATCACGGATAATACTGTACGGCGACATCCGTAACCCGTGCGCGCGTTCCTTTACAATTCAAGCTACCCAGACAACACTCGGCCTCGTGATCTTTCAGAGATTTTTGTAAATTTTCCAGGCTGGTCCCGGGATTTCCTGCAAGAACTACCGTCCGATACAATTTCACAACGATCTGAAACATTTTATCACACATTACATTAACAGGTTACGAATTTTCTGACTTCTTTCTTAATTTAGGTATCCTTTGGTAAGTTACTTACAATAAATTTACGTAACTTTTAACTGCTTAAAAACTGTTTTGTTTAATAAAATGGCAATTAAGTAGAATCAAATTTCTTTAAAATGTACCTACCTCTTACATGATAATGATTGGTAAACGAGTTTTGTACTTAGGAGGCGACAAAGGATAGCATCTGGCACAGAAAGAGTACGGGGAGGTGTCCACCTTCCGAAGCCAGAAGTCATGATGCTTGTTGTGAGTTTTTTATTTTGCATTAGGTACTAATAAACGGGACTATTCCCACCTCTCGTTCCCACCCCTGCAACTCTTGTGTAGCCAAGATCTACAGCTTGACCGCCAATAAAAACCCAACCAGTGACGGTCAAGTTTGTCCCGGAAAAGTTAAACTGTCATTGGACCCATTTGCTTTACTGACATCAGACAACCTCTTTTATTCTGCCGTAACAAATACTTAATAAGGTATTCATTCTATAACTGTCTTATCTTAGCTCCTCAACAATTCAAAAATCAATTAATTTACTCGTTTTCCAGGAATGGGATCGAGAACTGGCCATACTTGCCCAAAGGCTTGCAGACCAGTGCACGTTCGTCCACGACGACTGCAGAGCCACAGGTTTCACTAAATTATATTGCTTGTGTCAGAAGAAGTGGCTTTACCTAAATAGTCTAGCGGAATAGTTCCATTTGAAGTCCCAATCAAAATAAACCTATGATCAATATCAGAGTTAGGCTTCTAATTGAAACTATCCTAGTTTCCAGGGGTTCCGGTCAAAAAGTGCGCATCTGTCAAAGATAAATATTTAGGTATCTAATAAACCTTAGTCTATCTATGAAGCAATGAAGATATTATGATTATCTATGTTCCAGTGCGCTACCCTTACGCGGGTCAGACGGTGGGTGAAGTGCGTTGGCGTAGATCCAGTGACTCTGAGACGCTGACGGCACAGCGAGCCATTAGGCGGGTGTTCGATGCCTGGTGGGGCGAGCGGAGGAGAGTGCAGCCTCACCAGTTAACAGCTCCTTTTAGAATGACTGCCAAGTAAGTGAAAATGTTTCAATTACTTAAAGGTTGAACGAAAATCCGCCTGATTCTCAAAATTTGATTGAGCCATTTCAAACGTCTATGAAGATTGATAAAGACGAACTACAGGGTAGTGATTTCTTTTTTGTACACTTAGCGACTCATAATATCTATTGTCACCTGCCAGGATAGAAATGTCTCCTAAAAATATATCGGTACAATATTAACGCCCGTATTCACAAACATTACTATGAGATCTCAAAGTGCGCGTGGACGCACAAGGTCACATACGAACCAATCTCAGCTCTATTCAACGCTGTGCGTTCGATTTGCTGCTTCACTTATGCAAGCATCGTTTGTGAATACGGGCGTAAATGTTTATGATAGCCGTGAGATGCCTTTATGAAGCTAGTTATCCAACAATTCATTACAGCATAGGTAATGCTTGTTACCAGGGGTGCAGTTTGGGGCCACTTCAGCCAACTAGCAGTGTGGTCGCTTCGTGCCGTCGGCTGCGGCGCGGTGCGACACGGCGCCAGCTACCCACGCCTATTACTCGTCTGCGACTTCTCACACACCAATATGCTGGGCCAGCGAACCCTGACACCCGGCCCAATGGTTCCTTGCCCGATACATACGGCCAGGAAATTGAGATCGGCATATCCTTTGCTTTGTGCTCCCGTAAGTTAAAAATCCCAGCCTATTGCTTGTTTGTGACTTCTTCCACACCAATATGCTCGGACAGAGAACGCTGACCCCTGGCCCGAGAAAACTGAACCTGTTGCTTGTTTGTAACTTCTCACACACCAATATTCTGGGACAGAGGACCCTGACACCTGGCCTGATGGTCCCCTGTCCGATACATACTGCGAGGAAGCTGAGATCAGCGTATCCTTTGCTTTGTGCTCCTGTAAGTTAGAAAACCCAGCCTGTTGCTTGTTTGTGACTTCTATGCTAGGCCAGAGAACGCTGACACCCGGCCCAATGGTTCCTTGCCCGATACATACTGCCAGGAAGCTAAGATCGGCGTATCCTTTGCTCTGTGCTCTTGTAAGTTAGAAAACCCAGCATATTGCTTGTTTGTGACTTCTCTCACACCAATAGGCTGGGCCAGAGAACCCTTACACCTGGCCTGATGGTTCCCTGTCCGATACATACTGCGAGGAAGCTGAGGTCGGCGTATCCTTTGCTCTGTGCCCCTGTAAGTTTGAAAACCCAGCCTATTGCTTGTTTCCGACTTCTCCCATACCAATATGTTGGGCCAGCGAACCCTGACACCTGGCCCGATGGTCCCCTGCCCGATACACACGGCTAGGAAGCTGAGGTCGGCGTATCCTTTGCTCTGTGCTCTTGTAAGTTAGAAAACCCAGCCTGTTGCTTGTTTGTGACTTCTCTCACACCAATATGCTGGGCCAGAGAACGCTGACATCTGGCCCGATAGTCCCCTGCCCGATACATACTGCGAGGAAGCTGAGATCGGCGTATCCTTTGCTTTGTGCCCCTGTAAGTTAGAAAACCCAGCCTGTTGCTTGTTTGTGACTTCTATGCTAGGCCAGAGAACGCTGACACCCGGCCCAATGGTTCCTTGCCCGATACATACTGCGAGGAAGCTGAGGTCGGCGTATCCTTTGCTTTGTGCTCCTGTAAGTTAGAAAACCCAGCCTGTTGCTTGTTTGTGACTTCTCTCACACCAATATGCTTGACGGGGGGGATTGCCCCGGGTACCAACCCTTGCTACGCCGCCACTGCTGGGACAGAGGACCCTGACACCTGGTCCGATGATCCCCTGCCCGATACATACTGCGAGGAAGCTAAGATCGGCGTATCCTTTGCTCTGTGCCCCTGTAAGTTAGAAAACCCAGCCTGTTGCTTGTTTGTGACTTCTCTCACACCAATATGCTGGGCCAGAGGACACTGACACCTGGTCCGATGATCCCCTGCCCGATACATACTGCGAGGAAGGTAAGATCGGCGTATCCTTTGCTCTGTGCTCGTGTAAGTTAGAAAACCCAGCCTATTGCTTGTTTGTGACTTCTCTCACACCAATATGCTGGGCCAGAGAACGCTGACAGTGACACCCGGCCCGATGGTCCCTTGCCCGATACACACGGCTAGGAAGCTGAGGTCGGCGTATTCTTTGCTCTGTGCTCCTGTAAGTTAGAAAACTGAACCTGTTGCTTGTTTGTGACTTCTCTCACACCAATATGCTGGGCCAGAGAACGCTGACACCCGGCCCGATGGTCTCTTGCCCGATATATACTGCGAGGAAGCTAAGATCGGCGTATCCTTTGCTCTGTGCCCCTGTAAGTTAGAAAACCCAGCCTATTGCTTGTTTGTGACTTCTCCCATACCAATATGCTAGACCAGAGAACCCTGACACCCGGCCCAATGGTTCCTTGCCCGATACACACGGCCAGGAAGCTGAGATCGGCGTATCCTTTGCTCTGTGCCCCTGTAAGTTAGAAAACCCAGCCTATTACTTGTTTGTGACATCTCTCACACCAATATGCTGGGCCAGAGAACCCTGACACCCGGCCCAATGGTTCCCTGCCCGATACATACTGCGAGGAAGCTAAGATCGGCGTATCCTTTGCTCTGTGCTCCTGTAAGTTAGAAAACTGAACCTGTTGCTTGTTTGTGACTTCTCTCATACCAATATGCTAGACCAGAGAACGCTGACACCCGGCCCAATGGTTCCTTGCCCGATACATACTGCCAGGAAGCTAAGATCGGCGTATCCTTTGCTCTGTGCTCCTGTAAGTTAGAAAACCCAGCATATTGCTTGTTTGTGACTTCTCTCACACCAATATGCTGGGCCAGAGAACCCTGACACCTGGCCCGATGATCCCCTGCCCGATACATACTGCGAGGAAGCTGAGGTCGGCGTATCCTTTGCTCTGTGCCCCTGTAAGTTTGAAAACCCAGCCTATTGCTTGTTTCCGACTTCTCCCATACCAATATGTTGGGCCAGCGAACCCTGACACCCGGCCCAATGGTTCCTTGCCCGATACATACTGCGAGGAAGCTGAGATCGGCGTATCCTTTGCTCTGTGCCCCTGTAAGTTAGAAAACCCAGCCTGTTGCTTGTTTGTGACTTCTCTCACACCAATATGCTGGGACAGAGAACCCTGACACCTGGCCCGATGGTTCCCTGTCCGATACATATTGCGAGGAAGCTAAGATCGGCGTATCCTTTGCTTTGTGCTCCTGTAGGTTGGAAATCTTGTTATGACCTACAGTATTAAGTCCAAGATGAAGATTCTGGTGCTCAAATAACTACAACAACTTTTTAAATGACACCAATATGGAAAAACAAGAAAACAATTTTATAGGATCTATATGTATACACACCTCACTTTCCCACCCCTGCAACCACAATCTGTGGCTGCAACACTGGTGTACCGAGGACCTACGCTTGACAGCCAATGAAAGGCTGGATTTTATTCTATAACGACGTTTGATTCCCGTAGATTTTTCCATAGCTTGTGAATTACATATGAGTCTAATAACATAAATGACAATGTAACATGTGTTTCATAATAAAATATTTGTATTTGTAATAACATAACGTGAATAAAAAAATAATATCGATGGACTTTCACATTTCAGCTCCTTAATAATTCGTTATCATTGAACAGGTTCGTCACCCAACAAGAACAGAGCAGTACGAGTCGGAAACAGAAGACGATCTTCTAGAAACAACAGAAGCAGATACCGAAGAAGAAGATGATGATGATGAAACCACAACAGAGAGTGTGCGGAACACGACCAAAGCTGTGCTGTATGACAAGAAAAATAGTAAGATCAAGGACTGGAAGAAGTATACCCATTCAGAAAAGACCATAGAGGATAGGGATTCTGTGCTGCTTTTTAGGAGTAAGTGGTTTTTTTAATGCATAACAAGGCAGGTATTTCACCACAATCGCACCTGGTGTTAAGTGGGATGCAGTCTAGGATGGTACATATCTGCCCTGTAAGTGCCTGTTCATTCTCGCCTTGAAAAGGCCCGTTTCTTTTCCCGTTAGCCCCTCACAAAAGCTAAATATGCTTGTGTTACAAGTGGGCTCACCACGATAGTCGAGTGGCGGTGGGATTCGAACCCGCGTTCCTCAGATAACGAGTCGGCCAGTCCGACCCTTTCACCGTTCGGCTATCGTGGCTTCATGTTAGTGATTAAAACTTTTGCCAATGTAAATACCTACGAATGAATTTGTTCCTTCTAAGGAACAATATAAAGTATGTTGACAGAGTTGTAAAATTATCAAGTATGGCCTTAATGAAGTCCAAAAAATATAAAAATTTAAAGATGCGATGGATTTTTAAATTATTTTCAATGTAGAATTTATTTCAGCCACAACAAAAAAGAGGACCACTAAAGGCTTGTTCTTAGATAAGTTGGACCAAGAACTAGACAGCCGGAAGAAGGCAGAGGACAAGTTCGAAAGCTTTAAAGCTTGGCAAGCTCGGACTTCGGATTCTTGGCAGTAAGATAATCAAAATCATTGATAGAGTGCTTTTATAAATATTTCTTTTTGAACTATCTTCTGTCCGCGGTTTAACCCAAGTAGATTCTAACAACAATAAAATAATGTGAATTTAGAGATGATAGGTACTGCACAAGAGCACATCTAGTTCACCCATTTCAATTAAGTTTTGTGACAAAAAAACCGCTTTTCTCAAAATCTCCTAGAGGAGAATTTTGGTTTAGATCAGATCTATCTAAATCAATATAACTCAAAGGTGACTGACTGACATAGTGATCTATCAACGCACAGCCCAAACCACTGGACGGATCGGGCTGAAATTTGGCATGCAGGTAGATGTTATGACGTAGGCACCCGCTAAGAAAGGATTTTACGAAACTCCACCCCTAAGGAGGTAAAACGGGATGCACGCGTACGAAGTCGCGGGCAGCCGCTAGTTCTGCAATAAAGGCGTAAAAACGTTACCCAAAAGGATACAGTATTTTCGCATCTAAATTATTAAGATATTAGAGTTAATTAAATAAATAAATAAATAAATAAAATGGTGTAAATATTCTAGCCCAAGATCTATGGAGGGATACGAAGCAATACCGACGAAAAGCAGAAAACAGACAGCTGTTCTTTTAGAAGGAGAACCGGAGTTCCGTAGATTTACTGACATGGCAGTCACTACTAGCCCTGAGGTGAGAAACATCCCATTTTGAGTTGCATCTAAGTTTCTGCCATAGCGTCCAGTGCAGTATCGTTGCAGTTGCGTTTCACCGTGTGTTCTGGGCCTAAGAGTTACTTAGGTATTTGCTTCGACCAAAAAAAATGTTTTGCAGGTATGTTATGGATATCCGTAACCGTAACCGAAACTATCGGATATACGAAATAAAAAAATATCCGTAACCGTAACTGAAACCGATTCAAAAGTTTCGGATAGTTTCGGATAAAGGCGGAGTCTAAATCTTAATATTTTTTTTTATATTTGTTACTTGTCTGGCATTTCCTGGCACAATCTGATATCCCCGCCCGCCTGTTTTATTATTATCGTGCTGTTTGGGGGAGGCCTATGTTCAGCAGTGGACGTCCTGTGGCTGAAATGAATGATGAAGAACCGTAACCGAAACCGGTATAATATTATTCTAATATCCGTAACCGTATCCATAACATCCCTACATTTTTGTTATTTTATGAAAAGATTGGCAAGTGGCATGGGCAGAGCATTTTAGGCCGTTGGGGCAGATAATTTCTCGAGTGGCGACTACATGCCCACGATCTGGTTAAGGTCGCGGGAAGTACCTGGATGCGGATAGCGCAGGACCGGTCTTTGTGGAAATCCTTGGGGGAGGCCTTTGTCCAGCAGTGGACGTCAAAAACTGGACCAAAATGACTTGACTTGATCACAATTTATTTTTAATTTCAGGCATTAGTAGTGAGGCACAAATGGAAGCAAACTAGGGATAGACCACAAAGGTAAAATATTTTACTAATTAAAGTATTCTAGCCACAACCAATTTAAAATGCTGACATATTCGATGACAAAATACATTGAATAATTAAATCATCGCAACAAGGTCATAAATGTAAATAATAAAAATAAAATTACAGGCCAGGAGCCAACGCACTTTTGAACCTACCTGTCACAGCGCACACTCATCGGTCTTCAATCGTATGTTGGATTGACAATAATTATGATATAAGAGTAAGAGCGCACACCGTTGATTTTTAGTTGGCCGATAGTTGTGCCCGATTTTAAATTGTATGAAGAATCGGCCAAATCGAATCGGCGTAGTGTGCGCACTCCCATACATGCCCATACTGATCAACTGCCCGACTAAACTATCGGCCGACGTAAAATCAACGGTGTGCGCCTACTCTTAGGTAAATTAGAGGTTTGTAGGCTGGTTCTCCCGGTCTTAGACACTATAAAAACGTAATACAAAGTAGATGTAGAGTTTACAATTTCAGGGGACGGTCTGAAATATGTACGCCTATGTGTATGATTAAAAATGATTTAATTTTTATTTGTATTTATTGCAGGCCGCCATGATGTTTGACAAAGAAGACGTGGACCAGCTGTTCCGCGACACAGGATTCAACCCCAGTTGGATGCGCCGACAAGGAAACAAGTGATCGTTTATACAAAATGTCCTGTTTTATGCTTGTATGAATTATACTTTATATCTTGGTATGTGTTTTGAATTTAATTTGAATGAAACTAACTTTTTTAGTTTTCGCGGTTCGGAAGTAAAGCCACAGATTAGATAAACGGCAGAATGAAAATAAATAAAATAGCGCCATCATGGCGCCATCTATATTTTTGTGCCATACTTACAAGGTAAACTTGAACTTTTTTGCGGTTAGGAGTTTTGTGGTAGAGAAACTTTTTTGTCTATTCAATCGATTAAAATCACTACAAAGCAGTTAAATTATTTCCTTTGCCAATTTAAGAATGTCGTCAAAGTAAATTGTCTTACTTGTCAGGTTGACTGACTGACTTCTGTTTGTTTCTGTAAAATTGTTGTGTTTACTCGTATTTTATTTTTTAAGAAATGTCTGCTATAAAGTGAACTGTGTTTAAGCGTACTAAATAAATGAAAACATTGCTCGAATCAAAATCCCATGTTTATCAGAAGAATTACGTAGTCTAAAACTTGACAAAACTAACCCAATGCCACCTTCAAGGAATCGCCTGAAATGTGCTGTATGTGCGGAGGCTGCTGCGGCAGATGCCTTCGCATCGTCTGCTGCATAACGCTGTGTGCCATGTGCTTGCGAATGTGTGGTGTCGACTGCCATGATTGTTGTCAGGACTGCGGTGATGATGATTTTTAGTAACAAATAAATGTAATTTTCGCCCATTTATTGATGAAGTTCTTTACTATGTTCTTGCAAAACTAAGGTATCTTCAGTAAATATAATATTAGCAATGTGTAAAGATAACTTAAAAGTAGATCTTCACCCTACAAAATTCAGAATTCGTGTAGACCTAGTATTTAACATCTGCAATTATTGTGGCTACAAAACACAAAAAGATGATGGTTGTCCAAAAAATCTTTATAAAAAATGTAAATGATTGTTTCACATTTAAACTGAGGTTATTTTGACCTGAATGTCTCCAACTTCCTCATTGGCCCTAGAGCAATTCCAAGTATACCATCAATAAAAGCCTAATTAGAGTCATCAAACCTCTCAGTCATTCAATTAGAGCCATTAGAACTTCATAACTATGAGTTGTTTTCTATGTGTAAGCTGAGGACACGTGTCTCCAGCTGACACATCTGTATCTTCGTAAATATTTATGCTACGATAATGTATTATACCTCAAAAATTACAGTCGAATCCAAATAGTAGGCTTTCCACTTTTCAAGACTTTAGCTCAAATACTGTTAAAACCACGATCAAAAAACTATGTGCGAGCTGGAGTACCGTGTCTCCAGCTTACACATCTGTATCTTCGTAAATATTTAAGCTACATCAATGTTTTATATCTCATAAATTAAAGTCGAATAAAAAAACCCGACTTCAATTCTTTCAAAGCTTTATTTCGAACCGTTTTCGAACTACGAACCGATACGTATGTGTAAGCTGGTGACACGTAACACACGGTGGATTATTAAAACCGTATAAGTTAGAGTTGCGTTTTAAAGATCAAATAATTCGTTATAATTAATTATTTGATCTTTAAAACGCAACTCTAACTTATACGGTTTTAATAATCCACCGTGTGTTACGTGTCACCAGCTTACACATACGTATCGGTTCGTAGTTCGAAAACGGTTCGAAATAAAGCTTTGAAAGAATTGAAGTCGGGTTTTTTTATTCGACTTTAATTTATGAGATATAAAACATTGATGTAGCTTAAATATTTACGAAGATACAGATGTGTAAGCTGGAGACACGGTACTCCAGCTCGCACATAGTTTTTTGATCGTGGTTTTAACAGTATTTGAGCTAAAGTCTTGAAAAGTGGAAAGCCTACTATTTGGATTCGACTGTAATTTTTGAGGTATAATACATTATCGTAGCATAAATATTTACGAAGATACAGATGTGTCAGCTGGAGACACGTGTCCTCAGCTTACACATAGAAAACAACTCATAGTTATGAAGTTCTAATGGCTCTAATTGAATGACTGAGAGGTTTGATGACTCTAATTAGGCTTTTATTGATGGTATACTTGGAATTGCTCTAGGGCCAATGAGGAAGTTGGAGACATTCAGGTGTTATTTTGCCCGCGGGCCAACTAGTAATTTTTTTTATACAATTTTTAATAATGGTGGTATCCCTATACGTCAGTCTGACATTGACAGATTTGTTGACATTGACAATTCTAAATTTCTAAAATCGCGGTGGAATTTGAGGTTATTTTCGTTTTTCTGGAATTATTGTTTTAAAAGTCCACCAAGATGCCTTTCATGAAAGGAAGAGCCCCAATCCGCCGCACACTAAACTATTTAAACGCTGGGAGGTTAGTTTTGAAGGACAAAATCAAAATTTTCTCGGTGGCGTACAACATAAATGGTACCAACAACAACGGTGCTAAAGAGTTCGTTTTCTGGTATTTGCCTCAAATACAGTATAAAAATCCTGATGTGCAAGTTGCTACGTTGAAGAATCTAACACCTTCACCGTTTATCAAGTGTTATTTCGAAGATGGAAGGAAGATTTTGGTGGATGTCGACAACAAATCGAAAGATGAGATTTTGGAGCATTTGATAGCGACTGTGGGGAAATCCAAAGAGGTTTTAGAAGCGGAGGCGATTGCTGCAGAGAAGAAAGACAATCCTGCGAACTTTGGTGTTGGTTGCGAGCGACCGTGTATATGTGAAGTGTATGGTCAAATTCCGTGCCCTGGTGTAGTTCCTTTGCCCAAGTTTATGAGGGGAAAATACAAGAACCCGGCCAATTAAGACATTTTGTTACTTTAAGACGTGTTTACTTGTTAATAAGATGTATTTTGTGTTGTTTTTCATTACCTATAAAAATTATAATTCATGTGACTGACTTTGGGTGGAGCAAAATATGAAACTGCATTTTGTTTATTATTGTTATGCACTTATTTACTTTTGTTAACTCTTTTAATGGATATAATGTAAAATTATCTTGTGTTTCACCCCTTCTAACAAAAACATTGTTTTGTAAGTTCATTCAGAAATGGATTTAAAGCAGTTACAAAAAATATCCTGTTAGCATTTAAACATGTAACCTATATACAATAAAATAATAATTATAATGTTTGTAGATAGCTCTAGTTCATAATGTATTATAGTAAAACAAATTTTACAACAACACATTTTTATTTTGACGTCAAATGTTAAAACTTTAGTCCCTTAACAGCGTTTGCCATCAGCGCAGCTGTGATATAGTGCATGTTCTGGAACGACTTAAACGTCCGAGAGTTGCAATGGTTGAAAAGGTCATCGTCACACTCGTCCCCACGAGGACAGGTGTGGAAGAATATCCATTCACAGGGCGTTGACTTTTCGATGTCCTGAAAATTGTATAGTTAATATAAAATGAAAGTAATTTTCACACTAATTATTATTGATGTTTGTTCAATCTAAACTCTGTACATTTTATCTCAGAGTTGCTCATATTTTATTTTATAATAGTATCTTGTTTTTTTTTTGTGCAGTAAGTTCTTGGACATTATAAGCAGAGCTAATAACATTATTTAGAAATTTTGTCCTAAACTTATCCTTTTGATATGCATAATATGCATTCATCAACAAAATTTAATGTGCATGAATGTAGGAAAGCCACTGTCTAACAAAATAATTATGTTTTTAAATCCTGTCGCTTGCCGAACCGAAACTACAAACAAATCTAATAACTGCTATAAACCATAAAACAGCTGTAGGCAGCTTGTTTGCAGTGACGCCGGCCACTCTTTAAATTGTTTTAAAAATAATCATCATCATCATTTCAGCCACAGGACGTCCACTGCTGAACATAGGCTTCCCCCAATGACTTCCACATCGCACGGTTGGTAGAAAAATAATCATACCCCCAAATTAATCTTGTAGCCCTTAGCGGCCTCCTTCTTGCAAGACGTAGGCCCTGATATGATCACGGATGTGTTGCACAGCACTTGCTGAGAGGACTCGCACTCCCGGCACTCCGTGCGGGTCTGGGCCGTGAGGTCTTCACTCGCTTTGTGAAGGAGGGGACAGATACCTCCTGTCTGAAATTAAGACTAAATTGTAAGTAATTGTATCACAACTGCTGCATGCGCGTATTATGTATAGCGAGGGGACAGGAATGGCACGATTGGTCTGGTGCCCCAGGATTGGAAGATGATACCTAGTATGAGCTAGATACTAGACAAAGACAAGACAGCAGAAAAACACAGCAGAAACCGAAACCAAACAGCTTCCTGTACTTATTTCTAGTATAAAAGTATTGGGCCGAATATACCTCCTTGCAGCAGCACTTGTATCTGATATTGGCTCCCAACATCGGGCACAGAAGCAGGTACGAGTTCAGTACTGGATGGGGCGCTCCTATGTACGCAACGTTGAGCGACTTCATTGTGCCGAATTCTTCCTGCAATGATATAAGATTATTTAATACTACCTACTGGTGATGTGGTGTGTGACATTTAATGAGATAATGATGATGATGAGAGCGTGGAGTGTTTTTGTATCCACAACGAGGAACTCTTGGAACTGTACCTGATGGAAAGTGATGATCAAGTCGAAGGTGGAAGTGAGCTGGCTATCTTGCCTCCAACTGCTGGAACACAACAATCCTGCTATGACGACAGACCTAGGTAAGATGGTGGCTTCTTAGTCAGGCACTCTTGTCAGAATGGTCGTGGTTGCGCTGACGAGGTACATGTCATATGGGTGATGTCATCTCCGAGGGTAGCTCTCCTGGCGATGTGCTTCCATTTCTGACGGTTAGAGGCGTCGCGAGTACATTGGACCATGGTGTACTCAGTGGCCTTCGTCATGGCATCCATCCAGCGGGTTGGCGATCGACCGCGTGCTCTCCTGCCTTCCACCTGGCCCTGAACTACCAGTCTCTCCATCGAGTTCTCATTTCTAGAGACGTGACCAAAGAATTTCATTATTGTATGTTTTAAAAATATACTAACAATGATAGCCATCACAGTCGCCAGCGCTTGTATGCTGGCATGCGTGCGCGAGCGCATACACAGCACCGGCACCGTCGCCTGGTCAGCGAACCGCTGCACGCACATATGCGTCGCCGTCGCCACGAAAATCACGTCCGTCATCATGGAGAACACCCTAAAAGCAGACGCGGGTCATAGTCGTATTTATCGTATACAGAAAGCTGGAAACTTATAAGCGCTTACCGGCGTTTGACAGCTCTGGTAACCCGCGCAGGAAAATATATGAACGCGCGCCGATAAGCACTGAACGGCGCCGACAAATTTCAGCGCTGGTCAGCGCTGGACGCTGTCATATAAAATGCCATTCAACTTGCATCCTTCGTGAACGAACAGACCAGCGCTGACAAGCGCTGGTAAGCGCTTATAAGTTTCCAGTTTTCTTTCTGTATACAGCCTTAGTCTACAGCAGCAGCGTATTGGCGTAGCAAGAAGAATACGATAATTGTAGGTAAGAAGTGTAGTGTAACCCAATTTGGTTGGACATGTGTGTCGCCGTCACCACAAAGATCACGTCCGTCGTCATGGAGAACACCATGTGAAGAGGTTATAATTAACATTCTGTATGTAGAAGTACCAACAAGCAAAGATGGCGGGACATCGTACAGGCGACACAACACAATAATCCACACTTCAAACGACCACAATCATTCTGTGAAGAGTGTACGACTGAGAAGAAAGCAGAAACGAGTAAGTATAGCGGTTGGATTTATACCTTTGACGGACCTAAATGCAGTGATCCTCCGTCAGTGTACCTACTTTCTAAGCATTTCCTCCGAGAAAGCTTCAGTTACTGTTCTGTGCTACTTGATTCTTGACATCAACAAAACACTTTTTACGCGGGTACTTATTTATTTCGACGTAGGCTTTCTGACTACCTTCATGATTTTAATGATTTATTTATGCAAGTGCAATAGTACCTTGCACCCTTGCAAATCCTGGGCAGTGGGTTAAAAGTGTACTACCTACTTACAATGAGTTGGATTCTCACTTTCCAAAGTAATCCTTATCCCAAACCAGATGATCGATTATGTTAACGTCGTAAGCGCCCAGAAACGTCGCGGCCTTCGACACGGCCATGTTCAGGATCGGCTCGTTCACCTCTTGGAGTATCATCACCTTACAATTCGTCAGAACATCCTGAAACGGAAGAGAATCAAAGGCCAACTGGTTTGACCAATCAGAGGCACACTTCAAAGAGAACTCGGTAATGGTCTTAGAGGCCGCCTATTTCTGAAACAGTGGTCTTTCAGAATGTTGATCGATTGTCTGATGCTGATTTTCGTTATTAATTTTCCAGGCAATCTCAAGTTAATATGGGACAACGACCTAACAACATCAATAATGAACGTGGAGGCCGCGTACCGGAAAACGCACCGTGGGACGTCCACCCACAAGGTGGACCGACGGCATCATAAAGGAAGGCGCATGGACGCAGGCCGCTACCAACCGGGCAACATGGTAAGCATTGGGGTCCATTGGGGGAGGCCTATGTTCGGCTGTGAACGTCCTATGGCTGAGATGATGATGATGAATGGACGAACAGTGATACCTAGCTACTTTACGCCCAGGTGCTGGCAATAGCGAAATTGCCATGCCACATTTGTAGAGTTAAGTAAGTAAGTAGACCATGTAGAGTTAGAACTTTAGAAGCTGCTTTGACAACTTTTTCATGACGCGAGAAGACTTAATATGGGAAATCCTAAAAAGCATAAATTGGACTAACATTATGTGTCAAAAGTCAAAAGTCAAAAATTTCTTTATTTGTTTAGACTAATTAGTCCAGTCATTTAAGCTTAAATTAGGTAAGAATCTCGGAATTAGAGATACCCAGCTGTAAGTCTGTAAATACTTGTATATTGACACCCTAAAAGTTGTCTCAAAACCTACATATGGTAGGGTGTAAGCAACTATTAAATTTTAAGGTCAAAGGTCACAAAAATCGGTTTTTTGCGCTTTTTTTGGAAATATCTTATTTCCTATGGGTTTTTTGCTATTTGTATTTATTATCAATATTGTAGAATACTAAATTCTCTACAAATTTTGTTTAAAAAATTTTTTTATACGATGAACCGTTTTCGAGATAGAGGGCGGAGAGCGCGCGGTCACTGCATCACTTCAGGTCAACTTAAGCGGTTTAGGTTTTTCATACAAAAGGATTTTCCCGCTAATTCCCGTGGGAATTTCGGTAATTACTTGTTGTAAATAAGCTTTAAGTTTACTAAGGTACCTACATGCCAAATTTCAAGCGTCTAACTTCCGTTAAGCGTTTAGATTTTTCATACAAAAGGATTTTCCCGCTAATTCCTGTTCCCGTGGGAATTCCTAAGTAAACTATAACCTGCCCAGGTGTATGAAGAATAATTGTACCAAGTTTCGTTAAAATCCGTCGAGTAGTTTTTGTTTCTATAAGGAACATACAGACGGACAGACAGACAGACAAAAATTTTACTGATTGCATTTTTGGCATCAGTATCGATCACTAATCACCCCCTGATAGTTATTTTGAAAATATATTTCATGTATAGAATTCTGTCCGTCTGTATGTTCCTTATAGAAACAAAAACTACTCGACGGATTTTAACGAAACTTGGTACAATTATTCTTCATACACCTGGGCAGGTTATAGTATACTTAGGAATTCCCACGGGAACAGGAATTAGCGGGAAAATCCTTTTGTATGAAAAATCTAAACGCTTAACGGAAGTTAGACGCTTGAAATTTGGCATGTAGGTACCTTAGTAAACTCAAAGCTTAGTTACAACAAGGAATTCCCGAAATTCCCACAGGAATTAGCGGGAAAATCCTTTTGTATGAAAAATCTAAACCGCTTAAGTAGACCTGAAGTGATGCAGTGACCGCGCGCTCTCCGCCCTCTATCTCGAAAACGGTTCACCGTATAAAAAAAGTTTTTAAACAAAATTTGTAGAGAATTTAGTATTCTACAATATTGATAATAAATACAAATAGCAAAAAACCCACAGGAAATGAGATATTTCTAAAAAAAGCGCAAAAAACCGATTTTTGTGACCGTTGACCTTGAAATTTAATAGTTGCTTACACCCTACCATATGTAGGTTTTGAGACAACTTTTAGGGTGTCAGTATACACGTATTTACAGACTTACAGCTGGGTATCTCGAATTCCGAGGTGAACTTACTATAATGACTGGACTAAATAGGTAAATAGTTCTTACAAATCGTCATATGCTCTTAAGGAGCCTCTACATGTCTCATAATCTTTTTACCCTACCAGTGAACTGATGAATCTGATGATCACCACCAACCAGTCGTTTCCCATGTGTGTCCACGTGTCGGCACTTCAGGTTGAGGGCACTCGTGATGATGTCCATTACCATGGTAGCCGTCCATTGCTTGAAGCAGATCAGGTGACGGGGTTTTGAAGATCTGAAATTCATATTGTTTTTTATAGTAGGTTAGGTACTAGCTGACCCGATGATCATAATGGTGCAAGAATTTTTTAAATCGGTCTAGTAGTCTCGGAGTCTATTCTAGACAAACAAACAAATCTTTCATCTTTACAATAAGTAGGTATTGGTGTAAATAGGTAGACATTCTGAAGTGTGAACAGTTGGGACGAAGTCCTTTTGTATGGCTATACTGACCAACCAGCATCCTATGCCACCTAGAAATGGATCGGAACCCTGGACTTTCAGCACAATTAACAGTTTGTTACTTACTGTGGTTTACATTTATAAAATCTGACTTGGTAACTCAACGGGACCAATCTTTGAATAAATCTGAATAGCTTCATCGCGTAAAACTAGAATTTTGCATCGAAAAACTAAATAAACTGTTAAAATTTATAAAATTACATTTTTGTTGTGTTAAAATTATGTCAATTTTGAGAGAACAACAATCAGAAAGTAAATTCACAGATCAATAAAGTTATTTCAGATCTACCAAAGAGGTAGGTAAGGTCATGATGTTTGAAATAAATTCCAAAATCTATTGGCGCAGCTTTTTTATTTGCTTTTTTTAAGATTAATAGCAATTTGTATTGCACAAATTGTTTTGTTTGTTTTGTTTTGTTTTTTTTTTTTTTTTTAAAGATTATTAGTAATTTGTTATTACACAAATTACTAATAGTCCCGCTAGCCCCTAGTGTTAAGCTAAATAAAGCTTGTGTTACGAGTGGGTTCACCACAATAGTCGAATGGTGGGATTCGAACCCGCATTCCTCGGATCTCGAGTCGGACAGTCCCACCCATTTTCCGTTCGGCTATCGTGGCTAAAATGGCGTGTGATTTTGTAAGTAAATACTGTGATGAACGAAATAATAGTTTTAGGTATAACTTTATATAGGTAAAACCTCTACAAAAAGCAATAAAATATCTAGGTAGGTACTTAGTAGGCAACTTAACAACTCTATTACGTAGCTAGACTAAAAACAGTACAATATTATTATCTTCTAATAAACAATTTACAGCTAAGTAAGTATATTTTTATTATTATTCCGTTTGTAACGTATGTGGAAACACGCGTACTTAAAATAGATTTTTCTATTCCTTACTTTGTTAATGTTCTAATATTGTTATTTAATTTAAAATAGTTAACAATATCAGCCATTAATTTAAGTTAATTTAATTAAAAGTGTTACGATGTTAAAATTAAGGCCGCACTTACGCCAATACGCGATGGTTATAACAGGTGAGTTTTCTAAATCTAGATTATAAAAGCGAAAGGTCACTGACTGACTCACTCATCACGAAATCTCATAAAGTACAAATGCTAGGCTAATGTAAGCTCTTTTAGAACGAAGGTGTTCACTAAGACGGGATTCCTAAGGGGGTACAGGGGGGACCAAGTCGCTAAATGGTTCCGGTAGAGTCGAGTATAGGACCACTCTTTCTGTGGGTGTACGTAATACGAACTCTGAGCACGAAAAAATATCGTTTTCGTTAAGTTATGGTAAACTTTTTGCTATATATATGGACATTGAAAACTAGAACAGCGCAGATACTATAGATTTGGGTTCGGGGTACAAGTTCCTTAATCTGTCTGGCCAGCGCTGCAGAGTCGGGGCTGTAGGCAAAAACCTCAAAAATACTCTATAGTCTATAGGTGCTATGAGAAGTAAATTATGGAACTCGAACACACTAAATCCAAGGTTTTCCCAGTGCCGTCGCTACTCCCTAAATAATTAAAACCGGCCATGAGCGTGTCGGACTAACGCACAAAGGGTTCCGTACCATTGATTTATGATTTTTTTTTAAACTAGATCTCGTTCAAAACAAAATTTTCGTTGGTAGTTTTTAATAGTAATGTACATCATATGTTTTTTTTTAATTTTTAATTTTCTTATTTTAGAAGTTAGAGGGGGGGGGGGGCAACTTTTTTCCACTTTGGAAGCGTCTGTCACGCAAACTATTCGGTTTAGAAAAAAAATATTTTAGAAACCTCGATATCATTTTTGAAGGCCTATCCATAGATACCCCACACGTATGTATTGTGTTTGATGAAAAAATAATTTTGAGTTTCAGTTCTAAGTATGGGGAGCCCCCAATATTTATTATTATTTTTTTATTTTTGCATCAAAATCTTAACGCGGTTCACAGAATACATCTACTTACCAAGTTTCAACAGTATAGCTCTTATAGTTTCAGAAAAAAATGGCTGTGACATACGGACGGACAGACGGACAGACAGACATGACGAATCTATAAGGGTTCCGTTTTTTGCCATTTGGCTACGGAACCCTAAAAAGCCAATCATGCTACCTATTAACTATTCAGATAGTTTATTAACGTATATTGTTGTACATAAATAGATATTATTTATAGATTATTCTTGTTGACTTACTATAACCATAATAATGGAATCGACACTTGTGCAAGTTGTGAATTACATTATTGCATGGGTCAGTGACATGGTGATCATGTTCATTGTAAAAATCTGACCTGAACCTGAATAAACCTGTAGAAAAATATCTTTTTCCAACTGTGCAATGATAGTTTTCTTTATTAGGTAGGTAAATAAAATACCTAGTAACAAATAATAACACGTAAAAGGCTATTATTATACTCATGATTTGCAAAATAAAATAATGTAGATAACTGCAAAGTAGGACAAACAGGTGAGTGCCAAATGACGTCCATCGCTGAACAAAAGCCTCCCCCAAGGTTTTCCACAATATACGGTCTTGAGCTGCCCGCATCCTGGACAGGCAGCACAGGACCGGTCGTTATGGAAATCCTTGGGGGGGGGGGCTTTGTCCAGAGCCCCGATTACGGTAATTTTTAACGTCTCCAATCCAGACGCGTTTCTGATTCTGCAATACGATTGGTCAAAACAGCTGACGTACGCAAGCGTAAACAGCGTACGCCAGCTGTTTTGACCAATCGTATCGCAGAATCGATGAAGCGTGTCTGGATTGTAGACGTTAAAAGTTACCGTAATCGGGGCTCAGCAGTGGATGTCATTTGGCTGAAACGATAGAACCTTTATTTAAAACGCGTCCATAACAGCGTAATAAACTTGAAAATTTCGACGAGTTCATCCCGTGGTTCATCCAGTGTCTAAGTAGCTCAGTTGTAAGAGCAGTCCCCGGGCTCCCCGGCAAGCGAAAGGTCGTGGGTTCGATTCCCGTCTTAGGCTGTTACATTTTTTTAAGTTGTTTATTTAAAACTATATTTTTATTTTGGTTTCCAGTAAACCTCAGCATGCTCAGCGCAGGGATGACCCTGGGCTGGTCCTCTCCGATACTGGTGAAGCTGGCGAATGTCACGGAGTCGGGGTTCGACGAGCCCGTGTCGAGTAGCGATATGTCTTGGATCGTGTCTACTGTGTTTTTGACGTGTACTTTCGGTATGCAAACTTTTATTTTTAAACTAAGTAGCTGTGAACGCGACTTCGTACGCGGAAAACCCGTTTTCGCAACATTTTTCATTGTTGCTCTGCTTCTATTGATCGTAGCGTGATGTTGTATAGCCTTCCTCGATAAATGGGCTATCTAACACTGAAAGAATTTTTCAAATCGGACCAGTAGTTCCGGAGATTAGCGCGTTCAAGTAAATAAACAAACAAACAAACTCTTCAGCTTTATAATATTATTATAATATTAGTATAGAAGTATAGATACTGTGACATTATTGTAGTTATAATTGAATTGAAAATGTATACCTATAGTCTGATTTATGCTTGAGTAAAAAATATCTTTAGGCTGATAATAGGCAGGTAATCTTCAGAGGACCTCTTCTAGTTTAGAAAAGCTTCTTCAGCATCAACTGGTGGCAAGTGGCGGAAGGATTAACTTAAACGATATCGCGAGCTAATTATGGAGAGCGCCATCTATTTGTGCTATTCGGAACTGACTAAAGCACACGCGTTGGTTTAGCCGAACCTTTACAGTCTAAAGCCCGGTCCGTGAGCACGTAGAATTTTGTCCAATGACCCCTAGCTACCCATCCTTATCGCTCGCGCGTAATTTATTGCTTTCGCGACTGTACGACGGGCGCCCGCAGTGAGTGTGCGAGCGCGATAGCAACATAATAATTATGCGCGAGCGATAAGGATGGGTAGCTAGAGGTCATTGGACAAAATTCTACGTGCTCACGGACCAGACTATAGATTGCATCAAATTCCGTTACATACGTAACTTTTTCAACTAATTTAATGTACAGTCAGCGTCAAATAGTTCGTGACACCCAAAGTTGCCAAAAAGTTAACACGATAAAGTTGTGTTGTCAACTTTTGGCCACTTTGGGTATCACGAACCATTTTGACTGACTGTACCAGTAACTACCTGCTTGTTTTATTTTGCAGCTGTCTTCGTAGTTCCAATGTTACTGGATAATCTAGGTAGAAGGTACAGCGCAATCCTAGCTATGGTGCCGCTCATCATGGGAGGCCTGGCCATGGTCTTCGCAAGTAAAGTCTGGCTGTTGTTCCTAGCTAGATTCTTGGTGGGATTGTCTATGGCTATGAGCTTTAATGTGGCTCCGACTTATGCTGCTGAGATTGCTAGCGTAAGTAACTTTTCCTTGATAATATCTTACTACCTACATTACATTTCTAATACTACAGCCTCATATTATGACTAATTGAAAGCCATCAACGGTCGCAACAGTGTATATTACACTTGAAAATTTCGACTGGTTCATCCAGTGCAGTGGTTCTTAACATTTAAGTCATGAGGGACCATTTAACCAAAATTCTGTCTTGTCAGGGACCACCTCATAAATCGGTCAAAACCAGTTTGATTGCAAAAATCAGTTAAAAGTGGTTTTGACCAAGGTGTGCAAGTGCACATCGTGGACCACTTGGAATGCCTCCAGAGACCACCAGTGGTCCGCGGACCACCGGTTAAGAACCACTGATCCAGTGTCTAAGTAACTCAGATGGAAGAGCAGTTGCCTGGCAAGCGAAAGATCGAAGGTCCGATTCCTGCCTTAAGAAGTTCGATTTTTTCAAGTTATTTATAATTATTTTGAAAGCAATTCCCTATATTCGTTTACTGTTGGTTATCTAGAATAACGATTTCAGCAGAAAACTTTGTTATTACATGCAACAATGTTGCTATTCGTTGTATCTATGAATTTTACAGTTATAAAAGTGGTCCTATTATAGAACCTTGCAGTACACCGTTTATTATATTGCTTTCTTTTGCGGAAGTATAAGCCTGTTGTTTATGAAATCTATAAGTTCGATAATGAGCATCCCATTAACTTACAACCCGGTCGAGTAAACTGCGCATCTTGCAGCCGTGACGTCACATCGACACTCACGTACGGAAGGGGCGAACGCGGGGAGGTGTGCGGGTTAGGGGGAAGGAGAGTCACATTCCAGCGAGGTGCGCAGTAAGCTTGATCGATCGGGTTGTATAACGATGACCTAATACTTATAGTTTCTATTTCAGAAAGAAATCCGAGGATCCCTAGGAACTATAATACAAATATCAGTTTGTATTGGTGCCACTCTAATGTTGGCTGTGGGACCATTTGTCTCATATTTGTCCCTGAATGTAGTATACGCCATTTTTGCTGTGCTCACAACAGTGCCAATATTGTTCTTGCCCGAAAGTCCTTATTACTTGCATTCAAAAGGTAATTAAACGTTAACATTTTATTAATTTAGAAAAGAAGAACCATAGACAGTTAAGATGATGCAGAGTCAATCAAAAAATACTTAGGTGGTAAAGAAAAAAAAATGAAACAAAATATTATTTTAAGACTTAAATAGGACCCACAGTATTTTTTTTATGCTAGACAAGGCAGATATTTGACCGCAATCGCACCTGGTGTTAAGTAAGATGCAGTCTAGGATGGTACATATCTGCCCTGTAAGTGCCTATTCACTCTCGCCTTGAAAACGCCCGGATTATAGTGTTCAGGAAATACAGCAGCAGGCAGCGAATTCCAGTCCCTAGCTGTTCGCATTATAAAGGAGTCGTCGAAACGCTTAGTGCGAGCTGGTGGAATGTCGAAAATGTTCTTATTCAGAACCGCGCATGAGCGCAGTCCATGTCAACCCATTGGGATCTTTAGTTCTTCCCTTTACCTTTATTCCCTCTCATCCGCAAAAATCCTATCCATAAAGCGAATCAAGTGCTTTGGTGAGTGGGACCTATATTCTTCTGGCGCCCAATAGGGCGACCCCAGGAGACCCATCCTAGTTCTCGCTAGCGCGTCGCATTCACACAGTAGGTGCTTTATGCACTCCGCATTTCTACATGCTCGACAGCGTCCGTAGTTAGGCTCATCTTGTGGATCAGACTGATGATCTTAGATTATAACAAACTCTATTTATTATTATACCTGTATTTCAAACATTTCCAGGCCGAAGCCACGAAGCCCTGAAAAACTTAACAACATTGCGAGGTTCAGAAACGCTGGCAAAGCAAGAAATAGTGGAATACGATATGACAAAATCTGACAAAAATGTCAAGAAGCTAAGTTTGTTGAAGGACTTTATTCTTCTAAAGACGATACTCCTGGTGATCATATTCAGTACTTTCGATCAATTAACAGGAGCGTGCACCATAACATTGTATCTGCAACCAATACTGCAGTCAACTAAGATGAATATTAGTACTGAGCTAGCATCAGCAGTGATAGGTCTTATTAAGTTGGTGGGTGCCTTTATGACCGCAAGCATCACAGATAGGTTTGGAAGGAAACCTATTTTGATTTGGACGTATTTTGGAATGACTATTGGAATGGTAAGAATTTTAATTTAGTGAGATTTCAGACAGCTGGCTTACAGGTTCGAATTTATCATGTTTACAGACAGATAAATTAATTGCATAATTAGTCACTTTCGCCTAGAAAAGGTCTAAGTAATTATTGTTCAAATAAAATATAAGAATGCAGCTATAGTTCCAAGTTCTTTTTTATCCACAACGATTTCAAACTTTTTTATCCACAACGAGGAAGCTCTTAGCCTGCATTTCACCTGATGGAAAGTGATGATCAGAGCGAAGATAGAAGCGAGCTTCACCCAAAATCCTCAACGATAGAGGAACTGGCTATCTTACCTTCAACTGCCGAAACAAATGCTGCTAATATTGTTGTTAGACCTTATATTTTACAGGTTGGTTTTGGCGCTTACTTCTACATCAGTAGTGATACCAAAGACATGTATGCCTTTATCAACTACATACCCATTATATGCTTGGTGTTGATCGTTTGGTGCGACAGTGCTGGTAAGAGAATAATAATTATCTCCTTGAACTTCAACTGAGAAACTATAAATTCTTTAAATAAAGCTACTAAATGTAAAAAATACGATTCCACGCTAAAAACACGCGCGAGCTATTTGATCTTGGAAAAAATCTGTTATCGTAAAACCCCTTAAACATGATCACAAATTGATATCCATAAATAAAATTTTCGTAACAATATGTTTCCACGATTTAGGAAAATCATCCCTCAAGTCTGTAAATAATGATGTATTGTATTTGTCAATTATGTATTTTCTTTCTTTTCAGGACAAGGATCACTATTCTACGCTGTAATATCTGAATTATTTGAGGGACCTGCGAGAGCTTTAGGGGTGTCTATTGGGTCCTGCACTAGCTCCATTGTATTATTCCTTACTTCAAAATACTTGACTGCAGTACTGGATGCAGTGGGACCGGCAGTGACGTTTTTGAGCTTCGGAGTCGTGTGCATCTTTGGAGGACTGTTTATTACGTTTTGTATACCAGAAACTAAAGGAAAGACTTTCTCTGAAATCCAGAAGACTTTGGGAAGAAAAATATAGTATACCATATTTGGTTGTTTTTATTTTTTACTATCTTTTGCCCGTGGATTTGCCCGTGTGAAGTTCGATCTGTCTTATACATACATAAAGATGACATGACTCTCTTTCAAAAACCTGGATAAAAACTATCGATCTAAAATTTTCACTGCGTCTTAACTATCAATCTCGATGAGACAGTCGGATGGTCGACGCATTTCTTGTTACCTCTGGTATTTTATTGACATTTTTGTTCAATGTTACTAATGCCAATAGAAGGTTCAATTTCTGCAATGGTACGAAACCCTCCCTATGTGGGTACGACTCGCACTTTGCTGATTTTGAACTCACGTATATTGTGATAAATGATGCTGTTATTTTAGTGCAAAAAGATGTCAAACAAGTCGTTACGAACTTGAAAAAACATGTTATCTTCTGTTTTTTCTTTATTTTTATTATCGCTCCGTGTGCTCTGCCATTTGATCAAATTAAAACATTTGAAAGTCAAATTCACATTCGCTAAGAATACGGTCGTGTGTAAAAATAGATTTTTTAAGTAATATTTTACATGCGTAAAAGTAAAATATAAAAGAAAATTTGCTTAGAAGACGACCAAGAAGAAAGTGACGTTGCAATTGGACAGAGAAAACAGCGATCAATGGACAGGACAGTTTAACTGATCAGAGAAATACTAACAACGGCTGTGGGACAGTTACTTTGGTGTATAAAAATAAGGACATGGTATATTCTAACTACTAGTAGAGTCAACCTTGGCGAGACTGATAAAAGAAATTTTCGCTACGCCTTTTCACGGATATACGTGACGTGCATTTTAATGCTGTTTTGGCTGTAACTACAATACCTAAAGAAGAATTTCGCATTCGTACTTTTGTTCACGCCGTCACATGTGCGTGGTATATAACAATAAAGATAATGATCCAACAAAAGACACTTTAGTGAACTAAGTATTCGTACTACAAAAATGTAATAACAAATCTAGCAGGGTAGAGTGTGTGTATCAGAACGAAACTCAAAACTTTTACTCAATTTCAAGAATAGGTTAAGGCTTTTTGAAGTGTTGATCGTTTGAATTTAGACAGCTCAGGATTATAATCTAGGAGATTGAATCGAGTTATAAGGGTTGTATTGTAGGTCCCAAAAGTTTGCTACAAAATAAATAACTTTTTCAGATTAATAATGAAACTATTTTGTTCGCTATCACCTAAAGTGCGACAATGTATTTATGTTATGGTCGGTAAGTAGAATATTCTTTATTACTTTGTTCGAACGAACTTTCTCGTTAAAATTACGTAGGTACACGTAAAAGTACCTATAGCCTGACCAGGAACATAAAAACCCTCGCCATGTTGCGGAAAACGAATGGTACTAATTTCTTTTAATGGCAACAGCCCCCCTAGACAAAACTCACTTTTTGATCGAATCGAAAATCGAATCCGTCAAAACTCCATACAAAAAAGGGGCTTTTCGACCACTTTGCGACTGGTTTGCGATTATAATTTGCACTTTGTCTAGACCCACAGTAACTAAAAACTTCATTGATATGTCACCTAGCATGTCAGTCTATTGCTGTCAAAGTGTAAACAAACTTTATTTTAAATGTGCGCAATTGATTTTGTGAATTAAATTGCTAAAATCTTTTTATAGTCAAGAAAGAAAAGTGGTTCACAATGTGTTAAAGTATTTGTCGAAGAGAAATACTAAGGGTTCGGCAATATTTTCATTGAATAATGTTTCCGACAAAGGTTGTCAAATTGACTGACATGTTTATCGTATAGTGCAGTCCACTATGAAAATGAGCTGTGGTTTGTTTCAACTACCTATTTTAAAGATTTTTGTCACTTTGTAAGTGTTGAATTTTATGGAATTGGGAAAGAAGTACCGAGTTTGAAGCGTTCATGAGCAGACATTGCAGTTGAATATTCAAGTTCTGAATTTGATTATTGATGAATAATAAAATAAATCCTACTAGCTCGATTGATAGTTTCATTTAATTTATTTAAACCAGGTTACCTATAATAATATGTTTTCGTTAATTTATGAAAATATCAAATTAGCCCGTAATCCTGAATCCTGATACATAAAGTTAGCCTATTAATTTAACACAGGTACGACTGTACTCAGTGTTGCACTATCAAATGCAATTGACGCGCCTCTATGCCAGGGTTTTTATGTTCCTGGTCAGGCTATACCTACTTTACTTATTATCATCCATTTAATTAGTCACATCCACTGCAGGAGCACGACTCTCCTCAATTTAACAGAGGCAAGTGGAGGATTTGGCCAACACTCCCCACGCTAGCTTGCATAATGTTCGCATAATTTTATTGTCCGTTAATTGCCTATTAGGAGTTACGACATCCACGGGAAGAGTCCCATGTCCTACAGAGTGTAGGGCTACTCCGAAAAACGTATTCTGAAGTTTCTGATGTTCTCCGAGTTTCTCTCAACCAAAGCCACGATGATGCCACAGATGGCGACAGATAGCCCGAAACTACGTAAACAGCATACATTTCTTAGTTAGCCCCCTGGTGTTATTCTTCTTCTTATGACAACAAACCTACACAGTGTCAGCCCGAAACTCCGCTACAAGAGTGGCGTTGTCAGCAGCATTAATGAAATCCTCCTGCCTGCAGTTGCTCGGGCACTCAGGGCAGACATCTTGTGCTTCTGGTCTAATAAATGAATTGTAATTTCCAGCAGACCTATGTAGCTTGGCATCAGGGCTATGCGTCGGCTGGTCGTCTCCAGTGCTGGTAAAGCTACAGGACAGGAACTCCACGGTTCTGCCTGAGCTGATAACCAATGATGAAGGGACTTGGCTGGTGTCGGCTCCACAACTGACTTGTATTGTTTGTGAGTAAAATAAAACTTATTTACAATCCGATCGACTTAACTATGTACAGTCACGGAATGAAAAGGTTCGTCAGTTTTCAATTCAATTGATTCCTTCAACGAATCGCGAGCACATTTAATTTTTACCTTTTGAAACTATGTTACAGAATAATCTCGAGTTAGAGAAAATAATCTTTAACTGTTCGTCAATAAAGTTCAAAATTATTCAGATCAAAGTTGTTTGACGATTTAACTTGTCAAGAAGATTATTATGATTGATAAACTAAAACCTTCTTGTTGGTTCAACCTGCCATTATCTACTAAAAAAAAATACATTTTGTAACAATATTGCACTGATGGGATAGAAAAATAAACAAGCAAAACCTCATTCGTTAGCAAACGTCATATTTATTTAAATATTAGCAGCATTGTTTCTTGCACGGTTATGTTGGCAGGTTTGACTCTTACAGTACCTAGTGCAAGCGAAAACCGACACTAAGGTGACGAACCTTTTCATTCCGCGACTGTACCTGGCAGCCGTGATCACACATCGCCGCTCTGGTAGAGACCTGGCGAATGCAGGTGGACGGAGGCAGGACGGAGGTATGCGGTTGAGTGTGAGAGAGAGTCACATTCCAGCGAGGTGCGCAGGTAGCTCAATCGGGTAATGAGGGCTATCGTTTTAGCGCTCACCAGTTGGCGCCACTGTAGAGTAAGGTCCTGTCACTTGCTAGTAGCGAAGACAGTGGCGCCAACTGGTGAGCGCGAGTCGTAGGAGGACTATCGCATTTGCACTCATCAAGATGGCGCCACTGTAGAGTAAGGTCCTGTCAATCGCCAGGGGTGCCAACTGTTGAGTATAAAAACGATAGCCCTCATTGACAAGGCTCAATATAATGTAGAATTGGTCAAACCTGCAGAAGAACAAGCTTTTAAACAGACCAATGAAAAGAATAGACCTACTTCTAGGTCTATCACGACCGCTTCAATACAGTATTGTGAACTAAGGATAGACGAACAAGACTAAGTACCTAGGTTCCTATTAATGATGATACTAATTTTGTAAACTTTACTACCCTACCTTTATTGTAAGCTATGAACGATGAACCTGTTACAAAGGGTGGATTTAACAGTGTACGAGTACCACAATTTATTTGATATCTGACACTATTTCATCTTTTTTCCAGTTCTACTCATAGGGTCACCAATCGTTGATCGTGTAGGGAGAAAGTACGGTCTATTACTGGTTTACCTTCCAAAGTTGGTAGCTTGTCTCCTCTTCATCTTCGGGACCAGGATATGGGCATTGATGCTGGCCAGGTCGATTGAGGGAGTGTCGTTAGCCTTCAGTTATGTGAGCGCCTCTACGTATACCGCGGAAATTGCTGATGTAAGAACTTTTTTCTACGTTTGTTTATTTATGTTAAGGTAAAGTAAGATGTTTAAGGGCATATAGTACCCAGAACTGACGGCCGATGGGGCAGCAAGGTTCTGGAGTGGTGGCCGCGTACCGAAAAACGCAACGTGGGACGTCCACCCACAAGGTGGACCGACGACATCATAAAGGTGGCGCTGGACGCAGGCCGCTACCAACTATGTTCAGCAGTGGACGTCCTATGGCTGAGATGATGATGATGAAAGTAAAATGTTTTAAAGCCCCTTTGCTTTCGCGGTCCGAAAATCGAACCCTGAGGAAGTCCAGATCTTTGGGTACGATTTCCAAGTGTGTTGTCACAGTGTACCTACTGTGAAGGGGTTTAATCAATCATAATTCAGTCTAACTACAGAGCTCTACAATATTTCACATCATAGAAGATTTAAAAAAATCTAGAATACAAAAAGCAATGTATTGTTAGGTCCACCAGTTCAACTGTTGTCCAAAAGTTCAGCCCAGGGCTATTAGATGGAATGACGACCTAAAAAAGACCTCTATTCTAATCCAATGTGCAAACTAATAATACTAACTTATGAGTAACAAAATTTTATAATCCTCCAATATTTACCTACTATTGTATTTTTTTCCAGAAAAATATTCGAGGCTCACTGGGAACGTTGATCCAGATTTTTAGATCGCTCGGCATCGTGGGCATGTTTAGCTTCGGTCCCTTCCTGAACTACTTGAACCTGCATATTGTCTACATCGCCATCACTATCGTATCCGCTTTTACTGTTGTATTGTTGCCTGAGAGTCCCTACTTCTTGTATTCTAAAGGTAAGATCATCAACTTCATTAAGTTTGGAAAGAGATTTTCTAATAAAAGGGTGTAACAAACCTACGAGCTTTTTTACGGTGCTTTAGTGTTGAGTCTGGAATATAATTACAAATCCCTACCATGGTATCCATGGCTCCATAGTCCATTGGACTAGACCTAGAGAACAACCAACAGAATCATCTCTCTCTCTATAGTCCGTCTATCATGTTTGAGTAGGATTTGTTCTAAATAGAACTATGGTTTTATAATAGTACATTAAAAATGAATTAAGTTTAACATTTTCAATACCTCAAATAATTGAAAAGCTATCATAAATGTTGATATAGTTGTAATAATGTTGTAATAATGTAAATCTAAAACCTTCAGGTAAAATCGAAGAATCAGAAGAAGTACTTAACTCCCTGAGGGAAACCAAACAAGAAGTACAGGACGAGCTCAGAATGTTTTCAGAAGGCGAAAACAAAGAAAAGCTAGATTTTAAACAGGTTCTAAGAAAGCGAGTTTTTTGGAAATCCATGGGAATATCTGTGTTCCTAACTGGTGTTGGAACTTGTACTGGTTTTAGTACAATTGTCTTCTATCTCCAAAACATCATGGAAGAAGCAGGAACCAATAAACCTGAGGTAGCATCGGTGATCCTAGGAGTAGTTCAAATACTGGCGTGCTTTCCACCGATATACGTGTCAGACAAATATGGAAGAATACCGATTTTGTCGTGTAATATGATCATTATGACTTTTGGAATGGTGAGTTCTAGTACTATACCAATCTATACTATTCTGGAACCAAAAATTTATGTGTTTACCGATTTTACTACGTCCTGGTTTCTTTCTGTACACTGTAACATTCGTGATAGATTCAATTTCATAATCTCGTAGCTACGTCCTTACCTATTGAATGCACAGTCGGTATTGTGCTTCTAGGTAGGTACTTAAAATACCTATATCAATATTTTTAGAAAATAACTAATTTTTAGACCAAAATATATCACGAATCGTTATCATCACTACAGTTATGAGTTTCGTGAGTTGATATTAAGATGCATGCGATACATGAAGCCACAATCTACAACGCATGTTAGATATTGCAGTGGTTTGGTACCTTCATGGTAATGTGTGGTGTTTAGGTTCTCATTTTCTTCTATTTCCAGGTAATGTTAGGAACATTCTTCTGGTGCAAAGATAACGGCTACGAGATTAACGCATTTCTGAGTATATTACCACTGCTCTCCGCTTCGATCGTTAGCTTCGCCGGATCTGGTAAGATTATTTTTTCTGTTTCTTTTGTTTTAATTAGGATTGTTTAAAGACAAAAGGCTACATAATTCCATAACATGGAAAATTTTATTGAGTTTGAAAAAACGATAACGAATAATATTATTGTTGGAAGATTAATTAACAAAAAAGAACTAGGTTTTACATCATTGCTATCGATCTTCCTAAATGAACAGCAAATAAACCTGCTATAAAATGTTAAATTGATTTTTTAACATCCTACCAACTAAAGATTACCTAACAGTCATAGAGAGATGAGCTGAAAATCGATTGGACACCTATTTTGAGATCTCAATCAAATCAATTTACTCCATGATCATATTAATCATGGCGCTTGCAACAGTGCCAAATATCGGACACCCGAAATTAAGGTACTTACATGGTAGCAATCCCGTCAATAATAAATTATTCTGTTAGTGACCATTAAAGTTTAAAACAATAGATCTCAATCAAGTTAAAATTTTGCTTATTTTCTTTCCAGGCTATGGATCCATAGTGTTCATCCTGATTCCAGAACTATTTGAAGGTGCACAGAGGGCTCTAGGTGTATCAATAAGTTTCATAGCTCTATCCTTAGGATTTTTTGCCGTTGGCAAATTTTATTCAATCCTGCTATCATCCATTGGTCTCTCCGGAATATTCTGGATGTATAGCATCATCTGCTTTATATTGTCTATGTTTACAATGACGTGTGTCCCAGAAACGAAAGGGAAGATGTTTGACGAAATACAAATGGCTCTGGAAGGGAAACTTGTGAAGGATGGCGAAGGTAGATAACCCTTATCTGAATAAGGGCCGATTTTTCAATCGTCAGATAACTTTTATCTGAAGAATAAACTTGACACTTTGACATATTTCTCATACTGAAACTGTCAAACTCATTCTTCGGTTAAAAGTTATCTGACGATTGAAAAATCAGCCCTTAGAAGAATGTAGACATGGATGATGACTGATCTAAGTGGATTCGTCAATAATAGGACAGATTTCTGAGTTGGATTTGGACAAACGTAGACTGTTTATTTTTTTACATTGATTAACTTTTATCTTTTTATGTGATGTTAGTAAAGGTTTATTTACCTACATACTAATGGTCTAAAGGGACAGTTTTAGGTGTTGTGTGGTGTTGTCAACGGCACATTAAAATAAAACTTTTTATTAAATCAGACTTTTATTAAAATTCATTTACTTACGTAACAATTTACATAAAACAACTAGTACCTTACTTATCACGATTTATACAAAAATTATGTTTCTATGCAATGTCATTAACACTGGTACCATTTTTCTCAATACCATCTTTACTCCTGCTTCTTTTGGCGCCCAATTCTTCTTGAATTTCCAAAAAGGTCTTTCCTTTAGTCTCAGGGAAACAGAAGAGTATGAAAATGCATAATAAAACGCAGTTCACGCTGAAGAACCAGTACGTGGTGGGTGGTCCAAGGGTGGTGGACACCATTGCGAAGTATTTTGAGGTTAAGAACATGAAGAGGACTGACATGATAGTGGATATGCAGACGCCATAAACCCTCGTTGGTCCGTCGAAGAGTTCAGCTGATATCGCATATATTAGAGAGCCGATACCTGAGAAGGTAAAAATGATTATTGATCCAAAGGAAATGTGGAAACACCTATCGACTTGCCAGCACAAACTGGTGACATCATCATCATCATCATCATTTTAGCCACAGGACGTCCACTGCTGATCATAGGCCTCCCCCAATGACTTCCACATCGTACAGTTAGTAGCAGCCTGTATCCAGCGTCTTCCTGCTACCTTTATCAGGTCATCGGTCTACCTTGTGGGTGGACGTCCCACGCTGCGTTTTCCGGTACGTGGCCTCCACTCCAGAACTTTGCTGCCCCATCGGCCGTCTGTTCTACTGGTGACAGGCATTGCCCAATAGATGGCGCTGATACAAGCTTATTAAGGCACATGCTTCCGCGCCTATAAACCTGCATCGCGTTAATAAAGATTTCTACTTTAGTAAACTGTTAATTATTAAAAAAAACAAGCACTATACTATCTGCATAGTCTATACAAATAAAGAAATTTTGTCATTCACAAACCTGCATTATAGCAGAAAACTACCAGGATCAGGGAAATGAGAGGTAAGTAATTCAAGAATCCTGAAATGGGATGATCTTTCTCCTGTATTTTGAAGAACGCTCCAAGACCCACCTGAAATGAAACAAAAACTAAGTATGTGGGTATTAGGTACTCGTAGAAAAACCAGTTTTTTAATCTCTATGATGGGCCTCGAAAGGAGATATTTTATTTAATTTATTGTAGGTATTGTATCTAGTCCTCAAGGGTTTAATGAAAGTTTTCAAGCATATGTGTGTAGGACGACGCTGCCCGATGGATTTTGCCAGTCTTACCTACCCACCTATGCCGTTAGCAGAAATCATATTCCTGTAAGTATTTATAAGATAACTAGCAGCCGCCCCCGACTTCGTACACGTGGATCCCGTTTTACTTAGGAGTTGAATTTTGCAAAATCTCGTCTTCGTGGGCACCTTCGTTCTATAAAGAACCCCTGTGCAAAATTTGAGACTCCGGGCACTTGTAGTTTCTGAGATTTTGTGATGAGTGGGTCAGTGACGTTTCGCTTTTATAGATATTACCTACCTATAGTCTGGTCTGTGAGCACGTAGAATTTTGTCCAATGACTCCACTCAAGCTACCAAATAAGTATCGCTCGCGCCCGTCGCACAGTCGCGACAGCATTATAATTACGCGCGAGCGATAAGGATGGGTAGCTTGGGGACCTTGGGGTCATTGGACAAAATTCTATATTATTGGTTCTCATCCTATCTTCGCGGTCGGAGACAGGCGGTGCGTTTCGATCGAGCATACTCGGAGTGGAAGGACCTTGCTACCGGCGTACCTCAAGGGGGTATGCTCTAACCTATCCTTTTTTCCGTCTTCATCAACATTCTTACTTCTCACCTTTCTTCATCTACGCTGACGACCTCAAACTCTACGTGCAAGCTGACCCTTCTGAGATATCTGATGCGGTTTCGCGGCTAAATGCTGACCTACACAGTATTGCCGATTGGTCCGGAAAGTTCGGTGTGAGGGTCAATCCTGGCAAGTGTCAGGCGATAGTGCTGGGGAGCTCCAGGCACCTGGCTAAACTGGATCGGGGATCGGTCCCAAACAGTGCATTGTTATTATGTGTGCTGAAGTTTAAATAAATAAATAAATAAAATCTACGTGCTCACGGGCCGGGCTTTAGATGATACTCAAATGCAGTTAGTTACCATTCCAAAGGTCATCCCAATCAGCGTAATTGACAGGATCGGTTTTCTGCCGAACCTGTCCGTTATGAGTGCGGTCACAAAAGTTGCAGACAACTGTATACAGCCTATCACAACTGATGCCGTCTCCTCAGCCACACTGGTTTGTGTGGACTTCAGAACTGTCTGAAGATAGAAAGAAACTGCGTTGAACCCGATCAGTTGAGTTCCCATCAACAAAACTATGGATATCCCAAGAGCCTTAAGAAATGTTCGGTTCTTGAAGAGTGCTTTCTTGCTAATTTTCTCATCAGTCTGGCTGAGGGCGTATTCCTTTATTTCCTCTTTGGCCAAAGCTTCCGAGCCCCGGAGATGGATCAGCAGTTTGATGGCCTCTTCGTTTCTTTCTGAAACAATTGATGCTGTCAACTTTCTTTTAAAAAAACCTTCTTAGATAATTTACTGAACACGAGCCTAGTGACAAATAGAAAAGCGATTCCGAAGGCCGAGCGATAAGAAGAATCCCACCAAAAACATTCTGTAAAAAACTAGCCAAGTCTCGATGGAGCTGCTTGTTTATCTCTAAAAAGTAATGAAATCTAGACAAAGTCGTGCCAAGTCTATGGTTCTTTACTGCGATTTCTTTTTTATTATAGTTAATGTTGTGTGACTTGGCCGTTGAAGGGTACAAAACCAGGTGCTCCATGACACCATTGCACCAATCTGTTGCCAGAACCACTACCCATTGACGATGGAAAATTGCCACTTGGAAAACGTTGATTTAATAACCAGTGAATTGTAGGCTTAATAAAGCTGCGTATTTCAATAATACTTATGCATAATTATTGATTATCTTAATAAAGATTGTTCAACGGCCAAGTCACACAACATTAACTATAATAAAAAAGAAATCGCAGTAAAGAACCATAGACTTGGCACGACTTTGTCTAGATTTCATTACTTTTTAGAGATAAACAAGCAGCTCCATCGAGACTTGGCTAGTTTTTTACAGAATGTTTTTGGTGGGATTTCACTTCTTTTTGTAGAATGTGGCATAATTATTTAACGTCGTCGTCCTTTAATATTATCGTCATTTTTTTTACGATATTAAACACATCTTTAAAAAGGACAACGAATCAGAATTGATTTAATAATAACTAGAGGGGAAAAAAAATCTGGACACCGCGGTGCAGAAAATCGACGCTCAAAGTGCTAGCGCCATCTAGCGGTGAGCGGTACAGGCGAACACCACGGCGCCGGTGTGGCGCTAGTAGTATTGATTATTATGAATGTGGTGTTACTCCAGATCTTCGATTTTCCTAGTTTTTATAGTTTTCCCTTTATGTGGCCATTAAACCCTAACTCTGTACCAAATTTCAGCTCTCTGAGTTAATGGGAAGTACTAGTTCTATTTTGATGATCATCAGTGAGTGAGTGAGTGTCATAAATGCGAAACTTTGCTTTCGCTTAACTTCGGAACTAATTGACCTACAGACTTGAAATTTTGGATTTTAAGTGTGTGATTATAGCTTACTAGATGACGAAAATTTCTGCGTTCTGGTCTTATCTAAAGGTTCTCAAATAGAGGCCTGAAAATGCGGCGAAATGGTTCCAGTAAAGGATGGTACGGCAGTGTTTGCTTCGCGCTCGACTTGGCGGGGGCACTGCCGTGCCCCCAGATTACCTGTATAAAAGCAACAAAGTTCTGGTACTTTTTGATGCTACATGATGCACATGGGGTGGTTATCGTTTGCAACTTAGCTCCAGAGGTCATGCAATTTTTGCGAGGCCAAAGGCCGAACTTCTAACTCGTGGCCGCAAGCCGTCGCAGATACGTATGCGGGTGAAAAACTTTTTTTACCTTTGGAATACAAGTGGTAAGGACTTTCCGGCAGAAACAGCAGTGGGGCGAAGGTGATCACGGCGACACAGGTGTAGATGGTGTTGAGAGTGACGTACGAGGTGTAGGGGCCTATGGACAGCATGATGACCATGCCGAGCGAACACATCAACTGCGGGATAGTGCCCAAAGAGCCTCGGACTGTGGTCTGGAAATGAAGGTAGGCATCATTGAGCTACGTTATGAAAACAAAGTCGGATCTCTGTATGGCATTCTGTTGATTGATTCTCACTTGATACTCACGCTGGCAATCTCAGCCGCGTACATTGGCACCACAGTGAACACCAGCAGGTCACAAACTCCGCAGATCAATCGTCCCAGTAACAGCATCCACACGTCACTGGCCAGCGTCAGCAGCAGACCCACTGCTAGCTTCGGAGCTGCTGCAAGGAGAATGCAGCGCTTTCTGCCGATGCGGTCCACGAGTAAGATTGGAATGACGACGGCTGGAAAATAAATTCAATGGCATAGTCATAGTAGGAGGCCAGGCAAAGCTGAGCGTTCCCGTCGAAACCGTATGTTTCGGCATCATCATTCGGGAGCATGTGAGACTGTTCTCAACTCTCGTTCCCACCACTGAAACTCCTGTGTAGCCAGGATATGCAGTTTGACCGCCAATAAAAACCAAGTGAAGGTCAAGTTTGTCCCGGGGGAAAGTTAAACTGTCATTGGACTCGCTACGAAATTAATCAGAAGAACATAGGAGGAGTTCGATGGTACTTACAGAAAGTCCCAACAAAAGGACCAATGGACACAATCCACGAGCCCTCCTCCTCTGTGATGGGTCGCGAGAGAACTGTCTCCGTCTCGCTCATCAGCTTCACCAGCACTGGGGAAGGCCATGCTAGTCCCATACCGCTTAAGAGGACGCTTAAGTTCACTGGAATTAGAGGAAATGTTTTTACCAGTTTTTCGAATTCTTAGGTAGCACATGGTTTTTCAGGGTTGCAAACTTGGTTACAAATTTTTAATGTCGTAGATACCTACTTATAACATGGGCGATTGTGATGTTTGATGTCGATTTTAACTTAAATGTTAAGTTCTAGGTAGACTTGCTATCTAAATAGAGTTAAAGTAGTTTAAGTTTTTTTACTACGAAATCAGAAGTAACTAAGGTACCTATGACTTGACAAAGATAAACTCTTAGCATTTTTTTATAAACTTTTCTGTGGTAATTAAAAAGGATTTCGTATTTACCAACAATCACAACAGCATATTGCTTCAAAATTGAATTTCGTAAGAAATCCAACATTGTCACAGGTAATAAAGACAATCTATTTTAATAATTCACGAAATATTTTTAACACATCACATTTCACAACACCACATCCTTTGCGTTGACGAATGCAGACTTGGAGGATAGATTTGAGATGATTGTAGTGATTATCTTCAGCACAAAGTGGCAATTTATTATCTCTAGGCTATCGAGCTAAATCTAATCTAGACAGCCGCCTGACAAGGGTCTGTCTCATTGAAATACAGGGTGTCCCAAAAAGACAATGCCGGAAATTGGCGTCTTTTTTTTTTCGCGCGGCCATCGACCAAACCTTGTTTTTTGATTACAAAATAGTGTAATAAACCAAACTTACTATGACATGTATACCTCTAAACTCAGTCTGAACTGAGTTACGAGCGTTAGAAGTTTGATGATTTACATACTAGATTTGCTTTTTGCGCGCAAGTTTTGTGTGAAATTGCAACAAAATAGTGACATTGTATGTGTAAACAAACAATACCGTCCATTAAAGGCTCCAGACATCAGTGTGGAGTAGTATCAGCGCAATAAAAAAATAGCGAAATATTTTGTTGCAATTTCTTACAAAACTTGCGCGCAAAAAGCAAATCTAGTATGTAAATCATCAAACTTCTAACGCTCGTAACTCAGTTCAGACTGAGTTTAGAGGTATACATGCTATAGTAAGTTTGGTTTATTACACTATTTTGTAATCAAAAAACAAAGTTTGGTCGATGGCCGCGCGAAAAAAAAAAGACGCCACTTTCCATACAAAATCTGGCATTGCCATTTGTACGTCACACTGACACCAGACGTAAAAGAGCTTAAGACGCATCTAACAAGTATATTACAACACTAGCGGCCGCCCGCGACTTTGTACGCGTGGATCCCGTTTTACCCCCTTCAGCTATCTTACGCGGTTTAGATTTTTTCATACAAATGTTTTTTCCCGCTAACTGCCGTTCCCGTGGGAATTTTGCAATATCCTGTTGTAACTAAGCTTTAAGTTTACTAAGGTACCTGCATGCCAAATTTCAAGCGTCTAACTTAAGCGGTTTAGATTTTTCATACAAAAGGATTTTTCCGCTAATTCCCGTACCCGTGGGAATTCCTAAGTATACTATAACCTGCCCAGGAGTATGAAGAATAATTGTACCAAGTTTCGTTAAAATCCGTCGAGTAGTTTTTGTTTCTATAAGGAACATACAGACAGACAGGCAAAAATTTTACTGATTGCATTTTTGGCATCAGTATCGATCACTAATCACCCCCTGATAGTTATTTTGAAAATATATTTCATGTACAGAATTGACTTATTATAAGCATAATACATGAGTCATATTTCAAAACTCATGAAACTTTTCTATGGAAATGAATAAATAAAATTGGTCATATCTTAAAACTTATGAAACTTCTATGGACTTATTAAGCTTGTTCGATGCGTCTTAGACTCGGCTACCTCCTCCGGTGTCAGTGTGAGTGACGTGCTCTGCCACACAATTTATAAACGCAGTAAGTACCACTTACTGCGTTTATGATTGTTTTGAATATTCTGAATCCTGACATCGCGATCTATAAGAATCAAAGACCCGTTTTTTTCTATCTATCTTAGAACGGAAGATACGTATTATCATAAACGCAGTAAAGAGCAGATTGTAGGTTTCTTCACATACTATGTTAGCAGTAAGAGCACGTAATAACTTAATATTACGTGAATACTCGCATTTACTTAATTTGCTACACAGTAATAGTGCAGTATGTGCCAATTACATCATTCTAATTATGTTTCTACAAATGTTAAGTTCACCTTGCACATAGTATATGTGCAGTAATTCCACTTAAACACACACTGATATTATGTTTCCATAGGGAAAACAGATGACTTGTACTTAATATTAATGCAGTAATTACAATTATACTGCGTACATACTAAGGATTGTCAGAGTGCTGCCTAGGTGTTAACATGTTATGAACGCAGTGGCTGACTCTTACGTTATTGGAAGAAGTTGAAAACCTGTCCAAATGACAAATCTAGCCGAAGACCCAAGAGCTAGTTTGACCCGACACTATACCGAAGATATCCCGGACGTGTTTGTACGAGATTAGAATGGCTCTCAAACAGCTGAAAAACAACAAGGCACCGGGCGATGATGGAATCACGGCTGAGCTTCTGAAATCAGGCGGAACGCCGGTTCTAAAGGCTCTTTAGAAGCTATTCGATTCCGTCATCCTTGAGGGAAAAACGCCTACGGCATGGCATAGAAGTGTGGTGATACTCTTCTTCAAAAAAGGCAACAAAACCTTGTTGAAGAATTTATTTTATACCCATCTCACTTCTGATTCTGTCTTTGAGAGTCATCATGAATGGTTTCCCGCGACATCTAGCCTCCCGAACAAATCGGTTTCCGATAAGGCTTTAGTATGATAGACCACATACTTATCTATGGCAGAAAACTGAGGAGAATAATCAGCAACTTTGTCTGGCATTTGTGGTCTATGAGTAAGACTACTCTCTTCAAGCTACAGTCTCTCCAACGGTGCCAAATTTACTATAGATATTTATAATCATGAAGGGCTTGTACGAATAGGCCACAATGTCAGTCCGTCTCCGGGATCAGGACTTCAGTTGCAGCGAGGGGTCAGACAGGGAGATGTCATATTTCTAAAACTGTTCACTACCACTCTGGAAGATGTTTTCAAGCTTCTGGACTGGAGCGGATTGGGCATAAATATCATCAGCGAGTACATCACCCATCTTTGATTCGCGGACGATATCGTAGTCATGGCTGAGAACGTGGAGGATCTAAGCTCAATCCTCGATTGCCTCAATAGAGCCTCTCAACAAATGGGTCTTTAATGGACAAGACAAAAATCATGTCAAATGCCGTGCTGTACCCACTCCTCTGAAGGTTGGAGACACTATAAGTTGTCTGATGGCCGCTGGGGCAGGAAAGTTCTTGAGTGGCGACCATGAGCTGGAAGACGCAGCTTGGGCAAGCCTCACACTAGGTGGACCGATGATCTGGTGAAGGTCGCGTCAGGTGCCTGTATGCGAGCGGCACAGGACCGGTCTTTGTGGAAATCCTTGGGGGAGGCCGTTGTCCAGCAGTGGACGTCTTTCGGCTGAAACGAACGACCGAGTCTTTATTTTATTAGATTGGTATATTTAAGATCTAAAAGTGGGTGCCATATCTTAATTTTTGATTGAATAACAAGCGATCTCAGCAATTATTTTGTAATACTTGTTTCATTTACCCCTTGGTCATTTGGGAAAGTTCAACATGAAAGCGTTATTGGCTTATGATAAACGCAGTATAATTGTATTATTACTGCGCATTTAAAGTTTTGATAAATTATTTTGATTCACACTCCCACTCATAAATGCAGTAAGTTGTAAAGATACGGCGCATATATTACGTTGTAAGAACTAAAATTTAAATCAATCATTTAACACATGTACCGTAAGTAACGAAAACTACTGATAAACGCAGTAAGGAATAATCATACTGCATTCATGGGTAGTAAGTATCGAACGAAAACTTAGTTAATCCATAACATAAACAGTTTTTTAATAATTTTAAATACAAAATATTAATTAAAATACAAAAACCTCATATCAAAATAAACTTTGAGTTTAGCTCTATAAGCCCATATATTTTTTTTTACAAATATTTGCGTAACTAATTGTAGACACCCCAAAATAAAATTTCAACTTTGATCGCGTTTTTCTCGAAACTGTTCATGTGTTACTTACTGCGTTTATAAATTGTGCGGCAGTGCTAATTTTGGGACATCCTGTATATTCGCAAAGTTCAACGTTTCTACGAAATGTTAAGCGCGTCACACACGGCGAAGATAATATATACAATATACAGGGTGTCCCGTAATGCAACGTCAAGCCGGAACTGGGTGTTGAGGCAAGTTATGCTGGTTATCAGAAAAATATAAAAAAAATTCTATGTGTCATTTTGTCAAAATAATAGGCATTTAAAAAAAAACAAAAAAATCTACTCCAGGTGACGGTCTTTTTACTCGTGTTGCCACAAATCTTCACTTTTTCCAATTTTTTTTGTTATGTAACCCTGAATAATGCTTCTATTGTTATCAAAATTACAAAACCAGCTGATTCAGCTTGGATGAAAAAAATACATTATTCCCAAAAAAAAATTCAAAATAAATATTTTGCCTAGTTTAAACTGACTGTACTGAAAAAAATGTACTACGCGAGTATGGCAAGTGACGTCATAACTTGGCGCATTTAGTAAGAATTCCAAAATGGTATAACACTTAGTAAATTCTTGTTGTATTTGTCGACAATTTTTGGTTTTTTTAACTTTATCTACCAAACAAACACTGACTACCGTACAGTCAGTCACAGAAACTTTTGTCACCATCACAGTAATTAGTAGTTGACATACTGTGACAAAAGTCACCCGTGCGCGCGCGCCTTTACTACCTGCTCTGCCTGCACTTGTACTTGGTAACAGGGATAATAAGGATATGAAGTTTCTGTTATGGATACGGTTACGGATATTAGAATAATATACCGGTTTCGGTTACGGTCACGGATATGAAATCATTTCAGAATATTCGAAAGTTTCGGATAATTTCGGTTACGGAATTATTAGAATTTCAAAAATGTAGGTATAATTCAAATAGTAAGATGCTGCGTAACCCACATAGCTACTTTATGTACCAACTAAGACGACACCTATGTATGATAAAGGTAAAACAGGCTGGCATATTAGATGGTGCCAGGGAATGCCAGATAAGTTGGTAACAAATATTAAGATTTAAAAGGTACAATTCCAAGACGTGCCGCAGACCGCAAACTGCAAAACTCTATGAAATCGGCAGCGCGGCATTGCTGCTGCGGCATGTACTGCAGATTTCATAGAGTTTTGCAGTTTGGAATAATTGTACCCTTAGACTCCGCCTTTATCCGAAACTATCCGTAACTTTTGAATCAGTTTCGGTTATGGATATTTTTTTATTTCGGATATCCGATAGTTTCGGTTACGGTTACGGATATCCATAACATCCCTGCTTGGTAAGATGGCCCTCTCCGTTCCGCTCATACCTTTTAAAATGGCTTCTCCACCTCACTTAAGCCAGAAACTTGAATTTTGGGCACATTAGAATAATAATTTTTAA